ATACTTGCTTTCCTGACTGTGACGGGCTGATGTGTGTCCAGAACAGCTCCCCATGCTCCCAGGATCTTGCTTGGAGTGTGAGGACAGAGTTCAAGGCCAGTTGTTCTCTGTGTGAAATCAGAAAGCTGTTCCTTGTAACCCAGCTTTTAAACATGGTGTTGGATCTCCTCTTCCTCTCTGCAGCTGAAGCACTCCCTACTGCAGGGTCTGTCCACAGTAGTAGCTCTGTGTAGCCCTCTGGCATCACCAGCCTGCTGTTTTTCTGCTCCCTGCTTTCCAGTGGTGGTTATTAATGTGTTGGGTGATTTGGGCTACAAAACTGATCCCCTTGAGCTTCACAGCGACTTCCCTCCATGGACAAAATTCATGCTTTTCTCCCCCTTGCCTGTTTTAGAAGCAACTCTTTACATATGGACTCCTCCAAATCTCGTGTTAAGATCTTGCTAAGTGTCTTCAGGGATCAGAATTGGTTTATATCAAAAAGATACGTTCTCTCATCTCCATGCGCTTTGATTTCTTAAAAGCCCCTCCAGAAGATAAGAGTTTAATTAACAAAAGTGTGGCATCCTCATTGCAGATGCTAAATGGGCTCTTCCCTGCGGGGGTTATTCATGGTTCTGTTTGTTTATTATCCCTACCAGTGTGCTCAGCACAGATCTGGGAACGCTCTGGATTTCCTCTGGATTCATTTACATCAGTGCTTACTGCTGCCACGCTTCCTGATGCCCTGGCAGCCCTCAGCTGAGGTTACCCTGTGCAGTAATGTAATACCTCAGTTAATTTAGTTTACACTCTGTGGTCTTCCACTCCTGTGGATGCTGTACGGCTGTGGGAGCTCTGGTGGCCTTGTGTCTTGTGGTGACTGTGGTTGGTGATGGCTGTGTTGACCTGTAGCTGCTGCCAGCAAGTTACACCTCAATCATAGACTTCCCAAAGCTTATTCCCAGCTCCTGGTCAGCCAGAACAGCCACTCATGCTCTGCAGGAGTTTTCTTGAGGTCCTTTTGCCAGTCCCTGGGTATCTTGCAGGGTTTTTCTGATTCTCCACAACAATTGTACAGATATAATTAAAGATTTCCTCATAGAATCACAGCCTGGTTTGGGTTGGAAGGGACCTTAAAGCTGTCCGACACACAGACACCTGTTTTATATGTCTAAGCCTGTTTGTTCCAGACACTGGGAGGAACATGTTGCATCAAACTGGCAGTTGCCCCATAAAAGGTGGAAATGGAATTAATTCAATTTTACTTTTTCACTTAAAAACTAAATCCAAGGGGCTTAATGTCTGTCATTAACAGGTTTTCAGACAACTGAGAAACGTCTCTGGCTGCAGGGTTATCATTTTATTCTTTGCACAGCGTGAGCAGCAGGTCAAGGGAGGGCATGTAGGGATAGGACAAGAGGGAATGGCTTTACACTCATGTTGGTTCTTCCCTGTGAGGGTGCTGAGGCGCTGGCACAGGGTGCCCAGAGAAGCTGTGGCTGCCCCATCCCTGGCAGTGCTCAAGGCCAGGTTGGACACAGGGGCTTGGAGCAAGCTGCTCCAGTGGAAGGGGTCCCTGCCCGTGGCAGGGTTGGAGCTGGAGGAGCTTTAAGGTCCCTTTCAACACAAACCAAACCCCTCTATGACCTTGATCCCCTGGGCAGTAGCAAGGGGTTTGTGTGCTGGGCTGGAGGCTCTGGGCTCACACAGCCAGGAGAGGAAGCACGATACCTGCACATCTTTGGCTCTCATAACTGCCAGTTTCACAACTCCTGTTTTTTTAGTAACTTATTTCTTTAGAGGGCTTTTAAGATTTCTGTTTTTCAAAGTCAGGCATTGTTCCAAAAAACACTCTCTTGGAATAATTGGATTGCTTTGATTCCTTGTAATTAAATCACGCTAAGAAGGCTGACTGTGCGCGTGGCAGTCGCGCATTCAGTGTCTTTTCTGCGCTTAGAAACTGGGATTCAGACCTGATGCGAGTCACAGCGCAGCAGCTGCGCATCCTGTGATGTCCCATTTACGCAGAGGTTCACCTTGAGCAGCAGAGTTGCTCTGAGGAATAGAGCAGGAAAGATTATAAATCATCATAAGCAAGAACTAAGCTGTGTTAGGGAAAAACATTTGTAACAATCAGGGAAGGAGCTTGTGGCATACTGAAAATTGAAATGTCTTAAAAATTAACATCACAAGCGTGTTTTTAACCGAGTGTACAACAAAAAGGTCGGAAAAAATGATGAGTGTTTCCTAAAAGTGTGGCAATATTACAGGAGCAAGCAAAACCCTTAATTTTGCCTCTGTGAGCAGAATAATGAGGATCGCATGGATGGGGCCACCACAAAGCTATTGCTTTTGACAGCAGCTCCTCAGCAAGACACTGAGGTGATTGGAAAATCACATTGAACCAGGAAGGCAGCTGACATCACTGTCAGCAGTTTCATGCTTGCCCATCACGGCGCTGGGCTGGGCTTTTGACAGCTCTAATGCTGCTGTTGCAGCATCAGCTGGGAGCAGCAGACACAGCTGGGCACAGCTGCAGGGTCTGGGCAGTCTTGTCTGGTAATTGCCACAGGAGGCAAAGGCTCCTGCCAAACACCAGCAAATCTGTTACCCACACACTGTAGGATGCAGGGGAGGCCAGCAGAGTCTGCAGGTGCAGCAGCAGCCAGGATCTGGTCAGTAGCCTATAAAAGCAAAGGGAAAACAAACATAAAGCCTTGTTGTGTGTCAGTGATTTTGACAGAAGTTGCTGAGATTATGCCCAGCAGATCCCTGCAGGGTTTGGTCAGGCACTTGGTTGCCTTTTGCAGCTGCTGAGCTTTACTGCTGGAGGCATCTCTTGGGAAGTGGAAGGGAAGGATGCAGCACTATGGCCAGGGAAGACAATGAATGATGATGGAAGGAAGCACAGGAGAGTGACGAAAGGACACAATTCATCAAAAGGCTAGTGATGCTAAAATCAAAATGTTCATATGAGAACTAAAACTCTTTAAAAAATGCTGCTTCCTGCTGGGAAAGGAGAGGTGAAACTGGCAAATGGGAGAATCCTGCTGGACCACAGCTTGTGTGGGTGTCCATGTGTTCAATGTGACAGGACACCACGGGGCTGGTCACTTGGGATGGGCTCTCTGGACCGGGTAGGGTGGCAGCCCATGGGTTAGGAAGGTTTCGATCCTGTTTCTCTGTGTTCTTCTCAAAGCCTTCAGTTTCTGTAGTTCTCTCTGGAAGGAGACCTCATTTGTTTTAACAGGTATTACAAATAGCAGCCTGTCCCCCAGAGCATCTCATGAAACAGCTTCTCCTCTCCCCCACAACTGGTGTCCCCACTCAGATGAGCAAGCCCTGGACATTGCTTGTTACGACTGTAGTTGTTCTCCTTTTCTACTGGTATTTTTTGCATACTGATGAAAGAAGTCTTGAAGATATTCTTTTTTGGGGGCGAAGACACCACCTGCTCTGGTGCTGCTCAAATACCTGTTTCTGTCCTATGTGTGTGTGAATGACATGTAGTAAACTCAGCCTGAAATCCCTGAGCTGACAGGTAGGACTTGGCCTCTCTGCTCTCCTCCTCTCCTTTTCCTTCCCTCAGCCTTGTGTTTCTCCACACAGGAAGGATAGGCTTACACTCTGGATCTTCATCTCTGCAGGCGTTGAGTTTAGAGTGTGAATTCACCTCCATTAATTGCAGCTCTATTTAATATTTATGCTGTGAGGACGTGAGGAGCGTTCGAATGAGCATGTTCTCCTTTGGAAAAGAGCTGAGAAATGACCAGGCACTCAGAGCTGGTGCCTTGTAAAGGTGCCAGAGGCAGGTCAGGATTTAAAGCGCACAGTTTTGCAAATCAGCCCCTTCATAACCGCACTGAAAGGAGAGATAAAGAAGTGGGGGGACCCGTGTGAAGATGAATAAAGCCTCTTATCTTTCCTTGGTGGGGAAGTTTCCCATAAGGATGAGTGTGTCAGATCACTGGCTCTTTCTTCATATTTTCTCTCCTTTTGCTTGGTTTTCTTCCTTGCTGTAATCATGTGAATGATGCCATTCGTTTTATCCATCTTGCCCGTTGGCTCGAGATGCTGTGTGTTAATTGAGCAGCGTGGTATCTGTTTTTCAAGCTTCATAGGTGAGTGCTTCATGCCCTGTTACTGTGATATTTAAGACGTTCTGATCTTTGCCTGCCATAGAAGAAAACCTAAAAAGCCCAAACTTCTGAGGTCTTGGTGTGGTTTATAAACAGGCTTTCAGTGGTGGTTCTGGAGGAGGAGTGCCTATGGCTTGTCCTGCTCTTAAACTTGGCTCTTCATTTCAACTCATGACTTGAATTTTTCCAAGCCCTTCTGATTTGGGGTTCTCAGCCTCTTGCTGCGGTTGTGGAGAGGAAGAAACGGGGTTTTGTCTTTCAAAGAACACTTGAGAGACTTTTTGTTATTATTTGGCCTTGCTTCAAAAAGTGCACTTTGGAGTGGGACAGACTGGCTGCTCCATTGGCATTTGAACTCTGATGAGTAGGAATGGGTTTGAAGTATTGGATTTCTTTATCAGTTTGTTTTCTTCCTCAAACATACCTGTGCTCTGATTTATGTGCTTATAGCTGTGTAGATAGGAAGGAGAATATAGTGTCCTAAGCCCAAGTTGTGATGACATTGAATATAAAATTTACCCAGAAGCAAGCATCGGCTTTTGTTCAGAGATGGGATGAACTCCTTCAAACCTCTTGTTACTGTGTGTGTGCAACCACCACACCCTTTTATTCAGCTATGTTTTTAGATTTATATGTTTATATTGCAATAGTAAATGGTTTGTGTTTTCCTTTTCCAAAGTAACCAACTTATATATATGCTTCTGTCTTGAGCAACCTGCTCTAGTGGAAGGTGTCCCTGGCCATAGCAGGGGGCTGGAAGTGGAGGAGCTTTAAGGTCCCTCCAACCCGTTCTGTGAATCTATGATCTTAACTAGGTGCCTGCATCTTAAACAGATTTTGTTTTACACCTGAAATCTTATCTTCCATTTCTGTTACCAGGCCAGGTACAAGCAGAGTCTTGACCCTACTGTGGATGAGGTTAAGAAGCTGTGCACATCTCTGCGTCGCAACGCCAAGGAGGAGCGGGTGCTTTTCCACTACAACGGCCATGGCGTCCCCAGGCCAACGGTCAACGGGGAGATCTGGGTCTTCAACAAGGTGAGTCCTTGCAAAGCAGTGCTCGACAGCCCAGTCTTGTTCACTGCAGGGACGATGTTGAAGTGTTCTGTTAGGGAACAGCTGGGTTTTCAGGGTTTAAAATGCATTCACAGTTGTTTGGTTCCCTGCTGAGAGCTGTTTGCTTCTTCCTGTTCTTGAAGTTCTGGGAGAGCAAGCAGGCCGTCCTCAGCTCCCAGCAGGGCAGGAGGGTCTTCTCTCAGCTGCACTAAAGCTCATTTGCAAAACACTGAAAAAGCAGCTACTGCTACTTGCTGCCTCTGCTTTTCAGAGGTAGCACTCAGCTCAGTTGTGTCTGAGCAAACAGTGAGACTTGGCTTTGCTGCCTGACATCCCTGACTGATCATTATGTTCTTACCATAAAGCTTACACTTCAAATGTCTATGGGTTCTGAACGCCCTTGTTCAACCTAGAGATACTGCATGAGGACAATAAACTGTGTGGCTAGCTCTACTTCTGGAGATGCCTAGATTGAAAAGGAGAAAACCTTCAGGAAGCATCATGTAGATTCCCTTCAGCAGCACGTCTTGGTCACTTTGTTCAGTTCACAGAGTTCTGATGCTGCTGGAGAGGCCTGTGAAAGAGGAAGGAATACGGTGTGGTTTGGGTAAGGCACTTGACAAGCTAGTAGCTAAACTAATGTAGGCTTTCAAAACCTTCTCTCCTCAGACAGACATGACAGCATTTCCTTGAGTTTAATTTTTCATGGCTCTTGACAGGCTGTGCTTGCTGTAGTACAAATACCTTTGGTTACCTCCACTGTTGAGGGTTCACCTAGGAAGCAAGTTTTCCCTTTTGATGTTTAATCTTTCCTGACAGGTGATGGGGACGGTAGTAAATAAATAATCTGATCCTCATCCACATTCATTTGATTGGAATGTAAACCTGACCTATATACATGCTTTGTAGAAAAGGTGGTAGCAAGGAGTGTCTCTGCATGGAGTGGGAGTGTGGGGAGGTGCCTGCTCCTCTTCCTCACACCCTTCCTCTTCAGAAGGAAACACACTTCAGAAATCAGTTCAGTAGCATGGGGTCAGAGAGCGTGAAGGGGAGCAGAAGGTATTTTCAGTTGTATTTCATTTCCTGGCTTTTAATCCCAGCAGCTCAACGAGTGCAGGGCTTCACCAGGCAGCGCATGACGGCGTTTATAGTGCTTTGGGTGGTTAATTTCTGCTTTGCAGCTCATCAAACAAAGTGTTCCTGAACTCTTGGTTAGAGAGATAGTAAAATATATAGAAAGAACTGGGGATGGACTCCTGTAGGCTCATTGCCACAAGGCTCCTTGCTGAGGTTTCTGAGGGACTGCACGGAGTTCAGAAGAGCCAGGACAGAAGCTGAGCATGGAACCCTTCTGGGGAGAAATCTCTTTAGAGAATTCTCTTCAAGCACTGTTTCATCTCCAGTAGGAAACGGGCAGAGGAAGGGCACCATGCTTTGAAAGGAAGGATTATGTTGAAAATGTCCCTTTTTTGGCTATGTCACGTCTTGACAGTTGAGACAGTCCCTGTAAACTGGTGAATAACATGCCATAACATGCTTCTCGTATAGTGTCTGGGAGTGCTCTTGTATGAATAAGGAGCAGTGCATTTTTTTCTAGCTTTGCTGGCTGCTGTTCTCTGAGGAAAGTCCCAATGTAGTTTCAAAAGGATAAAAATCAAAGCAGGGTTTAGACAGCGCTGAAGTTCTGGGGAGCTTCTCTCCAAAATCTGAATAACATTACTTGTTTTCAATACATTTTTGAGTTGTTCATTAAGCAATTGGTTGAAAATCAGCTTCCAGGTTCGCTGTTTGCTGTGTCATTCCTTCAAGCAGCCATGGAGGGACTCTGTGGACAGAGCAGGAACTTGCTAAACCCCAGTGTCAACCCTGAGAACAAACCACATGGACACGCTCCCTCCTGCTCGCAGCCCAGTGTGGCAGAGGGGAGGTGAGCAAGCAGCGAGCGATCAGCCTGAGCCGCCGTGCTGGAAAGCTGTTATTTAACACTGTTTTTCCTTCAAACTGTCTCATTTACATATCATTAGCAAATTTCATGTTATTTGTGACCCCCACAGTAACGCTGGAACATAAAATCCTTCTGGTTGGAAATACCACCATATTAATCAGAGCTATAATCCACTCTTAACTGTAGCCATATGCACTGTAAATATGAAGTTAAAACAATGTACACCCATAAAATCTCCCTGGTTATGCGTGTCAGAGCAGGGTTTTATACGTAACTTATAATGATTGGAATGTGCTTAACCCCTGTGATGTCCCTTAAAAAGATCTGGGCCATGGGTGATTTCTTCATGTATCCTTCTGTCCTGCAATAATTCACAGAGCTCCTGACACCTGGAACTTTGGCTTTTATAAACAAATTTTCCTATTAATTTTAATGCAACAACCAAAACTTTTATATATGGGAGAACTGGGTTTTGAAATGGCTTACAGTTTCCCCCCTTATCTAACATATGGTTTACGAGCACTTCTGTCTTTATATATGCTGATAAGTGTCCTTGAGAATTTGATTTTTGCTAAAGTTTACCAGTTTTATTACAGCTATTTTAAACCTCTTGCATGGAAATGGGAGTTCTGTTCCCATCCATCACCCCGTGGATGTTAATAGGAACATCACAGCTTTTGCTGTAGGTTTGGCCAGCTCAGTGTGGCAGCAGCCCAGGCAGGCTGTCCTCTGCCTGAGTGGAAGGGTCTGCAGCAGCCACACTGGGTCTGGTGGTGCCCCTTTGCAGTTCTGTTGCTTGGGTCTGGCCCTGCTAATTCTAAATTCTTATTTGTGATCCCCCTTGTATTTTAAGAAGCTTTTGCCCCCAGTGATTTGGGGGTGTTAGATGGAAGGTGAGGAACAAAATACTCCCTGTTTAGAGCAGTAGAGCTGGTGGCACTTCACGTTGGTGGAAGAGCTTTTGTTGGGTTTCATTTTATTGGCTAATTTGGAAAGTTGCACAGAAGTTAAAGACTGTAATAACATTATGAAGCATCTCATTAGGCTGAGACGGGGGAGCTGCTGATGGGCTCCATAGTCTTAATTATCAATCTTGATGTATTGATGGAGTTCTCAGTTCTGAGGCATTTGCTGTTCAAGGCAGCTGCTTTACAGCCTTTGCCAGACCTGCAGAAATCTGAGCTAAAATGGGACTCTGAGCTGCTGCTGGAGTTGTAGCACAGCTCAAAGCGCTGAGCTTGAGAGTTTTAAAGTTCAGCCTTTCCAACAATACCACAGGGAAATCTGTTTGTAGCTTGTGTTGGAGTTGGGTTCATGGTCCTCATTAGGAGTAGATGTTGATTGGTATTTGTGGTGATTAATATGCCCAGTGTTCAATGTTGGGTTTATTTTGTGATTGGAATTAAATTGGAATTTTGTGTATTTCCATATCTCACCAATGAAAGGTCTGTTGCTCCTCTGTCTCTCTGTAACTCGAGTGTGTTTTTCCTTTTCCTAGAACTACACTCAGTACATTCCCCTCTCCATCTATGACCTGCAGACCTGGATGGGCAGCCCTTCCATTTTCGTCTATGACTGCTCCAACGCCGGCCTTATTGTCAAGTCATTCAAGCAATTTGCACTACAGAGGGAGCAGGAGCTGGAGGTGAGATCACAGCCTCCTGCAAGGATTTCACTCCTGTTTGTGCTGCAGGGCTAAGTTTCAGCTTGCTTTGCCATGTACAGCTGAAAAATGTGTTTAAAACTGTGGTGGAAAGCAAATTAATTTGCAAATAATTCTGCCACTCCAGTCTCTCTGGTTCAGTTTGCTATTCTATTAAACATGGAATGATTTTTAATGCAAGCACTAATGAAGTGGTAATGTTAATAGACTCACTTCATGTCCTAATGGTCCTTTCTGCTGGGATAAATGCTGGGGTGAGCTAGACATATTTATTTTAGTTTCCCAAGTCTTGCATCTGGGTATGTATTTGGGTGCTGTTGGAGCTTTGTGCTGTTGAAGTGAAGGTGAAAATGTGAAACAAACTGAAATCAACCTGATACATGGAGGTGTTGTCACTGGTGGTTCAGTCTCACAGAGTGCTCGAGTTGAATATGTTTCTAATGAAAAGTTGTTTTACATTGCAAATATAATTACTAATACATTTATTGACATAAATCACTGACACTCCTCACAGTTTAAGCAGGGGATTATGCTCAATTAAATATGAACTAATCGAGTCTTGGAAAATGAAGTCTTGTTAGAACAGTTCTAGATGTTGAGATGCACAGACCTTACTTTAGAGTTATTTTTCAGTGTAAGATTCAGTGCCTAATGCAGAAATTAACACATTTTTCCATCCAGAGGAGTATGGGTAAGGACCTTGAACCCTCCTACTAAAGCATTAAGGTTTGTTTCTGCTGGTACTTTGATGGTTGCATTGCAGGAGGCAGTGCACGTTTACGTTTCTCTTTTTGTTGGAAGGTAGCCTCTGTGCTTACACAAGGTAATTTTCTCTCTTCCCTTCTCCAGCTTGACCTTTTTGCTCTAGTGAAGTAGAACGCTGTATGGGGAGAAACAAGGGGCGTTCAGTATTCTTCTGGCTACCGACAAGAGTTGTCTTTATGCTTCATGGCAGGAATTCCTGCCTAGTTCAGCCAAATGAATTGCATTTTTCCATTTGAAGCTATTCTGCCATCTGTGGTGAATGGTTATGGGCCACAAGAAGGATGAGTTTTGCTTAACTTGCTTCCACAGTGCTTGTCTCCAAGCTGGCAGATGTGAACTGAAGACTCTGAAGTGGTGATCACAGTTCAGGCTGTTGCACGTTGCTGGGGTTGGTGTGTGGTCAATGCCCTTTAAGTACTGTTAATCCTGTGTGAGTTAAAATGATGGTTGCTGCTTCTGCAGTCATAAACAACTCGGGATCCAGAGATCCACCAACCTTTGACTTGGTTAGTTTCAGAATGGCCTAGCACCTCACCTTCCTGCTTCACCACATGGGTGATCTCCTTGATCTCTGCAGGTGGCTGCAATTAACCCCAACCATCCACTCGCCCAAATGCCTTTGCCTCCCTCAATGAAGAACTGCATCCAGCTGGCAGCCTGCGAGGCCAACGAGCTGCTCCCCATGATCCCGGACCTGCCGGCCGACCTGTTCACGTCATGCCTTACTACACCCATCAAAATCGCTCTGAGATGGTGAGTATCTTCCTCAGTGTCGATGGCAAGTGTGTAATTTGGGTAGCTTGGCTGTTGAAACGATAGCTTTGTTAATCCAACCTGAAGGTTCTCTGCAATATTGAATTACAGGATTTGAACTATGCATCTGGGACAGCATTTTATTAATCAGAACTAGAAAGGTGCAGATATTGTGATCTTCTACTTATTACGTTTTAGTTTCCAGCTCAATATCTAGGTTTGCTTAGATTAAGGGATTTACTGTTCTGGGAATTAAGTATCTACTTCTTCAGAGAGCAGAAATAGTTCATAGTGCAATATAACTTTTGGTAAATTGTCCTTTGTACAAATCATATTCCAAATATTGCAGTTGCTGTAAATAATACAGTAGCACTAAATAATGCTGTAGTGAAAGAAATTGAGCGATAAACCAAAGAAAGATGCTCTGGAATGACAGACCAAGTTAATTAGGCAGAAAGTTCTCAAAGGCTGCTATGAGAGCTTTCCAGGAGCAGTATTTTTACCCAGCAATGGAGAGGATCATGAGTAATCATGGAGCTGGTGTGAGGAATCTGGTACCTCACTGACTCATTCCTAACCAGCACGTTTCACTCCATCCTCTCAAGGTTTTGTGTCATTGAGAATGAAAAACTTGAGGGCATTCACTAGGCAGGGTTAAAGCAGGGGGATGCCTATAGCCTTACCAGCAGTGGTAAGCAGTGGCGTCACTGCAGCTTCAGGAGCTATTAGCTGTCTTTTGGAGACACTCAGAATAATTTGCAGTTCTTACACACTTTCTGACTTAAATAAGCAACCAATGAAGCGAGTTAACTTGAGCAGGTTCTGGTTCAGCTGCTCAGTGCCTCTGACTGATCCCTTCTGCTCGTGTGAGGGGCAGCACGAGATTTGTTTCATTCCTTAATCCCAGGTTTGATTTCATGAGCTCGCAGGGTGTTTTCTCACAGAAGAGAGTCACAGCTTGTCAACACAGGCAGATGTCTCGGATGATGTGCAAAAGCCAGGCTAAGAGCCTCAGTGGCATTAGGAATAGTTTCAGGGGAAAGCTTGAGAGAGCTGGGGAGGAAAGGGTTTTTCTGACCCAGGTTTCATGGACCAGGAGTCTGAAGTAATGGGAGGGTAGCCTGGAGTTTCAGCTGAGGAATGGCAAGCCTCTAAGTACATTAGGCAGGTAGGTGCTTCTTTCATGGTTTTACAATCCTTTTCCTCTTACTTTCTCCTTCTGTTGTAAAAATGAAGCATTGTGTTGTTTTTCCCTTGTGGTTACTGGGGGCATGTTTCACCAGTTGGGCCATATTTGAAGTGAAAACGCTGTGGCTGTGTGAGAGGGGCTTTGGGGTTGGGTGTTGTGGGGGATTTTATGATGTGGGTTTTTTACATGCACACTGAGGAAGGTTGGGGTTTGTTTTGATGGTATGATCTGCTCAGGAATTTTCTGTTACTCATCTCCATGGGAACGTAGCTGAGGGGGTGTTCAGGGCAGGCTCTCCTGCAGAGCTACGTGTGGCGTAAGCATGAGATACTCAGAGTTGGGTCTTGTTAGTGTCTGGCAGGAAATGCATTTGTAGAAATGCAGCTAGGGATGGGTGTAAAACTCACCTCAGCTCTGCAAGGGGCTGGTGCTGGTAGACACCATGTGAACTCTGGATAGTACAGCATTCCCTACTACCTCAAATCCAATGATGGAGTAGGAAACCAAATCAAATCTATGTGTGTTGCTTACACGTATCTATTCTCTGATGAAGATTATGCTCCTTTTATAGTCCCTGTTGATTGGCATTATTACAGTTGTGGTTTTATCCATAAGAAGTGCCTGCCTGCAGAGCGCTGTTACTGCTGTTAACAGAATCCATGCACAGCCAGACCCTCCTCCTGCATTCCAGCTGCTTGATGCAAATTGTGTTGGTGTCCTAAAGCAGACAGTTAACTGGAAATAGAGATGGAAATCTGGGTCATTAAAACTTCTCATTGCTTCAGTCTCACCCTTTTACCAGGGCTGATCCGAGCCCTGCAGAATTGCTTTGGAAATGCACTGGCTTTGCCGTTCCAGACTGACAGGCTAATGAGGTTTCATAGACTGAATTTATGGGCAAATAAAAGTTTGATGAATACATTCCTGTACATCCCATTTTGTGCTCTCTGCTGTAAGTAAACAACTGATGGACAAAAATCCCTCATCAGATGGGCCTGCAGCTTCAGTCTGATTGCAGGGCAGAAAAGCCAGCGCTGGTGAGAGAAATCCGGGTCCGTTATGCGCTTCTGAATGTGGTCCATGAGACTTCAGTATGGTCTGACAGTTTGGGAACCCAGTGTATGAATTCTGGTACTGATTATCTTCATGTGTAGCGGCTGTTGTGAGCTGACATATTCCAAATATATGTTATAACTACGTAGAGCTGTGAGACAAGCTTAGAGATAAGCTGTCTGCATTGTTAATCTTGACTGACATGCACTAATCGGGACATAAATGCAGCTATTGCAAGAAGAGGCAGAAATGAGTGTGTGTTTGGTGCCCCGGTTCAGGCAGATCCATGCCTCTCGTGCTGTCTAAAGCAAAAAGCAGCTATACTGGATGCTAGGATCAGTGGTGCGTCATATGCTGGTGCTATCTTCAATCCCTGAAGAGATAAACCAGCTGCAATTGTATGTTCAGGATTTAACACATCAGGGAGAAGGCTGTGCTTGTCTGAATTGCCTGAAGGACCCTATGGCTTTGAACCATGATGTCCCACTCATTAAAGGGCAATAATAGGGCTCCTGAAGTGTGCTGGAAACCCCCAAACTACAAAGAAGCGAAAGGTTTGGGAGCTGCTCAGGCTCAGGTGTGCAGTTTGTACACCAGGATGGGGGTGCAGCAACCTTGTAAGTGCATGGGAACAAAAACTTCAGCTGCGACAGCTCATGTTCTGTTGGATCAATTAAAGCAGGTGTTTAAAGTGGAGGGGGTTTAACCCATTTATTTCTGCTTGAGATTTTTGAGGGTTACCTGAGCCAGTCCTTGGTCCCAAATTTATCTAGAGAAACTAAATTGCGTTTCAGAACCCTCCTGGGATACCTGAGCAGAACCAGTGGGGCTGTTAGGTTTATTTCTGTTTTCTTCTTTCATCCTGGCATTTACTGGTGTGTTTATGTGCAGCTCTAACATAGTTCACCTGATGTTTGTGCTGATGACACCAACCATCACCTGAGACCTCAAGGGCTCCTGCTTGTGCAAGGGGTGGGGGCAGCTGGGCTCCTGCTTCGCACTGTCCATGGATCTTCTGTTCCTGGGAGAGTGGATTTTGGAAGTACAGGGAAAAGGGGCTGGGAATGCAGTGAAACCTCTGAGGAAGTCATTTCTCAAGAGGAATTTGCTGGTTTTCGTTCCCAGCTCTGTTGTTGCCCAGGTCTGTCCCCTGGGCCACAATGCACATCCCAGAGTGCTGGAGGAGTGAGACACACTGGGAAGCGGCCGGCAGTGTCTTGTCTTCCCACACCCGCTTGGCTTTAGGCACCTGGGGGATTTTCTAGGCACAGGGAGCATAGTGCCAACAGGGCCCTGTGTTTCCAGGGCTGGCCTTCCCGAAGCAGTGCTTGTGGAGTGCTGAGGAAATGGAGTCAGCACTTTTTTAATTGAACAACGGAGGCGTTTGGAGTTGAAGCATCCCTGTCGCTCCCTCCTGCACTCCCTCCCCTGCCTGCAGCGCCAGAGCTCTTCAGGGAAGCCCAGCCAACGCTGATCATTATTCCAGAGGCATAAACCTCCTTGGCTCTCGTGTCGTCTTGCTCCTCCCGAGGGACCGTGCGGGATGACTGCGAGCCCTTTTCCCCTGCTCCGGGCTGGAAAACTTGTCACTGTGACAGTTACAATACCCCAGTTTTGACACCTGACGATGGAAATCGCCGCATAATCATGAGTGTGACAAACACTGAGGGCTTTGCTTCATTCTTATTATGCTGTAGCCAAGTTTGCTACCCAAACACTGTTTTAAAAGCAGAAGCACTGTAATAAGGAAACCTCCTTCCATATTCTTTTCGCAGAACCCTGTCATTAAATAGTCAATTAGTGTGTTTTATTTTATTCTCTTCCCCACAGGTTCTGTATGCAGAAGAGTGTCAGGCTGGTGCCAGGAGTCACACTGGATTTAATAGAGAAGTAAGCCAAATTTTATGATTATTCTTTATCCCCTGTCCCTCTTCATTTCCATGTTATTTCTTGCATTTCTCTTGTTTGTCTGCGAGGAGATTTCTTTGGAAAGCTTTTCAGGTCTGCACCTATGGTGTTTGTCATTCCTTGCCTTCCTGTGTGCTGAAATAAACTGTGGTCGTCAAAGCAAGTGGGGCTTTGCTTGGCTCCACGAGCTTTGGGTCCTGTGGTTTTTTCTGCTTGGGCTGCAGGGAGATGGCAACCACAGCCACAGGTCATGGCCATGTTCTGGAGCCCAGCCCAGGTTTTGGTGTGGGCTTTGCCCAGCAGAGCCATGCTCCCAGCCCTGTGAGCTGCACAGCACCCCATGACACCAAAACCAGCTCAGAAACAGGAAAACACACAGCCAAAAATGGTTTGGCACGTCATCACTGTGCTGGCCTCGTTGTCTTTGTCTGATGGTGCTCTTATGTTTCAGATGTAACACCACGAAACATGTTCTTTTATCCAGGTGATATTTGAGCATCATTACTGGTTGTCAGGCAGCTGAGGCAAACTGATTAACCAGGACAACTGTTTGTCAGATTCAGTTTATACAAACAAAGGAGATTTTGAACTATTAATAATAGTAATTGTCCACTGTGTGCTTGGGTTTTAGGATTTTCATGATTTTCTATCTTTTTTCATGGGAAGTATGTACCAGCAGCAGATGCTGGCTGCCATGAGCTGCAGTAGCTCTGTGCTCCCTGCAGGTTGCTTTTGAATGCCCTGTGCTTGGAACACTGATGCACACACACAGACACACACACACACACAAACTGCCTGGGAGTGATTCATTAGGGATCATTCATGTGATTTCTGAGAAATGTTGACTTAGAAATGCAGCTGTTGATTAATTAGAGCTCTTGTGCCACACGGATGTCCGGAGCCCAGGTAGCATCCTTTGTGTTGGATGGAGACTGAAGAATTGAAGGGCATCCCGGAAGGGGTCAGGAGAACAGGAATCTGCATAATAAGCGTGAATTCTTAATAGAAATACATTATCATACTTCCTGGTGCTTTAATAAGGCGCTGCCTGGTGCGGCGAGGTGCAGGAATCCTTCACTGCTCCTGCTGCCAGTCGCAATTACCTGTTACAGCAGAAGCCATGAGGCTAAGATTGCCTCTGCGAACGTTTCTTGTTCAGATTTTGCTTCAGTAAATCACTCCGTGTTAACCTGCGTGTTTTACATTCAGGTGGGGTTAAAAATGCTTCTCGGTGCTACTCACTCTTCCACAACATGTATTTTAGAAGAGTCGGGCTCATCAGTAGTCTTGAGGTATTTAATCATGCTCATTTTATATGTGAAAACCTGATTATCCCACCTCATCTCAGTTGGGGAAGCTGAGTAATGATTCTCGTACAGCTGTACTTCAGAGGCACTAATCTTGCCAAATAAGAACAGTTTTTCAATTTACAACTAGAATAATAGAGAGAGGATCCCATCAGTCAGAGGCAGCATCAGGGCAGTTGCAGAGATGTGGCAGCCTAGGAGAGGGTCCACCACTGGGTGTTGTTTTCTCTGAAAGCCATGGTAAAACATGGTGGGCTTTGTTTTCCTTTCGGATTTCAGGAGATGAGGAGCAGGAGGGAAATGTAAAACCTCCCCAGGGCTTCGCCTTGCTCTGCTGTGTGCTCAGGGTGGCCTGACAGGGATTTGGGGTGTGATGGGCATCACCAGCATGGGCTGGGGTCACCTCAGGCCACTGGCTAAATGTGTTCCAGAGCAATGACAGTGTTATGTTAATTGCAATTAACATTGCTGCAAGTGTGTACCTAATCAAGGAACATGTGGCAAGGGTCAGGGAAGGTCTGAGCCAGGTAGCTTAAGAGTTGGCTTCATGGAACACTCGGATGTGCTGCTGAGCGTTAAATGCTCTTTAAATAATGGTTTACAGGCAAAAGAAGCTCTCTTCAGTATTCTTAGTTCTTAAAGGTCAGTATTACAGGAAATGTGCATTCTTTAAGGGCTGTTTTCATGGAAAGTGTGCCAGAAGTAGGTTCCTGGGGATATTATTATTATTTCAATCTGTACCAGTTACAGGAAATACGTGGGTTTTATTCCAGTCTCGAGATAGGGCTGCAGTGCCTCCTGCATTGGCTGTGTGTACACTGTAATTTATGATTTAGTTGTCTTTAAACTGGTGAAGGAGTTTATTTGGCAATTAAGCTGCAGAACTGGGGACTGACTGAGGCTGTGCCTTCTGTGAGGAGCTCAGATTGCTGATTGTCTGGGCTAACCCAGGGCCTGATGACTGGGCCTGGCGTGTATCCTGATGTGCGGTTAGATCACACATCTTTGGAGATGAAGCCAAAGTAATCCCTAGTTTAAAAACAGGGATCTTTGCTGGAGCCAGACAGGAAAATGATGTCGGTGAAGTACTGGGAATTTGGGAACCTTGGGCTGCCACTTCCTAAAGCCCTTTGGTGGTAGCATTGATGTCGGGTGTTCCCACTGCCTTGGTTGGCCTGTCCTGTTGGATCACCTGTCTCTGTTGGCACAACTTGTGTGGCTGTTGAGTGGGATGAACTGGGGCTGTGATCTGCTTTTTAAACATTTTGGGAAAAACCCTAAGGAATCGTTTCACTTGGTGTAGGGTGGGAATACAAAGCTGGGTGCTGAGAGCCAGGGATGCACAAGAATGACGCTTTGATCCATGTGGCTGCATTAGGCTCCCTCCTGAAGTCCCATTCTCCAGAGAGCAAGGGTGGGATGTTGCTTCCTGGGGTTTTTTTTCCTCTGGGTCCCTGTTACAGGAGGAAGGAATTCTCTGAACAAAGCTCGCTGTGAGCCAGGGGCTGTTGGTGCTTCTGGGGAGGCCACTTAGAAAACCATCTTCTCAGGTGAGCACATGAGCATGGCACCAGAGCTCACGTTCACAAGCAGGAGGGAGCCTCGGCCCTGCTCTCAGGGTTTGGTGACAGAGAAAGGACCTTTTCTGACTGTCAGCTCTGCGTCACGTAGGCAGGAGCAGCGTGGGAGAGCTGCGTCTGCAGCCTGAGCTGCTGCTGTGCTGAGAGCAGAGCCCATCTCTGCTGTCACTCACCAGCACAAAGCCCATTGCTGAAAGCCATGAGAAATAACAAATCTGAGACTGAAATTAATGTTTGCTTCCACTTTAAGCATTGTCAAATGTCACAGACTGGAAATTATGAATGTTTTAATGTTGTTGGTTATTGATGAGTAATGGTTCAGTAGGAGCCACTTGAAAGATGAAGTAGGAAAATAAAATCCCACGATGTTATATGGCAAAGGTAGTGTAAGTGGGGGAAATGTAGAACTGCTGCTGTGCTCTAACAACCACCTTTGGTGTGTGCTCTCAGGACTTGGCTAAGCACTTGCCTTGAGGATGAGAAATGGCAGGGCAGGCAAAGGAGAGCAGCTGAGGAATATCAGGATTCTTTCCCTGGGTGATCCCAGTAGACACTATTGGCAGCTCCAGTCCCTTCCAGTGCCATTTCCTCTGCCTGCCTGGTGTCCTGCCCCTGTGGCTGGTGGGATCCATTAGCATCGCCTGGGGCCATCAGAGCTTCATACCACCAGCAGCTTTCTGCTGACCATTTGAATTCCTCACATCAGTCTGGGTAGAGTTTGTTGTGTGGAAAGTCACTGGAAATGGTTTGTTTGAAAAGGTCAGAAGGACGAAAGCTGCCCAGGTATGGAATAACCTTCCTGGCTTGTGCTTGGGTCTGAGCAAACAAAATGGGTGTTGCTGTGTAAGGAGACGAGGCCAGCTGCTAAACTGAAATGGTATTTCCAGCAAGAATCAATACTGAGTTCTAAAAGGATACTGATAATGCCCTGGAACACCCTGCTGCCTGATGAGAGGAGATGCTGCCAGAGCTGCTGCTACAGAGGCTTGCTAGAAATCATCAGGATTCAAACTAGATGGGGAAAGGCATTTGGCTACTAGAAAAGAGCTCTGTTTCAGCAGGACTGGGCAGGGACAAATCCTGCTGCCTCTTGGGCAAGTGCATAAAGGCAGCTGAAGACAGAGCAATGGTTCTGCTGTCGACAGGACCCTGATCTCTGTCGTTACGAGTAGCACAAGGTGAGATGTCCCTGCAGGTACCTGCTCAACCATTTCACATGCTGAAACGCTGCAGCCTGGGGGTTTATAGTTATTATTTCATTTCTAGTGGGAAAAGCATCATTTTGAGTTTGCCTTTTGAGCGAGACAGGCACCTTCCAGCCCCTTTATTTTCTCCTAGAAGATTCAGTAGACGGCGTTAGAGCATGTTTCAGGATGTGTCGTGCTGAGTGGTTTTAGCCCTGGTCTAAGAGGGTGCCGTGCCACGCTGCCTGTTGCCAATACCTCCCTCATTAGCACTTGAGCTGAGGCAAAACTTTGCTATTGAAGATGCTATTCTGGAAAGTTCCTCTTCTGTAATAAACTGAGGTTTATCGAAATGGAGTGTTTCATTTTCTCACCATTGTTACAGGGTATCAGGCTCTCGTGTAGGCAAAGCCTATTGTAAATCCGGCGTGAAGGTAGCACTCGAAAGGGTGGTTTTCATGGCAACACTTCATTCGTGTCTTCGTATGGAGAGATGAGAGACTGAGCACTGGTGTACAGAGCTCTGCAGCACTCTCAAACAAGTGGCTGAAGAACCTCAGAGGTTTTGTCTTTCTTGAGTAGTTCCCAAGGTTTTGGGAGCCCAGTGGCTTGCCACCTGCCTCACTGCCCTCCTTTTGTGATGAGAACATGTTGTCTCTGAGCACATGAACTGTGTTGATCCTGTCTAACCAGCTCTTGCCGGTTCTAGGTGTCCACAGCACTCTATTGTGTTCCTGCTCATGGTACTGATTGCTGTGGTGTCTCTTTTCCCCTGGAGGAATGAAAAGGGAAGTGTTCTTGTGTTATTTTCTGTTTAAAAGCATTGTGAATGTGGGCAGGTATTTGATACATCAGTACCAAAGCAGCTTGTGTTCTGAAATCTAAGTATGATACTGCATATCCCAGTACTTGTGTGTATTACATTCCAAAAGAAGAGATACCGATGGAGCCCATTGAAGGGAGAACCTGGCATCCTTTGGGGCACATGCTTCCCCTGTAGTGAGAATGATTCATGGGAGGCTGCTGAGTTTTTGACAAGGTGATTGATGGTTGCCCCTTGCACGAGCTCCTCCGTGACCCTGGCATTTTGTAGTCCTCACTTTGCACAACAGAGTGCTGGGATTTTGGTCTCAGTGAAGGCATCTGTCGGGAAGTTGATGGAAGAAACAATTGAGAGTGTGGAGATGTGCAGTTGCAGCGAGCAGCTGGGACGTGCTGCCCTTTCTCCCTTTTCTTCCCCTCACTCAGGAACAGTTTTTACAGATGAGGGCTGCTTTGTCCTCACTGTCAAAGGCTCTCGCTGATTGTCAGACGTTAATGTGAAAGACATCAGGAGAAGCGGTATGAGGACGACAGCAATGTTCCTCGTGGGGAAAAAGACTTTCTGGAGCCTTGTGACGTTCTGGTTCTGTAGATGCGTGCCCAGACAGAAAGGAAAAGAAGAAAGAGAAGGTTGTACAGGGAAATGTACTGATCTAAAGTATTTTACCTGAAAAATGACAGTGTGTTTGTGTAGTGGAACCATACAGAAATAACAAGTCAAATGACCTGTGCTTTAAGTAAGGGGTAGGTGATGTTAAAAAAGAGCATAATTAATTATTTCAAATAGATGTTTATAAGTGTGTGAAGAAACACACAGTGCATTGGTTTGTGTCTCTCTTCTGACTCTGGCCCACGTTGTGGTTGGTTGCTGTAACGTCATGCCATGGTGCAGCCTTTCTGGCTGAAAACTGCCTTGGAAGTGGCCATCAGATGGTTTAGGTTCAGCGTTTGGTTTGCTGGGAATCTTGGCAAAGATCTTTTCATCATCTACTCAGTCGTGTTCTGACTTGGAAATGCTGCAGAGGGTGTTCTGCAATGCAAATATTGATGTGAAATCCTCACAAGAGCAGTGGCCTTGGGTTCCCTCTGCTTGCTCTGGGACTTGGTTAACAAATGCTGGCTCAGAGATGCGGGTTTTCCTCTGGTATCAAGACAGACAGGGATTCTTTATAAGATGTTAATTTCAGGCTGGTTTACAAACTGTATTTATACAAGGGAATATGCTTCATCTGAACCTGTGTGGAACTGGTGCTAATGTACAGAGCAGGAGAGTAAGTTGCTATAGAGAAAGGGCTTCGTGTAGTTTGTCTTGATACTTCTAATATTTGAAACTTGTTCCCGAAGGGAAGCTGGGGTGTGTTGGGATTAAATCATAGGAAGTCTTACTGGGTTGGGTGCATGTTTCCGAAGTTTCTCCATCCTCTCTGATACCTTCTCAAGGGGAAGAGGCTCTGCTTGAGAGCACTGGGTTGTGTTTGCTCTGTGTCTGAGTGTTAATAAGAGAGCCCAGGCTGAGTCTGTTTGTCGTGGGTGGGTTTTTTCTTCTTGTCTGTGTTTTTAGGAGAAGCAAATAAGCGTTAGGAAGTGGGTGAGGAAAGCTGGTCAGGAGATGCTGAAGACCAGCTCACAGCTTTTCCTCCTTTAAACAGCGTTGTGTGCATTGATTTTGGGTCAGGGCAGCCTGATTTTCAGTCTCTGCAATCACAGAAATCAGATTACATGTTGGTCCTGGAGTGTCTTTGGACCTCACTGGTGAGCAGATACAGCATGAGATCTTTATTCTGCTCCTGGATGACTTGTTTCAGCCTATAAAAGCAGGATCCTGGGAACAAGAAGATTCCTGGTGGGACAGTGCTGTCCACCGCTGCTGAATGGTGTGTTGGTGCTTGGAATAATAAATGTTTAAAGAACAATAACTGTTCTTTTCCTGGAATATGATGCCTCAGGAGTTCTTACACAGGGATGTTGCAGGTGGTGAGCAAGTGGTTTGTAGTATTTATTATTAAATGTTTCAGCAAGAAGTGAATAATGGCTAAAATGAAGCTGGGTGGTACTTCAGAAGAAAAAAGGCATTTCCATTGCATCTCAGAGCTCCACATCATCCCTGTGATGTCTTCCCAGACATTTTCCTTTAGCTCAGTTACCTGTAAATGATTCCTGCTTTATCATCCTTTATCTGGCAGTTCATCTCCCAAGCAAATTCAAATGTGATAGACTTTGGATAAGGGAAGTCTGTCAGCAACATGAATTATTTGTGAAGAATTAAGGTCTGGAATTATTTGGTGGGCCTTGATTGAGCCTCAGAGGAGCGCATGGGTGCGTGTCGCAAAACGTGTGGGTTTAATAGGAAGTGGCATTTTTCCCATTGTAGGATCCCGGGCAGACTGAATGACAGGAGAACCCCCCTGGGAGAGCTGAACTGGATCTTCACCGCTATCACAGACACCATCGCCTGGAACGTCTTGCCTAGAGGTAAGGCTTGGGCAGGCGAACCGAGTCTGCTCAGGAGCAAGCATCGCTTATTCACAGCACAAGGGTGAAGAGTGAGATAAATGAGGCACTGACAGGAGGAGAAAATGAAAGCCTGCTATGGAGAGCACAGATCAGACTGGATCTCAAGGCTAGTTAAACTTTTTAATTCACTCTTTTTACCAGAAGCATTTCAGCAACCTGATCATTAGAAACCAGAAGGGCTTTTTCTAGTGCTAACATGATAGCTTTAAGCTTGAATGATTCTCATTCTTGCTGTACTTGTACAGAGCAATCTGTTTTCTTCCAGCCTTTGTTAGTATCACAAATAAAGGGTTCTTTCCTCTTTGCTGGTAAGGCAGCCTGGGATCCCCACCACTAACTTCATCCCATTACTCTGTCCCTGTTGTGCTTTGAATTGATAACTCTGGAGCATGGGTGGCCAAATGTGTGAACAGTCTTCCTGCTACACTCTTCCTGATGCTCAGCACTACCTAAATTCATCTTTGCCTCTATGGAAGAGAGCACATTTGCTATCTTTTAGGATTCATTTTGGCTTCTTACAAGCACAGCCAACTGCCACGTATGTAGTTCTTGATTAAATAGTGCACAGAGGTCCTCTTCTCCCTCGGTAACTTCTGAAAACTCAGGCTGAAACACCAACAAGGGAATTTTACCTAAAAAAGGCAAAAAAAGAACCTGATACAGAAAAGTATTTGATTCTGTTAATGTGAAATGGAGCCTCGCTGTGTTGCTTTAAGGGAACTCAGAGGCAGGATTTCCTTTTAACAGTTGTCACAGCATGTCACTGCAGAGCTGGTGTAGAGTCCCTTGAACTGGAATAAGGTGTTACCATGCTTTTGTGTTTTAACTGATTTGTGCATGTTACCTGAGGCACCGAAGCTATGGAGACACACACCCAGTAACTCACGTGCTCTCTTGGCAGACCTTTTCCAGAAGCTCTTCAGGCAGGACCTGCTTGTGGCCAGTCTGTTTCGGAACTTCCTCTTGGCAGAAAGGATTATGAGATCCTACAACTGCACCCCGGTGAGCAGCCCCCGCCTGCCTCCCACCTACATGCACGCCATGTGGTAAGTGACAGCCAGTGGCTTCAGAGGCATGTGCTGGTGCCTTGAGATGTCATGGAAGATTGTTACTGCTGAAATCTGCACAGTGCTTTGCTGGTTGAGCCAGGATCAGAACTGGAACAGCCTGTGGCAGCATTATAGCCATCTCTGTGCATGTGTAATTATAATGTAGTTCTGTGATACAGCAGCATCAGGTCACTCCAGTCTTTCCCTCCAAATAGAAAAGTTGGGCATCTGCTACCTTTATTTTCCCAAAGTAAAGCTGATCACAGATTGGGAAGGGTGGGGAGAGCTGAGGACTTGAGGGAAGAATTCTTAACTTGGGATGCTGAAGTAGAAGAAGTTCTTTGCTGCAGAGTTTATCAACTTTTAGTGGTGCTTTTAGGATGATTAATGGAAGTGGAGGTGGCACCGTTACTGAAAAGCTCTTAAAGGGGGGTTTGAGTGTCAAACCAATGTCCCGTGAACAATAATAATAAAAATAACAGTAATACCAAAAATGTTTGCTTTTATTTATTCACTATGATTGAATAGAACAGTACAAGATTTGGCAAAGTAGAAGCTGGTACAGCCAAGCTGTCATAGTTCCTGGAGGAGACGATGATAGCCGGGTAGCATGCTAAAAGGCTAATAAAACAACAGGTGAAGGTAACTGAGTGGGCTTAATCTGCCTGCACTTTTGATGTGTTTCCTCCATAAAACTGTGGAGGAAAATGAATGTATGGAGTGATGGTGATCAGTGCAGGGCTGATAGCAGCAATCATGGCATGGTTTCCCCGAGCTAACGACAGAGCCCCCCCAGCAGTTGCAGGTGGAAGCTATCACTGCGGAGGCGTTTGCTGGCAATTGTGAAGCTGCTTTAATTATTGAAGAGAGTGGAGGCAACAGGGAGGTTTGGATGGAGTTGGAGCTGGGCAGCCTCACTAAGTGTGCTGCGAGCTTGTACCCAGCAAATTATGTTCTTCACCTTGTGTGACATGAGGGGCTGGGCTGTTTGTCAGTGAGGAGCAGAAAACCCTCCAGAGTTCAGATGGTGGCTCTGAGGTGATGCTGCTGCTGGATGTGGCTCATCTCAAGCAGCAGAACCATGGTGCAGAAAGGTGGAAGACGACTGCAGAAATGTTGAAATTAAACCAGTAAATCTCTGGAGTTATTTATAGCTCATTGCCAGCATATTAAAAGCCTCTGTTTCCAGTTCCTCATGGGAGTATAATTCATTCTTATTGCCAGCGTATTAAAAGCCTGCATTTTGGTTTCCTATGAGAGTATGGCTTGACGTGGAGTTGGTGTTGCTGTTCACATGCTGAACCACGGGAATGAAAGGAGAAATCCCTGGACCTCGTTCTGTGTCTTATAGAGCTGCATGGTAGCGTGATGGATTCTAGATGTCCATTCCTTGCTTGTGCTGTATTTCTCCTGCTGCAGAATGGTGCTATCAATACCTCTGTAAAGCTCCCCAGACCATACCACAGGTTAACAGCATCATCACTACTTTTTAGGATTTACCAGAAGAAGAAATTCTCAGGAAAAGTCACCCACAGGGCTCTTTTCCTTGGGAAATCCATACACAAAGCAGGCAGCCAGGGAGCAGAGAATCCTTTGACACATTTTATTCAGCATCCTCCAAAAAAACGTGCAGTTTGAAGCAAATATGGCAAAGGGAAAATTCCACTTTTGCCAGGGGTGGCTGGGTTCATTAGTGTGAACTTTCAGCAGGGACGGATTTAGAAACTAATTTGAGGCTTGCTTAAACGTTTTCTAAAAATAGTCGCTTATCTGTCACCTTTCATTCAAGAATTTTCTAATGGATCCCTGATCTGCAGCCTCCAAACCCACTTTGGTGTTCAGATAACCTCAGTGATGTGGCTGGAGGGCAGGAGAGTTGGCCAGAGGAGCATGGAAAGAAGGGAGACTTTCAACATGACTTGGTGATCGCGTTGGATCCACATCCGCAGCGTTACATGGTGGATGATGCAGCAAGGGGTTGCTGACTGCTGGTTTATTTGAGGCTCTTCACTGATCTTTTCCATTCTCAGCATGTCAGTGTTTTGGGGAGTGAGTCCTGGCTGCTGTGTTGTCAGCGATGCTCACTTGGGTTTTAACTTATTGCTCACAAAGTGGTGGAGTGTTGTTATAGCTTCCCCACCACATATGTGTATATATCCTCTTCTCTTCCATTATCCTCTGGGCACTCATCTGGGCTTTTCTCCTCCATTCACAAAGGCACTGTGGGATTACTCTGCTATGTCTGTTGTGCTGTTGGACACAAGCTGTTGGATAGTGACTGCAACTGGGTGGTTCCCCAGAGTCATGCTCAAACGTCTCATGATCCGGGGATCTGGCCTGGTGGTACAGGAGCAGGGGGGCTGCAGGAGGTAGGAGTTCTGTTGGTTTAGCCCTTTGGAAACAGCTTTTAATGATTTTGACCTATTAAATTGTGGTTCTATCAACTCACCTGGGAGACCGCTGTCACCTCCCTGTTCATCATCGGCTTTACCCCAGTAGTTGAGGAAAAGTGAAAACTTTTAAGGGAAAATCTGACCCACAAGCTGCCAGTCTTCATTTCACCAAGAGAGCTGTGTTTAGGAAGCAGGAGAGCTCATCTCAGTGACCTTGCCCTCTTTGTTGGGCTCTGACATATTCCTGTTGTGTCTTTCTTATTGTATTGGCTTTCTCTGGTTCCCCTGCTCAGGCATGAACCCTCCTGGGCACAGGCTGTGGGTTGTGTTTGCCTGGTGCCTCACACTGTAGGTTCTTGGCTGCTGCAGGCACTACTGTAATACAGATATTAATATTAATATATATTGATTGGCTGTACTATTTGACTTCCAGAGTTGTTCCCTCTATTGTGCAGTAAGAATAGGAGGCCTGATGCTCTGTCAGCAGCTTCATCTCTGTTGTGATGGATTATGGTTTATATGTTACTGCTGTTGCCAGCAAGTTATATTCACAGCCTTTGAAAAGGCCTAATAATGCATTTGGAAATATCTCCTAACACAGGTCATATATTAAAACAAAGTACCTTAATTATGTTTTGGAAGAGCTTTGATTTCTCCATTACAGAAATATTGCACTAGCGTGTACAGTGATCATGAGATTGGGGTTGGAAGTAAGTCATAACACACTGCAAATAAAATGAGCTTGGAATTCTGGCTGAAAAGAAAACCATAATGTAGCAACACAATGAAAGGTGGGAGAGGAGCTGGGGGAGTGTGGCAGGATGGATGCAGGGCTGCTCGACTGGCTCAGAGAAAGGAGCCTCTGAGCTACAAGGAGAGGCTGTGTATGGCAGCAAGGAGGGATTGATTGTTCAAAAGGGTATTTGGAACTGCTTGGCATTTGAAGGATGAGATTAATTCAGATTACACTGCTGGTTTAACCAGATTTTTCTGTGTGTTTGTCTTAACATCTCCAAGACCCATTAATGGACTATGGATAGTTTAATGGAGACAACGGGCAAAAATAGCAAAGCATGTGCTTTAAGTTGCGTCTAGAGCAGGGGAATGCATTGGTAGAAGAAAGGAGGGTTTCAGAGTTGTACTAAGTATTCACAGCAATAACTGTTGTTCCCAGACACCTGTGTCTGAGCAGCTTCCAGCCGGACCCCTGGAGGGGCCTTGGGAGTTCCCAGTGTCACTGAGGAGCAGGAGAATCAGCTGAAGTCTGACACCCAATCAAGCAGGGGCCGTGGCTGAACTGTACTTGCAGGAAAAACAAACATGAAGAAGCTTGTCCCTCATGTTTGATACAGTCTGAAGCATGTAGTGGTTCCAGAAACACCATTCCAGCCACGCAGGTACCCTGGCACCTGAGCCCCAGGACCATGGGGAGCTTCAGCTTCTCTACGGTGGCTCCTCAGCATGACTGTCCCAGTAAGAAATACTCATTTTCACCAATCTCCTGTGTGGTGCAGTGTAATACAAACTGTTCCCAGAAGAAGAGAGGATGTTAATAAGAATACGTTATAAAAACCTGTGATACGAGGATTCAAAGCATCAGACACTGACTCAGCCCAGAAACGAGTGTCAGAAAAGGTGCTTTCATGGTCTGCAGGTCCCACCATATGTGTGGCTGAAGGAAGACTCATGCTCACCTCTCCAGCTGCAGTTAGAGTGTCATTGTGGGCTTCGATTACCAGCTGATTCCTGGGTTTGCCCCATCAAGTGGCCGCTGAGCAGAGCTGGAATCCTCAGCTGTCTGTTCCTTGCTTGAAAGTCCAAACTTTGCAGCACCTCTGGCAAGCAATAAAGGCAGGGATGAGCTTCTGTTAAATTATTAACAGTTTCAGCACTCCTGCTGTAATGAAGCTGGGATTGGGCTGAGTGGGGATGGATGGAGTCTGGGAGTGCGTGAATAGGGACTTTGTGCCGAAGGGTAAGAGAAATTGAAATTAGAATATAGAGACAAATTAGATGAGTATTTCTGTCGTGGGAGGAGTTAGTGATGGATTTCGGGGCAGCTCTTTCCCTGTTTAATTTTTATTGTAGAATTATGGAAAATGACTTTTCTTTTTTAGTTTTCGTGTAATCTGAAGCACAGTGTCCTTGTGCAGGGTGATCCCTTGTGTCTTGTGCATTGAGTAACCTTACATTAAGTGTGTGATAGCTTCTGACTTAATGGGGGTGCAAAGGGGAGGTGTTCTCTCTTCTTATGTATGTGCTCGACCTATTTGTTGTACCTACAGAGCAATTACTATAACATAGTGTAACACACACCCCCTACACTTTCTATAGTAGCATAACGTAGTGCAGCTGGAGCACTGCAGTATTTCAGCAGGTCATAGCCCCGTGGATAGTGTCATCCTTGTCGTGGTGGGGGCCCAGGCTTGTTGGATGGGTACAGTAAAGAGAGGAAAGAACAATGGGAGCTCTTTTTGTACCTGATGTGGTGAAAACAAATCTTCCACAGCGCTTTGCAGTCTCTGCAGGGAAGGGAGAGCAGGAGCGAGCTCTTGGGTTGGCTTTCATAAATCACTGGGAGGGTGCAACACCGCCCATCCTTGTTCACTGCTGCTCCATAATTTATCTCTTGTTTGTGTGCTGAAGTGGAATATTAGTTCAGCGAGCATGTCTGTGGTTTACCCACCTTTCTGCTTCCCCCTGGCATATTAAAACAGTCAATCACTGCTCCTCCTCCCCACCACCAGCCATTATTTCACCATGACTGTAACAAGTGGTTTTCCCCTTCTGTTTCCCTCACGTATTCCATGGCATTAGTCCTTTACCATTCATCTGGGGCTTGTTTTGAATCTTTTAATTGTTGTAATGCTGTTTAATGCCATCACCAACATAGGGAGTTACCTGTGGGCCAGCTCACGGGCAACCTAAAGCCTCACAAGCCATGTGCTGGGCTGGTTTGAAAGGCTGGAGAATCACTTCAAGTCTCTCTCATAGCTGGTGTTACTCAGCAACACTAGGTTGGGTGAGCAGTAACATTAAGACTTCATGCTGGTGGTTACTCTTTGGAAAGGTTGAGTAACGCTCACGTGGCTGCATTGGTTGGTTTTGGAAGCACAAAAACGTTTTAATCTACTAAAATATCTTCTTAAATTTTAGTTCCTTCGTTCTGGTAACACTAAAACCTTTGAGGTTTGGCCTTGCAGGGCTGCTTTGGATGTTTTCATAGCAGCATTAGTGCTTCTTACCTACAGTGAGGAGCTTGGCATCTTAGCACTGTGCCTTTGCAGTATAATGACCCGTGCAGAACCCTTCTATAGACAGCCAAAATCCAACTGGTTGTCCCTGATCTCTAAACGGTTTTTCTCCTGTCTAGTAAAACATCTCTCAAAGGCACAAGGTATTGATGGGTTTTAGTGCTTGAGAGAATTTCTGTAGGGGCTGGTGCCCATTCCTTCAAGAAACCTGTAAGTCAGAAATGCTCCTTCTTTACCTCAAGGAAACGATCTTTGTATTTGCACTAATTGACTTTGCCTCTGCCACAACCAGGAATAACTCTGTTTCATCAGCTCTGTGTAAACAGTTTCTCTGCAGCGTGGGTCTTTATTGAGCATGTGGGGAGTACTTCTTGCCATGCTTCGATTATCTCTTGATTACCTCTTAATTATATTGGCAGCATATTGTCAAGGGGAAGGTGAGAAACAGAGGGACAAGGTCTGGAGCAGCTAAACCAAGCTGCATCTCCTGAGTCCGGAGGAAAAATACAAGAGCCTTCGAGTTTATTCTTCCATCTAATTGGGGTGGTGGTTTTCGGTTGAGAACAGCCTCCAGTTAGACTAATTGGATGGATTTCATGTGGTGGTGCTTCGAATGGAGGCCTTTGTTTGACTCCAAACAGTGTGATTTAGGAACTTATTAGAGCAGGTAACTAAAGCACACTGTATTGATTATCACCTATGGCCTCATGTGTGCAAATGTTCCTGGGAGAAGAAACATTGCTCAGTGTATTGATGTTACCACATGATGGCCATGAGCCATGGAAGAGCAAATGTGGTTGAGGAGCAAATTAGTTCCTTCTGTGTCAGAAACCTGGTTGATGGTGGCTTACCTCAGCCCTTCAGAGTGCACTAATTCATATGTTAAAACAAGAAGTGTGTGTGAAACATCAATGGATAGAGATAGGCTAATTGTTTCTGGGGTAAAAAGTAACGGTTTCACTTTTTAGGGGTGTTTTAGGAATGTTGGAGACTAAATGTGTGGATGTTAGTTTGTTTTTTGAGTTTGTGAGGCTGTTCAAGCAGACTGCAGCACATTTTGTTTGCACTGAATCAGGTTCCTTGGCCACTGTGTGTAATTTAAGTGCTGTGACAACTGTAGCACTAAAATATTGCCAGTTACAAGACTTCAGCCATTAAATCGTATAGGGGATAAGTGTGAAAACAGAAATCTCTCAGTATTTCCTCTCCTAGCTTAGCGCGTCCTGGGGTGACTCATGGAGAGCTGATCTCTAACAAGGCTGCCATGCAAAACCCAGCTCGGAATGAGATTACTGGAGAGAGAGTCACTTGTCTCAGCGCTGTGTGCAGTGACACGGCAGCTGTGTGGAGGATGTGGAAGGGGGAATTAAGGTACTGGTGTAGGTGTATCCATGAATTGTGGGCTGGAGGGCCCATCAGGAGGAATGCATCTACCTGAGCTGCTCTGCTGTGACCAGAATACAGAGCGAGCCAGGGGTTGGGTCCGGATGGAGAGCTGTGCTGAGGGGTTGTGGGTTGGAGCTAATCCAGGGTTGAGTTCATCTATTTTTGCATGAGGTCAGGTGTATAATAGGACTTCAGTTCACTCTGGCTTCTCTCTACATCACAGAGAGGAACAGGGTCTGTGAACTTCAGCCAGGGATCTCTTTACCTTGCCCATGTTTTGTTCATCAGCCTGATGCTGGACCAGACACTGTTCATCTGAATAGTTCTCGTATGGTATACTTGTCTTTAGAAGAAGAGAATATTAAGCATTTCTAAACCACTCAGACAACATTGCTTTGTCCACATACTTGTATGATCAGGATTTAAGTTTACCTTGATATTACTTAGGACTAACCTGTGATGACTTCTCTTCCTTCTCTCACCTTTTCCTCTAGGCAAGCTTGGGACCTTGCAGTTGATATTTGCCTTTCCCAATTACCTACAATTATAGAGGAAGGAACTGCCTTTAGGGTAAGTTGGGTGATGCCTTGACATCCTGTGTGCCCAGGTTAAAGTAGGTTTTCAATAACAGATGTGATTTCTTGCATGTTTTGGCTAGAAGTTGCAGTGGGTAGAGCTATCAACATGCTGTCACAGCTCAGACTTTGTGAGCTGGCTGGGCTCGAGTCCTCTTCTGAGCTATTCCTTATGCTTCCATTTAAAATCCAGTGTGATTAACACCATGTAGGTGCCTGCTCTGCAGAGAGGGGACAAGTATTAACCTGTTGAACATCTCTGAGACACCTACAGGGATAGGAAGTTTGGCTGTTGGTTTGGGAGGGAATGGAAAAGGCTCAGCTCTGCACTGTGACAAATGATGGAGCAGACACATCTCTGATGGATTTCTTGTGTTCTAATCAACATCTTGCCCTCAAACCTCTTGATTTATGCCCATCAAGATGTGTTGTTGTAAGGCAGGGGAGGTGAGCTGCTGCTGGCCAGCAGTAATCCTGGGAGGAACTGCCCAGCACAAGGCAGGGAAAGGGATGCTGGGGGCTTAGTCAGCCTGGTTCATGTCCAGGCTGGCAGAAGCAGCTCTCGGTGTCCAGGGTGTCAGGAGGCCGGGTGAGTCACAGCATTACCTTTACCTGCTGCCATCCATTCCCCAGCCCCGCTGCGGGTTGAGAGTCCAGCCTGGCCCTGCAGAAAGCAATCAGCAGTCTCCTCAGGGCTGGTTTGTTTCAGCAGCACATCATAAACCACGTGTGTCTGACTCCTGCGTATCCTCTAGGCGCTCTTGCCTAGTCAGACCTGGAAAATCCGATAACCTGGTGGAGGAGGGCCTCGCCCGGGGGTGCCTGGGGAGCCACTGGCCTCTGGCGGGTTTGGGTTGGTTCATTCTCCCTCCTCCCATCTCCCCCCCTGCCTCCTTCCCACTGTGGATTTCCAGCTGGCAGCTGCTGTGTGCTTTGGTCGGTATTTCTCATACCCAGCTTGCACCACATACTTGGGGTGATGGATGGCAAAAGGAGCGTTTCCTCAGGCACCACTGCACTGGTGGGGGATGCTGCTGTGTCCAGGGACCATCTGAGTGTGTGCTGCGCAGTGGAGTGTTCTGGGGAGCAATGTCAGGTGATGGGCAGGTCACTGCTGGTGTTGGGAGACAGGAGATGCTCTGTGCATTGAGCAGGTTCACAGGACTTAAATGTGCTGCAAGATGTCAGATCTCACCAAGTAACCTATCCCTGGCCAGGTTGGACACAAGGGCTTGGAGCAACCTGCCCTAGTGAAGGTGTACCCTGCACATGGCAGGGGGGTGGAACTGGATGAGCTTTAAGGCCCCTTCCAACCCAGACCACTCTGGGATTCTATGGAATGTGTGTCCACTAAAAGGGATCGGTTTTGGAACCCATAAACTGCGTGAGTCTGTAAGTGCTGAGACTGTTTGCTTCACTGTGTTTGGTTTTGGTTTTAACTCAACTCTGCATTCCTGTCCTTGCTCCAACAGCACAGCCCCTTCTTTGCGGAGCAGCTGACGGCATTCCAGGTCTGGCTGACCATGGGCGTGGAGAACCGCAACCCCCCGGAGCAGCTCCCCATTGTCCTGCAGGTGAGAACCTGGGTGCCAGCGGGCAGGGAAGCCATGCAGGCTCCTGCAGGATGAGCTACAGCTGATTGGGTGTTTGTTAGACCCGTGCACATGAAGGCAAAGATTGCTTTCCTTCCCCCATACCTTCACTCTGTATCAGTGTTGGGCTGTGCTGCCTCCTCCTTTCTCTGAAGTAGCAGGACTTCTTCACAGAGTAGCCCGTCTTTGTTGTGCTCTCCTGCAGTACCTCCTCTTGCATGCCAGCTCCATCAGGCAGAGACTTTTATCTCCTCTCTGTTTGCAGAAAGTGGAAGCTACTGCACTGTAAATAGTTTGGAAATGGCTCCCTTATCTCTCTGGTACAGCCTCGAAGGTGTTCCCCTTAATGGGATGCTGAAATTTTGCTGCAAGAACACAGAAACAAGTCTCTGAAGACCATGCCTGGAAGGAATGTAGAGTTCTGGTAGGCATTTGCTCAGACTAGACAAAGTTCATAAGTATAAAGGAGAAGCCAATCTGCTAGAAACAGAACCCCTCATTCAAACAATATTTTATGGCAAGGCACATATTACAGTTGTCATCTGCTCTTGCCCTCTCCTCCCTACAAGTTTGTATTGACAGAAATATAAACCCTTGTTACGGCAGCTGCGGTCTCTCCTCTACCAGGCAGCAAAATTTAAGGTCTTTCTGTTTGAAGGAACGTGGTTCCAGTCTCTTGTGCAAGGATATGTGATTCCTTTCACTAAATGTGTGAAGACTCGCCTGCCCTCTGTTAGCTGCCAGCTTGTTTTGTGACTGACAGCACCATCAATCTCTGTAAAACCAAATCTTAATTTCCCTGAGCCTCCCAAGCCTTGGGAGATCAGCTGGATAAAGAGATGTAGGGTTTATCTCTGTTGCTGCAATGGGAGAAGGCAGGCTTCTGCACTAGCACCAACTTTGCTGCTTTCCAGTGAACTATATGGCTCTAGAGGGCTCTGCAGGGAGCTTAACCTTGCAGTGGAATTGAGAGGTCAGCTGGCAAAGGAACCTGCTTCTCATCCTGGAGCAAAATGAGGCAGGACAATGCAATTATTATTATAATTACAGCATGTTAATTGTATGGTGGAATATGATTGCTTGGTGGCAGGTCTGAGGTACTTTGAATCAGAGACCAACTGATCAGGAGAGGGAAGGAAGGGCATTTCAGACCCTTTGGGGTGTCTTTTTTTGCTTTGATCCCTTAGGAGTGCACTTAGACCATGCTGGTGTAGTCTAATGAAGGCTGATTCTGTTTTCCATTTGGATGTGCCCCTGGGAAAAGACAGTATTTGAGTGCCAGGACCCTGCTGCCAGCCATGCAGGGATTTGTCACAGACAGGGAAATGGTCCTTCGTAAATGGCCTTTTAATTGGGTTCCAGAAGTTGCTTTCCATGTCGAATTCTTGCTGTGCATGGGACAGGCTGCACTCAGGTGCTGTCCTGGTGCAGAGAAGAGAGGAGTCAGCAAAGAGAAGCTGGTGTAGGCACAGCCTGAGTAGCAGATGCTCCATCCTCATGGAGGAACCTCCTGCCACAACATCTCCAGTGCACGTGGCTGAGAACACCATTTGTCCCACAGACAGCCATGGGGACAGCACTGCTGCAGTCTCCTTCTTCCATCCTGTGTTGGCTTGGAGATGCCTGCTGAAACATGGACTTTTACTCTAAACTACCCTCTTGTGTCCTGGCTAATCTCTAACTTGTGTGTGTGGATGTTATTAGGTTCCCTATCCTGTGTTCAGGAGCAGAGGTGTACAAACATCAGGGTGGGACATGAGGCAGTGCTTTGTCCAGTCCATCATTTCAGTAAAGGCTCATAAGTCATGCACAGACTCCCTCATCCTCACCCAAGTCTCTAGAACTTGTGTCAGTTTTGGCTTTGAGTTATTGTGCAGAGCAGTTGGGAAGGTGGGAACACAGAAGCCTGGGAGAGGCTGGTGGCTTTGGGGGTTTGAAAATAACAAAACAGAGCTCTCCAAATAGGAACCGATTTGGTTAAGGGGTCTGTGGGATGCTGGCACTGTCGAGATGTGGCTTTGCATTGTCACCTGGCAATCCTGTTCAATTCCATCTGGTTTGCCCCAGCTCTGACAGAATGTGTGGATTTACTCGTTTCTGAAGGTCATGCCAGCAGCACTGTTATCCCCGTGCCTCCCGTTGCCTGCGTAAGCCCCCAGTGTCCAACATGCTCCTCTCTGTCCTTTCAGCTTCCTGTGCCCTGGTTTCTAGCGCTGCTTTAATCTCAACCAGCTGCCTCTGTTATTCCTGTGCTGGGCACCTTTAAAGCACACTGATAATCACGCCAAGTTCTGTAGTGAGTTGATGGAATAGGCTGGTGCCAACTAGGGCAGGCCGACCAGAATCCTTTCTCCTATGACCTGAGCCTGAGCTCTGATATTCAGGGTGAAACTGTTGCAGTGGTTAACACATCTTCCTGTTGTCCTCTTCTGGACTCTTTCTGCACATCTTTAGCATCAGTCATCGATAGTATGAACCATGAGCTAAGTAATTTAGTTATTCTTCAATAGCAAACATGAAAAAACAATTTAATTTGAATATGCAGTGTGGAAAAACACTGAGAAGGGGATGGAATTGGGGAGCTAAATCAGCGAGTCTCTCAACCCAAGCCCTGTGCTGAGGGATGTTTCTCAATTTAAACTGAGGATTAAATGTTGCATTCCAATATCTTACATCTGTTAAGGAGATTAAGAACTGAAAGTCTGCCTGTTAATATTTCACACTGGGGTGGGTATAAGCCAGTAAACTACCACCTCATTAGCGTCGTCAGACTCTGGTTTAATGAGATTTTTATTAACGACTAATGTGACCTTTTGCTTCCCTCTTAAGTCTCTTACATCGATTGCCAAGGAAAGCAAAGCCTCTTTTTCTGCTTCTGAGCTCTTTTGAGTAATGGCAGGCTGAGCCTTTTGCTCACCTCTGGATCCTTCCTGCAGATAGAGTCATGTTCCTGCTTTGCTGGGGAGAGGCGGGTGGAACACTGTGAGTATCTGAGATCCACAGGGGCTGCGGCGTTGGAGCCACTGCTCTTGAGAGAGGAATTAGCAGAGAGAACAAGTGGAGCAGTGATGTGGAGATGGAGGATAACTGTGTGCCCAGGAAAATGTTTGCAGGCTGAAGCAAGTCCAGAGGAGGCCATGGAGATGCTGCGAGGGCTGGAGCAGCTCTTGAGACAGGCTGAGAGAGCTGGGCTGGTTCAACCTGTCTGAACAATGGCCTTTTCCATTCAGGCCGTGCTTGTTCCAAGGGATGGAGCAGCCCTGAGGTCCTTTTACATTGCTCTGCACTCACAAGGATGTGTGTTTGTTCTGCAGTAACCCTTCTCCCTGTCCTCTGCAGGTGCTGCTGAGCCAGGTTCACCGGCTGCGAGCTCTGGATTTGCTGGGAAGGTTTTTGGACCTGGGTCCCTGGGCCGTTAGCTTGGTGCGTGGATGTTGCTTGTTGTCTTGTAATGTTGGGTTTATTTCAGGACAAGGGATAAATACAAGTGATTTATGGGAGGAAGATGGGGAAGATACTCCACAGGTTTGACAAATGGCCAGTGGTTTATGCGTTCATGTGTGTGAAATGGAGCGAGCATCACTAAAGGAAAAGTGGTTTGTATTAATCAGAGGCTGGGTAGCTGTTCATTTACATTAAACAAGGAGTTGTTCCTTGGGAATAGTTTAGTGTAAAATATTGTAAGGGACAAAACAGGAGGGAACATCTGGGACAAATAAGAAGGTTTGTCATGTCAAATAAATAACAGAAAGAGAGCACGTACGTTTATCATCTGCTCTCTCAGCTTACTGCCTGCATCATTTTCATCTCTTCCTTTATCTGTTTGGTCTTTGGATTTTATAAGCTCTTCTGAGAAGGCAGCAGCTGCCTTCTGCATTGGGAAAGTGGCTAGCGCAGTGCAGATAATAAATAAGAATTAAACAGAGGAGTGGTTTCAAACACTTGTAAATGGAGCTATTTGTTGATAAAAGTAATGAAGACAAACCACCAGCTGGTCGTGGAATAGCTCAATGATGGGACTTTAGCGGTTTTCTTTGCTTTCCTCCTCCATCTCAGCCAAGGCTCCCTTCTACAGCTTCACAGACAGCTTAGCCCTCTGTGGTAGGAAGAAAATATGTGTTAAAGAGGATTTTAAGACCTCTGGATTATAAACACTGGGGATCAAAACGCAGCTGCACTTCAGCCACAGCCTTTGCTCTGGTTGTGAGGTGCTCTATAGATCTCACTGATGCTCAGATGTAGCCCCCCAGGCCCAGTGCTGTGAGCACAGTCCCACCATGCGTGTCCTTTACGTTGCACTTGACAAAGTGTGACAGCAGTCAGTGTGATTCTCGGCGTGGTGCACGTCCTCCTGCGAGAGCCTCTGCTCCCATAGAAAAAGCAGGGTAAAAAGTCTGTGCAAGGCAAGAAGCCTGTTTAATTTCCAGTGGGAAGGCTGCAATTACTGAGCTTTTGCAGTATGTTTACTTGTGAGAGCAAATGGACCCGTCTGAGGAGAGAGCAACGTATCGTGAACATTAAATAGCCCAGGCTGGAAGCAGCGAAAGCGAGCTCTAGATTAGCTCTGAGCCTCCGTGGAGCAAATGAGTCTGAAAATATCTGGTGACATCCAAGATGAAAATGAGCGGCAGAGGGATGCAGAGGGATCCCCTCCCTGCTGGCAATGGATGGAATTGTTTGCTGCCACATTTCCCCTCTGTGGTTAACCAGCGTTCGCTGTTCTCTTCCCCCCCAGGCGCTGTCTGTTGGCATTTTCCCCTATGTGCTGAAGCTGCTCCAGAGTTCAGCTCGTGAGCTGAGGCCTCTCCTGGTCTTCATCTGGGCCAAAATTCTGGCAGTGGACAGTGTAAGTATTTTGAAGTTGGCTGTTTCTTTTGGGTTCCAGCAACTTCCCCCTCTCCCCATCTCCACTTTTTTCCAGTTGCTTTAGACTTGGGAGTTTCTCCTGAGGTGCTTCAAAACCACACTGCAGCAGCTGGAGACCAGGATCAAGGGGGACCTTACAACAGCTTCCCAATACCTAAAGGGATCTGACAAGAAACCTGGAGAAGGGCTTTGGACAAGGGCCTGTAGGGACAGGCCAAGGGGAATGGCTTGAACCTGCCCGAGGGGAGACTGAGCTGAGCTCTTAGGCAGAAGCTCTTCCCTGTGAGGGTGCTGAGGCGCTGGCACAGGGTGCCCAGAGAAGCTGTGGCTGCCCCATCCCTGGCAGTGCTCAAGGCCAGGTTGGACACAGGGGCTTGGAGCAAGCTGCTCCAGTGGAAGGGGTCCCTGCCCATGGCAGGGGTTGGAACTGGATGAGCTTTAAGGTTCCTTCAACCCAAACCAGGCTGGGATTCCATGATTCTGTATCACTTCAGGATTCAGACAGAATTTTTCTAGAAATAGCAGTAATTTTTGATGACTTTGGACTTGGAACAGGATTTATAAATGAATGAATGTGCTGATGCATTGCAGATGGTTGGCAGAGCAGTATTCACCCCCCAGAGCACAGGTTATTTCTAGCATGGCTCCATGATTCTGGTCTTCTGACAACATTTTGTACCTCTCATGATGAGAGGTGATTTTTGAGGATGGCCTTAGCCAGAGCTCTGGCTCTGGGGTTTAAAATACATAATGAAGCAGGTGATTGCTGGTGAATTTGTACAGTTACATGTGTGACTCGGTGGTTTGTGAGTGCAATTAGTTGAGCAGTATAAAATTATGAGGAGCAGTGCACACGGTTAATAGCAGGCATGGTTGTAAGTGATGTGAAAGGGTCTGAGCTGTTTGCAGAAGCTGGATCTTGCCTATTTGAGGGGTTATTTTTGTTATCTTTCTTCCCATGTTTCCATATTTCAGTATGGAGAATAATACTGCCGGTGTTGGAGTTTTCCCCCGTGTTGATCTGGCATTGTCAGGTTTACTTTTATAAATACATTTTCATTAACATCCTAAGAGGATTTTGGAAAGCAAAGAAAATGAGAACTATTCATCTTCGAGCTACTCTTGAAAAGCTTATTTTTGATGCATGCCTCTCTGCAGCTGATGCTTCAGCCCCAGGTAGGTTTCTGAGTAGGCTCATGTATAATGTACATGGTATGTCACACCATCCGTCACCCTTTCCCATGGGGAAGCTGATCAAGAGGGCTCTTTCCCCTCCTGCCACCATCAGTGTTGCTCCCTCCTGTGCTCTGTGCTGATGCCTACCCCATTTTTTAGCCTCTTAAACTTTGGATTTGGATTTTCTGCCACCATTGCACTCTCTAGCTCCACAGCCAAGTGGTGGAAGGGAGAAGAGGGCAGCTCCAGGACAGTGCAATGGGTGCTGCCAAGGGAGTGGACACACAGCATCTTGAGCTGTCAGCATACAGGGAGCAAGTATGTTGTCATATCAAAAGCAAAAAGAATACTTTCTTGTATGCTCAGTATCAATACAGGTGTGTCTTTTCCCCCTCTGATGACTCGAGGTTTGCCCATGTATGTTGGAAACAAATTCAGTTTCAAACACATTTAACAGAAGCCAGAATCACAGTGAGCATGTTGTGTAGTTCCCAAATTTGAGAGTCTTCTGTAGGTTTCATAGGTAATGTTTGGTAAACAGCACCTTCTGAATCTGAAATACTTGATTTTAGAGGGGAACAAAATCTCCCTGCCTGTAATAAGGATCATAGTCAGGAATTTAAGCAAGACCCAAAAATCTGCACTTTAAAGAGAACTGAAAATGTGAATATTGCTAAAGTGGGACAGTGGAAAAGAGATCTTGCCACCCCAGAGAATTGGCTGAAGACAATGGAAAACAAACATTTCTCATGCTTTTTAAAGCAATGGAGTGACATAAATAGTATCCTTGCTTTCCAGATGTGTGGCTACCATTTCTGATCTTGCAGTTAAAACAGATATTCAGGTTAAGTATTCCCTGGTAATCCCATAATGTGCCCACCTTGGAGGTGTTACTGGTCATCGTGGTCACCCAGGCCACCCTGAGCTGTGGCAGTGCTGCTGCATTCCAGGAACTGATGGGGTTTTTAGGGATGAGTTACACAGCACGTGTTACATGAAGGAGAAAGAGGAGATCTGTGCTCTCATCCCTCCCCAGTGCTGGAAATGTCCTATTTTATGTAAGTTCTGAACTTTCAAACCAAGCTGCAGCTTGTTTTGGTCACGTTGTAGTATTATTCACAAGTGTAGCTGCTTATTCCTTGAGGAGGAGGTGTTGCTGATGCTGGCTCTCCCTGCCTTTGCCAGGATCCAGCAGGGAGGGCTGGAGCGAGTCTGCTGCCTGCATAGACGCTGCCTCCAACCCTCGAGCCTCAGGTACTCGGGTACCAGTGGCAGCACAATAAACGCAGGGGGAAGATGGGCAGCCTTCTGTTTGTCTGCATTGCCATGAAGAGATTGGGTTTCATAAGAAACACAAAGTGTTCACCCTGAGAGGGAAAAGTGGGGGGAAAAGGAAGCTGGATTTTGTGCTGCATTACGCAGAAGTCAGGAAAGCCTCTTGGAGCTGCAGGCTGGCATCAGTCCATCCTCTCTGCTCTTTGGTCTTCCAGAGCCAGCATCTTTGTTCCCTTCAGCAATAAGATATTCTCTTGCATCTCTATCTTGCCACCCCCCCTCCTTTCAACAATTAGCTTCCTCCTTCACCTTCTACATCTGATAAAAAATACATGCTCCTGTCTCTGGTGTGAAGCATACAATAGAACCACCGTCCCTGGGGAGCTGGCTGCCGAGCCGGTATTTCCTCCCTTAAATTTCCACTTCTGTAGTATGTCTTCTCTCAGTTTGACCCTAATATGTCAACCTGAAAGCTGAGTTGGGTGTTAGCAAAACCATGGTGTGTGCCACGTGCTTCCCAACTGATACTGCCCCGGGAAAACCTGCATTGTTCTCCTTACAGGCTTTTGGAGGCAGTGGAGTTGCTCTGCAGTGTTTGTGTGTAGTAGGAGGTCATGCTGCTACCTGCTCCTGTTGTACCGGTGTAATACGTGCCAGCACTGGACCAAATAAAACAGTGATGGGTCTTGTTTGTGTAGATGAGTTGAAATCTTCTTGCTAAAATCTACCCCTGTGTAAGCAGGGCGTTGGGCTGAATATAGGGAATGAATATCTAAAGAATGAATATCCTCCTCCATCCCCCCGTTCCTTATGGATTAAGTGGTAACCACTCGGTGATGTGGGCTGCTGTAAGGGAAATGTGTGGCTGGGTTAGTGCATGTGGCAGTGTCCAAGAGTTGTCCACTGACCAGTCCCAAAACACGCTCACATCCTGGCTGCCTGGCTGAGCTGGAGAATCAGCTGCAGTCATGGAATCCCAGACTGGTTTGGGTTGGAAGGCATCTTATAGCTTATCCAGTTCCAACCTCCTGCCACAGGCAGGGACACCTTTCACCAGAGCAGGTTGCTCGATGACACAAACACACTGACACAGAAGGAACCAATGGACTGTCTGTGCTATTGAACTGCACCTCCCATGTCCTGGGGATTGGAAATCAAGGGGAGAGTTAGAGCAGGGGCTTTTAGAAGATGTAATATTAAATAATTCTTATTCTGTTAAATGTAAAAGCAAACAAACTAACCAGATTCCTCCATGATTTTGCTTGTGGTGCTCTCAAATGCTGGTGAAGGTTTAATGAAGGGTGATGTCAAGTTTAACTCTTCTCCGAAGCAGGAAGGCACATTCTCAGCTGCTGTGGTTATGTTGGGGTGGCAGAGGGCTCCTGCGCTGCTCTGCCCTCTCGGCCCTGCTCCTGCCTGGGCTCAGTTGCTTGTGCCTTATTTTGCTTCTCAAATGAAAACAGGATTTGAGAAAAATGATGATGACATGAAATGTTCCTCCATCACTGGAGGGAAAGCACTCCCGCATTGAAGTACTCACTGTGTTTCCTTTGTCTCGTTTTTCAGTCCTGCCAAGCTGACCTTGTGAAGGACAACGGACACAAGTATTTCCTCTCGGTTCTGGCAGACCCCTATATGCCTGTAAGGACAAGTCAGCTTCACTCGGCCTCTCCTAGCACTTGCTTAGCTTGCCTGGGCCTGCTCTGATGCAGCTGGTGCTACCACAGGGCTGCCTCCCACCTCCCACAGCACCCTGTGCTCTGTGGGAGGGTCATCACCAAGTTAGTGGCTGGGGAAGACACTGATGAAGTGTCTTGGGTGTAACTACTGACAGGGCTGGGTGATAACAGAATTCAAGCTTCCCCCTCTCCTGTTCCTTTAATGTGCTACAGACTGCACTTAGAACAATCTCATATCTCAGAAAGCACAGGGTATAGTTGTTCTCTGGCCTGTTCCCTAGCTAACAAGGAGTTGTATGTTGTTTAAGGCTGAACACAGGACGATGACAGCGTTTATCCTGGCTGTAATTGTTAACAACTACAATACAGGACAGGTAAGTCCCAGCATCTCTTTTCCTCCATTCTCTCCTGTCTCTTCTCTGCATTGTGCCTTGGCTTTGATAAACAGGTATTAAAGCACAACCCTGCCCTGGAAAACTGAACTAGAAGATTGCTTTATGTTCTTTTTGTGTGGACTAGAAGAAAGATTGACCTGGAGGTGTGACAGACACATTATGTGCCTGGCACCTGGACATGGAGGTTAAGGACACAAGTCACTCAAGTACTCCTCCAGGCAGCGTACTAAGAAATAGTGCCTGGTTCCTGTCAAGTGGGAGCTTGAGGGCTGTTGTAAAGTTCTTGGGAAGGGTATGGAGTGAGCCATAAACCCTGGGGCTCTGACAGGTGCAAGGAGTATTTCCAACAAGGGAAAAAACAGGCTTTATGCGTTACAGGAAGCATTTCTGTTACTCAGCTAGTTAACCAGCTCTAGCAGTGTGCAGTTGACCTTCCCTTCATGCTGCTTCCAGATGGTATTTTATAACAAAACCAATATACAACCACCAGATAATTATTTTCTCTCGATTTCCTGTCTACTTCAGAAATAATCTCTTTTGATGATGAGGTGGGAAGCTGCCATCCGAAATAAATGGCATTGATTTGTGTTGTAGGAAGCCTGCCTTCAAGGAAACCTGATTGCTATTTGCCTGGAGCAGCTGAATGATCCACATCCTCTCCTGCGTCAGTGGGTGGCCATTTGTTTGGGCCGCATTTGGCAGAACTTTGACTCAGCCAGGTGGTGTGGTGTGAGGGACAGTGCTCACGAGAAGCTCTACAGCCTCCTCTCGGATCCCATTCCTGAGGTAAAATCCCACTTTTCAACTGAACACCACTGGAATTGCCAGAATCATGGTAGAGGGCTATGGAAATCCTTGCAAAACCAGGGCTTCAAGAGCCTTACCATTGCATCTGGTTCACAGAAGGATCTCATGGCTGTTTCTTCAAGGTGATATAAATCAGAAAAGGCCTGCCAGAGAATTAACCACAGAAATGCAGGGGGAGTTCGTACAGCCTGGGAGTCCTGGGATTGTGGCTCCAAAGTTTTTGCTTACTTGCATATCAGAAGCTTGTTAAAATAGTGGTCCCAAAACACGCTGTGTGTTGCAAAAACCCCTCTGGTCTTTCTGCTCAAGCATGAGAGCTGTCCTCCTGGTATGTGTGAAAATACATCTTTAATTCAATGTGTTCTACCTTTGTGACAAACTCTCCAAGAGAGAAGTGGTTCATGTGCTGTGATTGACAGAGCCTGTCAGACCCTGGTGAAATTACATCGCATGTGGGAGAAGTCAGCCTGGAGATAAATACCACTGCTAACGTGCAGCGAGTAAAGATGAGGTTCCCCTCTGCACTCAGGCTCTGTCCTGCATCCTGTGAGGGTGCTGAGGCGCTGGCACAGGGTGCCCAGAGAAGCTGTGGCTGCCCCAACCCTTACAGTGTTCAAGGCCAGGTTGGACGGGGCTTGGAGCAAGCTGCTCCAGTGGAAGGTGTCCTTGCCCATGTCAGGGGTTGGAGCTGGTGGAGCTTTAAGGTCCTTTCAACCCAAACCAGGCTGGGGTTCTGTGATCCTCCACCTCCTTTCTCTGGCCCCATCTTTCCTCCATTTTATAAGCACTTGTGTGAAGGCCAGGCTAACCCGTCCTTCCAGCACACCCACTCGGGGACACCAGGTGGGTGTTTCTACTTCACAAAGCACATCCTGCAGTTACCAATTGCACCATATCCCACTGTCTGCAGGCTGTGCCCAGGCAAGCTGTAAGATCACCAGACCATCTGATCCCTCTGTTCCTTGTTTGATCTGGCAAAGTTCATCCTGATTTGAGCTGTTCTTTTCTCCTTTGCTTTTTTCCATCATCTTCTACCTTTCTGTAAGCCCTTAGCCAAAGACTCTAGTTCAGAACTCCTATTAAAGATTCACATCCCAGCAGTAACTCCTCATCTACCTTATTCCCGTTAATTAATATTCTAGGCAACATCAACTGGAAAAAGCACCCGTGGGAAGGTCACTGAGTATTCTGGGAAATTAAATATACTCCTGCCTCTGTGAACAGTTAAAACTCAGTGCTCTGCTGACTCTGTTTTGGCTTTTACTCTCCATGGGCTCCCCTTTAACAACCAATATTTGCCTGACACAGTAGTCCAGGTTTCCAGAGATGCCTTTTGTGGGGATAAAGCAATCCCAGTGGCAAACCTTGGGCTGGAAACGAGGGAAATACTAATGAGTGTTTGTGTCCCTCAGGTTCGCTGTGCTGCAGTCTTTGCACTGGGAACTTTTGTGGGCAACTCTGCTGAACGGACCGATCACTCCACCACCATTGACCACAACGTGGCCATGATGTTGGCCCAGCTCATCAACGATGGGAGCCCCATGGTTCGAAAGGTACGGAAGGGCTGGTGGCACAGGGGAATCAGAGCATGTGTTATTTAATAGACTTTTCAATGAGCTTGACTCATTTGGAAGTATCTGCTTTGTTGTGAAGTCTTTTAACTCCCGTTCCTGCTGAGAAGCGATACACACAAGTGACGCCACCAGCAGAAAGAGCAGCATCAGCCCCTGCTGTGGCTCTGCTTGGCACTGAGCCTCGTACTCATTCATGCTCAGGGAGGTCACCAGCAGCAGCCTTCTGGGTGCTGCTTTATCCACTTGCCCTTGCTCAATGTACATACTACAACATCCCAGAAGGAGCCTAGTGACAGGAGTAGCACAAGTGGAGCATGTTGTAGTATCCAGGTGTTGACAAGATGGTTGTTGAGATTAAAATGTTTCTGCTGTTTAACAGTGGACCTCTGATTTAGTTCAATTCTGCTAAGCAAATGCCTGAAATAGGAGTAACAATCTCAGATTTCGGTGGGAATTTAAATATCCTGTTGTTTTACATAAAGAGAATGTGATGACAGGGGTAAGGAAGAAGAGCAGTTTCACTCAAGTCTTTTTCAGGTGCAGAAACCTCTGAGAAGTCTTGCTGGGCTACTCTTCTCATAATGCTCTTCTTTTGATTACTGTTCTGATTGCAGTATTTGACATTACAGGAGCTCAGGTTTTAAATGAATCAGTAATAGTGTTGCTAGAAACATGGAGTCTGGCTGTGCTGGGAGAAGAAAACGGGAGGGAGCAAGAGTGCTGAGGAGAGAATCTGGGAGCTCTGTTCAGTAATAAGGTCTTGCTGCTTTTAGAGACCATAAGGACAGTGACAGACTGCTCCAGGTTCTGGAGAATCACACCTTCTGATGTGCCTGCCATTGTACATCAATAGTGCATTAAGTAGTTTTTGACATTCTAGATTGTTCTGTGGGTGTACTTAGGTGCCCTAGTGCTTGTGTTTACTTACTGGAACATCGACACCCTGACAGTTGTCACCAGCATTGTGAGGATTAATTTCTGTTGTCTCGCTCCAGCATTTAATCAGTTTAATTCAGGAGAACTGCACGTCACTGTGTGCTCTTTGAGAGTCATAAATCTCCCTTTTGGAGATTAGTCCTCTGAACAGAGAGCAGCAACCAAAGCCAGCTCCACCTCTTCCATTTGCTATTTCCAACAGCCTGGCACATGGTACTTAACCGACGGTCTGAGCTTCACCTTCTCTACCCTGACCTGGTAATTCAGGTTCTTAGGCTGCAGCTCTGAGAATGAACATGAAGAGGCTGGTGATCCCTTGCAGGCAGCACCGTAGCTGTTGATGCTGCAGGGCATTGCGAGGCTGCGTGGTTCAGTGCAGGAGTCAAACACTGGGGCTCTTGGAGGAAGAGCTGAGCCATGTCCCCAGGGGCCTCTTGTCACATTCTGTTTCCTTCAGCTCAGAGCAGATGCAGGACAGGCTGCAGGATGAGCGCTCTGCCTGTGCAGCACAGGGAGAGGGTCAGGCTGTGCCACAGGGGCTGAGGCACGGATCCTCAGCTCAGCTCACCACTGCTCTGCAAGAGACCTACGCTGCGTGTGGGCATCACAGGAGCTGAGGGAGTTGGGTGCTCATCACCAGTTCAATACTTCCTGTGACACTGCATCACTTTGACAGTATTGGGCAAAATCAGAGAGCAGCGGGAGCCTGCTAAGGTATAAAAGACTTAGGATTAGATTTGAAGCAGGGCTTTCATCCCTGTGAAGTGAGAATGATTAGTCTAGATAGCCACCCAATAACATCAATAATAATGACTTTGTGTTTCCCTTTGTTCCGTTGTTCCTGACCTACATAACCATAAAATACCCACTTCTGCTTTTTCCATAGGAGCTGGTGGTGGCTTTAAGTCACCTGGTGGTTCAGTATGAGAGCAATTTCTGCACAGTTGCCTTGCAGTTCATGGAGGAAGAGAAGAATTACCCTCTCCCTTCTCCAGCTGCCCCAGGTAGGTGGTTTGGGTTCCTGTGGGTAGAAAAATGTATAGTCTGAAAGTGCTTGGGAACTTTTACTTAAGGAGTTTGCCCAACACAATGAAATTCTTGCTGGTGGTGATTTATCAAACAGCATCATTGCTACAAAGGTGAGTGGCACAGTGGGGAGCTCTAATGTCTGTTTAGCATTATAATATATTGCACTGCAGAAATGCATCCTCTGCTGAGTCTCCATCTAAAACACAGCTAGAGCTCACCAGCAGGCTGCAGAGACTGAACACCCTGTCAATTCGAAGGGATTCCCTTTGGATCAAGGTTGAAGCCCGTTTGTCAAAGCAGCACACAGGCTTACCAGCCTTTCCCTCGCCTCAAATTCTACCTAAAACTTGAGTGTCACATTGACCCTGTGAGAAGCCTCACCACGTAGCAAAGAACCAGCCTTGCTCTGTGCATTGGAAATCTTGAGGGATAATAAGACTGCTGCAATGAAAGCTTGGAGACAAGACCGTGTGCTGTTTCTGCAATGAGAGGTTTAATCTCCCTATTTCTGAATAACTGAATCATATTGGAAAGTAAGCTTCTCCCCATTTGTCCTTTTTGCTGCAGGAAAAAACATTACATGCAGTTATTATATTGCCTTTCCTTATCCAAAAGATTCCTGAAGTATTTATAAGTAGGATGCAGTGGAAGCAACAGCCCCACCACCATAATGCAGTCGCCTCTGCAGTGAAATAAAAGCACTACTCTGAAACCTGTTTGTGTATTTGGGAGTGAAAATGAAAGAGTTTGGTAAATTATAAGGTCATAGACAAAATATGGGTTGAAAACAGGCCTGAAATTTGGTCAAGAAACCAGAATTTTCAGAACACTTTTTATAATGTGAAAATGTAATGAGCAGAAGCAGACAGAAGCCTGCAGATGCTGCCTACTGAATGGTGCCTGCTGCAGCAGCGGGGCCTAGCACAGTGTCTGGGCAGTGGCCCAGCAGCAACCTGGAGGGAAGAGTCATTGTGGTTCTCTGCAGGCACTGGCAGGGCTCAGCTCACCTGGCTTCATTGGATGTGACAAAATCACAGCCTGGACAGCACAGACATACGCTCTGTGCTGATGGTGTGTGCAGAGAATCCTTTGTCACCCCTCAGTCTGGTTTAGCCTAATGGGCGATGACTACATTCTGTTCATATTGGTGGTATTTTAGTGATACATTTGCTGGGAAATAACCAGAAGGTTATGGTGCTTTGGTTCCATCTCCAAGTGCTGGATTTTGCCTCCACAGAGGGTGGGAGTTTGACCCCGGTGCGGGACGGCCCGTGCACGCCCAGGCTGAGGTCCGTCAGCTCCTATGGGAACATCCGCGCAGTTACCACCGCTCGCAACCTGAACAAGTCCTTGCAGAACCTCAGCTTGAATGAAGAATGTAAGAGACACTGCAGAACGCTTTCATTCCCCCACCCCTCGTACAAGCCAGGCAATTCCATGTGCCAGACAACACGAGCTGAAAGCAGCGCTTCAGCCCAGATTGTCCCGCTGCCAGCTCCAAGGGCTTACAGGAGAAGCCACCTCATAACTAGGTTCAATTTTCTGGTCATTAGCATTGATTTTTCAGAGTCTTTGTGGACCAAAAAGGTGCTTTCCAACTCACTAATATACATGGATTTTTACCTGAATCTTTTCTGACCCCTTGATGCTTGCTCTGTATTTAAACATTCAGTATTTAAAAGGGGATGTTGTGGGTTTGCCTACGCCTTCACTGAATGTTTCAGGGTTTAGGAAAGCGCTGTTCTACCAAGGTGAAACCTGTTCTCACTAGTTCTTATTTCAGCATCTCCCTCTTTCCTTTTGGCAGCTGGGAGCTCTGTTGCGTTTTCTCCTGGGAATCTGAGCACCAGCAGCAGCGCCAGCAGCACCTTGGGCAGCCCTGAGAACGAAGAATACATCCTCTCATTTGAGACCATTGACAAGATGAGACGAGTCAGCTCTTACTCTTCTCTGAACTCACTAATAGGTGAGTACAGACTCTGCTGCCCTTCCTTTGGCGTTGCCTTTCTTCACACACTTGCTTTCGTGGAAAGTTTGGATCTCAGCTCTTACTCCAGCAGAATTCCTCCTAGCAGTAGAAATGTTAATTTCCTCTATGTGTTTTCTGGAAGAAGTGATGATGATTCAGCTCTCCAGAGCTAAAAGATTCTGGGATTGTAATTCCTGAGCCCCTGTGGCAGTTTAAAATCATGTGCTCATTAGAAACTTGATCAGTTCATTTGCTTTTGACTGTAGGTGATGAAATCTGATGTTCCAAAGCATGACAAGAATTCAGGGAAATTTCTCTCCATCTTAAGTTAGAATTTGACTTGTCATTTCCACTGGTGCACTCTGGTGCCTGGTTGATGGCTCATACGTGTCCCACAAGAGCTGTACAGCACGGTTGGAAAAGAACTGGAGTTGAGCAGGAGATGAGTGAGGGAGCCCTAGGCAAACACTACGAGCAGTTCTCCAAAGCCTCCCTCATTCCTATTCAATCAAGAGCTCACATCCAGCTGGAAACGACAGAGCTTATAGAAGTGTTTAAAATTCATAACTCGCACAGAATCCCATTACCTCCAGCATTTGCCTGCTGAAAGCCAGGCTTTTCTCATGTACTGAAGGATCCCCATCTCCCAGCCTGCTCTCTCCTGCTCCCCAGGGTAAGGTGCCAACAGCTCCAGCCACCCTCAGTAGTGCTGTGACTGCTGCACTGCCCGCACTCAGGTTGACCCCTTTCCTTAAACCCTTAGTGGGCACTAAAATAGAGCTGTACAGCCAGCAGGAGCTGGGTGACTCGGAGAGGGTCCACCTGGGTCATAGCCTTGTCTTGCCTGGAGTACTGTTTTGCTCTGCTCTGTTTTTTGGAAGGAGTAATGGTGATTTGGCTCTGCAGAAATGACTCTGCCTAGTAGTTGAAAGGCAGAGCAGTAAAAAGGGGGCTTTGGGCAGACTCAAACCAAAACAGAAATCTGGTCTGCAATAATAAAAGTAGACATTTCCAAGTGCAGTTTTGTGCTGTGTTCTGTAGTTTGCATTCCCTGGGTTGATTCACTGATGTTCAGGGCTTTCTTCCTCTCTGGTGATTTTAGGAACATAGTGCTAAAGGGACTGTTCTGGATCGTTCTATCCACTTTTCTGGCATCATTCAATGTACTTCTTCCCATCAACTTGAGGAAAACCTCTCCCTTCCTTCTCATATCACTTTACAAACAGGTTCTTGGCCAACCGCAGGCCAAGTGACCCCCCTAAATGCAACATGTCCTTGTAGCCCAGGAGCACTGTTTCCTGGCAGGCTCTTCCCTCCCTGGACACTCCTATTACCAGAAGAGACATTTATTTCTGGCCCACATTTTCAAGCTGGCAAGAGGCAGTTTTGGTTAGTCAACAAAGACATCAGTTCCGATGGGAAGCCAAGCTAAGCTTTGCTGCTTTTTCCATACAGCTAGTCATTAATCTTGATGTCCTGGAAATTTTCAGTTTAGTTTAGTTTCAGGATAGGAAAAGGGAAGGAATTCAGATGGGGGTTTTGCATACCTTGAGGCTGATTATTCATATCTGGACTGCATGATTAAAGTCTTTGTCCTACAGAGAGCATTGCTGGAAAGATTATATTATGGAATGATCAAAGAAGGAGGAGAATAAATCTGGGAGTGATGAAATGCGGGGAATAGCTCTGTTTTCCAGCAGAGGCTGAGGGCAGAAACCTATTTGCCATGTCACAGGATCCATCCTGAAGAGCTGCCTCAAACACACCAAGAAGTTACTGCAGTGAGGATGAGGAGAGCAAGAGATGTAGGTGGACAGTGAGCTGCAGCAAGTAAGAGAGTGGGTGCTGGGACACTTAGAGCCTCCTTCTCTATCACCAGGTTATATGTTGAAATGCAGAGACATAATGAGATACTGGTCAACCAGTATCGATAAATAGTAACTTGCATAGTAGCTAAATAGAGGGATTTGAGTCGGTTTTGGAAATGGAAACTTGATGTAGATGTTGCTCATGGTGGGCTGCTTTCATGTTGGCTGTGACAGCCCTGGTCCATGGAGGGAGCTGCTCTGGGAGGGAACCTTCTTTTTCCTCATGAGTTTCTTCTGGTCTCTGCTGGAACATGAAGAAGCTCAGGCTTGGCTCCTTGAATGGGGTCAGGGCCTGCAGGAGCCCCTTTGCATGGCCCTGCACAGAGAGAGCAGCTCACAGACTGCCGGGGCTGCACAAGAAATGCTGATGTAGTGTTCCTGTTGGGAACGGCCTGTGTCCACTCCTGCTGAAGTAGAGTTCAGGGAGCAATCAGGATTTCAGACGTCTCATCTGAGTAGCTCTCACAGGACCTCCTGTGTCACTTGTGGGAAGTGGGGGATACACATTTACAAAGCAGGTGGGATTAGTGTTGATGGGAGGCAGATACCCGAGTCCTTGGGTACCGTTTGGTCTGAAGGATTTCAACTGTGTTTCGCAGCATCCCAGCCTGAAGCTGCTGTTCCCTGCAGGCACAGGAGCTGGTCAGGTTTTGCTGCTGTGCTGGGTGGGAACAGACTGCACCTTCTAGAGATGGATGCTTAAAATCACTGCAGTGATTTTTTACAGGGGATTGGAAAGAAATGCTGCCAAAGCCTGGCAAAGTAAGAAGGATAAATAAAACCATTAGCATTCGTTTGTTTTTGCATCCAGCGTGGTTCTACCCTTAGTCTACTCAGTGAGCTGGCCACAGGACCTCAGCCAGGTCCCATCCTCAGGGCACTGCATGGTGCTTGCTGCTGAACTGAACTTTGCATGTGCAAAGAAAATCAAAGTCACTGGTAAAAGCAGGCAATTTATTTTTGACATTCTTAGCAGAGAGGAATCGTTCTGTAAACGTAAATCTGCGCTGCAAGGTCCATTTAACTGGCTTGGAACCAGCCTGACTAATTACAAAGCTGTCTGCTTAGATTAACTCCCCGTCCCCCCCGCTTGGCTCTTTGTTTGCGTCTTGTGAGTGTTTTTTTGCATTCTAGTCCATTCCATGAAATCAAGCTGCTGTTCCTGCTGCCACCTCTGCTGCCTTCCATTATCCCACTGACGTGTGCTCAGGTTTTCACAGGAGCTGTGTTGGATGCGTCCCTTGGCGGAATCGATGTAATGAGCAGCACTAACCGTGGGGGGAACACGGCAGAAGAAAGGCCCGGTCCTTGGAGCCCCGGCTCGGAGCCCGGGATGCCTTTGTAGAAATTCCCTCTGTTCTTTTCAAAGGCTGCGGGTGCATGAGGAATTGCACTGGCGCAGTTCTGCTTTCACTTGGTTTTTCCATGACGCTCAGATGTATAAAAAATGGTCTTGTTTTCCCTTCATGACTGCGTCACGAATGAGGTGGTATCTGAGACACTGGAAAATCCAATGGGTACCCTCTTGCCCTCCCTTTCCTTTCACTGTCTTTCAAGGGCTTTAAAAGAAATCAGTCCATGCAGATTTCCCTTTGGTCCTTATCTAGCTCAGCACAGGACCACATGTGGGAGGCAGAGCTCTGAGCAAACCTCCAATGTCATTACCTAGCTGCTGCTTCAGGGATGGTGGGTTTTTTTCCTCCCACAGCTTGTAGCACTTCATCACTCTCCCTCTCTTGTTCTTTATCCTTCCCCCTCCACTTTTTCTTTCCCTGGTAATAGACACTTCCAGGATGAGCATGGCAACTGCAAAAATAAAACCCAAATGGTCAGAAGCCTGGAGGGGACAAGGTTTGTATCACCATCCTTTAGGGTTAGGAGGCCTAACCCCTCTTCCGAGCAGGGACTTACTTTATTGTGTCCTGATACTGTCTTTATTTAAACATGGATAAAGAGCTTCTGAAAAAGGCAGTGACTTTTGTCTGATGTGACCAAAGCCAAAGCTGACAAGGACAAGCATGTGAAGTGCAGCCTCTGTACCCCTTGCTGCCTGCCTTCTTCAGCCAGAGTTAAATCTGGGCTCTCCAAGTCTCTTTTCTGTGGGTTTGAGCGTTGGGTTTAGCAGCTATACCAGGTGAGAAGCTGCTTGTTGACCAAGGAGCCCTTTTCTTCCTAACTTAAGACTTTATATTTAGATGCCTCCAGAAACATGAAAGGAAATGCAGTAACAGCTTGATCTGTCATTTGCCATTGATTGTGACTCATCTGAAATCCCTATTTCAGTTCCCTTTCTTGTTAGCACGGCCACTTCAGTATTGTCCAAATGGCTCAACCCTCGCCAACAGTGTCACAGCTGTTAGGCACTGTGAGGGCTGGAGGAAAGAACAGCTTAAAGATTCACCTAAAGCAGCGAACTAAAATGTTCACCAAATTGTGTCAGTTGTGGCAAATGCTCATTAATTTGATCTGTACTTTGAATCTGTCAGTCCCTTCTGCTGAAATACCAAGCACCAGATATTCTCATTCAGTGACAAATTGAGGGCTTGATACAAATGTCAATAGGAAGGACTGAATTGCACTTACGGCTTCACAAAGGTGCTCATGCTGCAGCTTCAGTTTTAACATTTACCTGTGTGGTAACCTTGTGGAATATATAAAAACCTGAATGTTGGAGGTGAGTATTAATGCTTGAAACAGCAATCAAACTAACAATACAAATACAGGCCAGGAACTGTGGGTTTGTACTGGTTAGTATTTTAGGTCAGGAAACTCAAAGACACGATCCATTTGTCCTTTCCAGCTCAGAAAAGGAGCAGTTTGATGGAAGCTGATTGAAGGTAGCCTTTAATTTATTTGGCTGCCACCCAGTTTCATTTTACAAGCCCTTGCAGAGTTCACAAAGAGACACAACATGGAGATGAAGCACCCACGGAGGGTGTTTTTGAGCTCTTCTCTTGATGTTTTCTTAGATGTCATTGTGATGCTTGCAGTTCTAATGAGTTTTCTCACATAAGATCAAAGCGTTTGAGTCGATGGATTGTCATGTGCTGTGGGGCTTTGTTTTTTGTTTTGTGTTTTGTTATCTTAGGTGTGAGTTTCAACAGTGTCTATACCCAGATCTGGAGAGTGCTCCTTCACCTGGCTGCTGACCCCTACCCCGACGTCTCCGACCTGGCCATGAAGGTTCTCAACAGTATTGCCTATAAGGTATGTCCTCTGTGTTCATGTGTGGCCATGAGGTTTTGTGTGTTAATTTTCTTCATGCTTAGGCAAAGTGTAGGCAGACTGAGCTGAATGGGTGCTGTGGAGGGCTCTGCCCAGCTCACTCTGGATCTGTTGCAGAAGCTTTTAATGTTTCAAGATGATAAAACCTCAATGAACTCTTGATCAAGTAAAAGAAATCAATGGGGGAGGGCCTGGGGTTGGTTTAGGATATGAGTCAGGTGCAGAGCTTAGTCAGGAGGTCTTGTTTAGAAGTCTACTGATCTAGATCAGTCCCTGGGAGAAACCTTAAATATACCTCATTCAATTATCCGTTTGCAAACTGATTTAGATTATGCAAGTGGGACTGGCCTGCAGACTGAAGCCACAACGGCTCTCCAACCCAGGTGAACTAGTACATGTGAGTCAGCATGCAGACACCCCTGCCACTACTCACCTCCTCAACCCAGGCCTAATCCACCTAAACCACCATCCTCATCACATTTCATCCTCCGAGGGTGACAAGATGTCCCTGGAGGCTGCCGTCACAGCTGATTCAGAATGGCCAGCCTGGGAGCTATAGAAGCACCCTCACCTTCCACCTCAAAGGAAGCACCAGGCCACCCCAGAACATCTTCTCACCAGCTGCCTCTCTCCTCCCGCCCCAGTCGGTGGTGTTGGAAAGCTGGCTGAGCGCAGTCCTCCCCACATGCTTTCTGGTTGCTCCAGCATCAAGCCCATGAGCCATTGCAATGCAAGGTGACTTCTCTTACTGATGATTTCCAGTCAGCAATCCTCAATCTTCACACTTGGGCTTCTCAGCCGAAGCTGCAGTAAGAGATGCCAGCATTGTGCACTACCATTTAATTGCCTTAGAGATTCTTGCTTTTAAATCTAGTTTTCTATTGAGAAAAGAGTGATTTATTTGAACTCTTTGTTTTTAAGTATGCTTGTGAGTGACCGGTGAAGTCTGGGGTTTGGGACAGAGAATTAGCAGTGGGGCAACGAGGTCAGCCCTTCCCCGATGATACGGGTGTACAACCAAGTACTGTCAGGCTGGAGATGCCAGTCTAAGGTGAATAAGGAAAGGATAGGATTCCCCTCCCTGCTCTAGATGCATGGAATTATCTCAGTTTTGTATATTTGAGGCTCTTGACAAAATGAAATGTTACTGCTACTGTGGGATTAAAGGGTATAAAAAGGATCCAGATCTGCTTTTGCTGTGTTAAATACTTTTCCAGGACTTAGCTCCTCACTAGTGGAAGGAGATGTCTCAGTGTTAACACAGATGCTTCTGTGCCCTGCAGTGCCTCCACTAGCACTGTGTGGGTCTGCTTAACCAGCAGGACTCCTGAGCACTGTGTTGTAGCACCCACAGTGAATGTTATGGTTGATTTGGTAAATTCTGTGTTGATTCTGACAAGTGTGGTCCTAAATATCTCAGTATTGGATGGAGTCCAAAGGCTTAAGTGTTGGGTATCCTGCATCTCATGCTCTGCTTCCAAGGCAGCTGCTCTGTTCCTGGCTTTCTAAGGCAACAACTCTTCAAATGGTTTTGCAAAACAAGAAAAGAAGCATTCCCATTTACAAAGGTTCTTACCTGGGCATGCTTCAGAGAACAAAACTTACTTGTTCTTCTCTGCCTTAGCTGTAAGATCCATAAGAAAAGTATTTCAACACGCAGTTTGGGCAGCTGACTGTGTTGTGGGTTCACTGCTGTGCGCTTCGTGATACCATGGGCTTTGCTCTTGCCAGTGCCACCTGCCTTAGGTGGCTTCTGAAAAGGCTTCTTTTGTTTGAAAATCCCCAACAAACCAAACCAACCTGGTAAGAGCCCATCAAAATGGAAGTTAAGGCTTCAGATCCCAGGTTGTGATCTGGCCTTTATTCATTTCGTTATGGCCAAAGCTCCTTTGGTGAGCAGCGCTGCCAGGGTTTCCAGCCGGAGCTCCTGCTGTGCTGGTGTGAGCACAGACCCGTTATCCTTCTCTGATGCAGAGGATAATAATGCAAATTACAAACAATTAGAGTCTTTGCTCACTGTATCCTGAGGCCTTTCCTTGGTGCTAATGGAGCTTTGCTGGATGTACGAGGGAGCAGCCCGGGTGCTGCTCACGGACCCTGGGGTCCTCCCGAGCCAGTGCCAACAGTGAATTTTCCATTCTGTTGTTTGAATTTTATCACTGAATAAAAACAAAAGTTGATTTTCTTGCTTAAAACACAAATACTGCTTCAGGTGAAGTAAAGCACTTGAATAACAGTGTTCCAGTACCTGAAGGGGGCACACAAGAAAGCTGGAGAGGGGCTTGGGACAAGGGCCTGTAGGGACAGGCCAAGGGGAATGGCTTGAACCTGCCCGAGGGGAGACTGAGCTGAGCTCTTAGGCAGAAGCTCTTCCCTGTGAGGGTGCTGAGGCGCTGGCACAGGGTGCCCAGAGAAGCTGTGGCTGCCCCATCCCTGGCAGTGCTCAAGGCCAGGTTGGACACAGGGGCTTGGAGCAAGCTGCTCCAGTGGAAGGGGTCCCTGCCCGTGGCAGGGTTGGAGCTGGAGGAGCTTTAAGGTCCCTTCCAACCCAAACCACTCTATGAATATTTTAGAGGTTTAAACCTTTTGTTCTAGCTATTAAAAGATTCAGAGAATGAGGCTTTATTTCGAAGCTTGGACAGTTCTCTGATGGTACCACAACCGAGGTGCAGTCTGTTACCACTGTGCTCCTCAGCCAGCAGCCCTGAACACATGAGCTGGGGGCTTCAAGCCCTGGCTGGGGTCAGTGAACTGCAGTGCACTGAGCATTCAGTGCCGAGCTCAGCACTTTGAGGCTGTGTGTTTGTCATGTAGCTGGGCTGCCTCGATGAGTGATCAGACAGCACATTGAGAGCAGTGTGAGTAAATGCTGCTACGCTTTTTGATCCCCTGCAGTGAAAAGTGGGGCCTGTGCTGTGAGCTCCGTGACTGTGCAAGTGTTCAGGCTATGAGTCTGCATCTGTGCAATAGTTATTTGTGAGGCACAGCATGAATTTCAAGCACAGGTTTTGTTTCCAAATGCAACCAGTCCTATTCTGTTTCTTTAATGGAGCTGTGAATATAGATCTTCATCTGTGGGAGAGCTCCCGTGCTCTTTAAATAGGAGGATGTCTTTCTGAGCAGCCGGTGAGTAGGTTGCACAGGCCTGGAGGCTTCCTGGATGTGAACGGCACCGTGGTATCTCATGGGCTGATCAGCCACCACCAGCTCCCACACAGATTGTGGCTGTGTTGTGGTTTGTATTTATGGTGCAGGTTGGGATGGTGCAACTCTCATTCCCAGCCTGAGCTTTGAAAAGATCCAAACCGTGCTTTTTTGTGTGTCCCAAAGCAAACAGAAAGGACCCAGTAATCAGTGGTGGCCTTTTGAGACTTTCTGAAATCACAAATAGTTAAGGGAAGTTGGCTTCCTCCCAGGCTGCTTCATCCAGATGCTTTAATGGAAGGTTGAGGCTGGATTATAGAACCCTATAGTTCAGGTTGGAAAAGACCTTTAAGATCGTTGAGTCCAGCCATTAACCCAGCACTGCCCAGCCCACCGCTAACCCGTGTCCCCAGGCACCACATCTACAGTCAGTTAAATCCCTCCAGGGATGGTGGCTCCACCACTGCCTCAGGCAGCCTGTTCCAGTGCTTGACAGCCCTTTAGTGAAAACTCTGTCCCTAATACTCAATTTAAACCTCCCCTGGCACAACTTCAGGTTGTTTGCTCTCATCCTATTGCTTTTTACTTGGGAGAAGAGACCCAATAACCTCACCAAGGATCACAGCACTGGGTTGCGAGGTGGGAGGAAGGGCTGGTTGCTGAAGGGGAGCCCCTGGGCTTCCTCCCTGCCCCATGGCACCTTGTTTTGAGGTGCTGGCACAGGTAGCAGGCCGCAGCTGGTGCAAGGAAGAGGTTTATGCGTTACTCAGAGCTGTTTCCCCGTCACAAAAGGGTACTTTGTGGTAAGTGTTTTCTACCTAAAAAAGAAGACTCGTGGTACGTGTTGGGAGCTGCAGGGGGGCTTTTTCATACACATTTTAAACACCCCCACACAGCGATGAGATGCTTTAGCTGCGCTTAGCCCCCGCTGTGCCCGTGTGCTGTGACGCACCGCGCCTGGCGCTCCCGCGGGGCTCCTCAGGACTCTCTGTGTTTTCTCTCCAGGCAACGGTAAATGCTCGTCCCCAGCGCATCCTCGACACCTCCTCGCTGACTCAGTCTGCCCCTGCCAGCCCCACCAACAAGGGCATGCACATCCACCAAGTCGGGTAAGCAGCAGCATCGCTTCCGAATGCTTTTGCCATAGGGATTTAAGTGTTCCTGGCCAGTCACCAGGAACCATCCTGGTTGAACATCTGGGTAACCTCTTGTTTTAGCACTGTAGGGTGTCCAGAAACAAAAACTATAGGGAAAGACAAAGAGTTTCTTCCAGTTTTTCTTTTCAGGACAAGAGTAACAAACTGCTCTAATTATCTGAAGATGAACTGAAAGGATGGGCTCACTCCTGCTGGTTTTACTGGTGCACTCTGCCTCTGTGGTACCCAAAGTTCCCATTGAAGCCTGATACGTATTTTCTGCCCTTTCAGCTGATGAAAGCCAGGGTTATCTGATGATCAATAAGCCATGTCTAAACTGCAGGGAAATTGGGATAATGGTATGGGCAAAGCTGGGATTGGAAAGTTTGATTATTTCCCAAAACCTACTCCAAGAGCAAACAGCACACTTCAGGTCATAGCATCCCAGTCTGGCTTGGGTTGAAGGGTCTTTAAAGCTAATCCAGTGCCAACCCCTGCCATGGGCAGGGACCCCTTCCACTGGAGCAGCTTGCTCCAAGCCCCTGTGTCCAACCTGGCCTTGAACACTGCCAGGGATGGGGCAGCCACAGCTTCTCTGGGCACCCTGTGCCAGCGCCTCACTGGATCTAGCAGCCCTGTAGCCAGCGTGCACCAGTAAGATTCAGAGCTGGAGTGAAAGGCCCAGAACTGCACAGTGATGGTTTCTGGTTTTATAATGTAACTGTGCCACAAGGTAAATCCCAATTCTCGTATAAATTAAAACACTTTTCTGTGGGCTCACAGGACTTCCAGCCTCCCCAGTGAAGTATAAATCTTATAAGGAGAAACAAAGTAAAAGTGACTTAATTCGCCTGCAAGAGTCTCAGGTCCAGGGGTACCTGAATCCTTTCCCTCTCTTTAACCTTTAGAGGGTCACCTCCAACCACTAGTACGAGCAGCTCCAGCCTGACCAACGATGTGACAAAGCAGCCGGTCAGTCGGGACATGGCCTCTGTCAGACCCGCCAACGTCGGCAGCGTGGGGGTGCAGTACACTCCCCACTCCCACCAGTTCCCCAGGACAAGGAAGATGTTTGACAAAGGGCCAGAGCAGGTAAAGACTTTTCCCTTTCCCATCCAGCTGCTTCCCCGCTCCGTGGGCTTTGTGGCATGTTCTGTTCTTTGTGGTTTATTTCCACATCCCTCCTGTTTGCTTTGCGCTGCTGTTAACTCCAGAGCAGCTCCTTCTAACCAGTAAAATAAAAATTGATTAATTTTGTTTCTTCAGGATAAATGTTGTTTGATAGCTTCTGATAGGGCATTATTCACTCCTGCTACCAAGAAATGTTTAATCACAGTTGATTGCTTCTTCTTTCACAAACATTTATCTGCCTGAATGATAGCACAGAGTCAGATCTGTGACCCTCAGATGCTTTTCCTCCAACCTGAGCAAATGCAAGCCAGCATTCCTCAAGCAAGACTAATAGGTGCTTCTGCACTGGAATATTCCCTTCTTCCCAGCAGCCTGTACCTGCTCTGTGTTTAGCAGCCCTTTTTCACTATGGATGATGGAGAATAAGCTCCTCATGGGTCGCTCTGCTGGAAAGGAGTTGGTAGGTTAAGAGCTGGGAGCCCCTCTGGGAGGAGCAGCAACTCCTCCTTCCAGCAGAGCAAGCCAACAGGGCTTTTGCGTACTTATTGCATACCTTTTAGCATTCTGAAGATTCATCAGGTACTGGGCAGCTTTCCATTCAGGGAAGCTTGAAGGGCTGATGTGGTGCCAAGTAGAGCAATCAGTCAGAGTTTAGAATGCACAAACGATGTGAATGTCACCTTCAGATGTCTTCAGATGGCTCATGTCAGGTGAGCACCTTGAGTCCAAGCACTCTTGGACGTGCTTGTGGCAATCACTTGAAGACAGAGGCTGTTCCCAGTTGGTGGTCCGTGGTGTTGAGGGTTCAGCATCTGGCAGGAGTTTTGTGTCACCCTCTCTCTCTAGTTCAGCACGTTTCCAGGATTTTCCTGGTGCTGGCTCTGTGGATGAGAGGAAACAGATAAGCAGCAAGTCAGCACTACTGCTGTGCTAATGCATGAAGCAGGTGGAGGGAGGACATTGACCTTCCTCTTCTCCCTCCCAGTGCAATAGAAAGGACTCTGTAATACTCTTCTGCTGTGGGAGATAATTCTCCATGAGGATGGTTCTCTCCATGGGAGGTTACTCTTCCATGGGAGGCTGAGGTGCATCCACCACATTTCCACCAGGCAAGCGGACAGTGCAGCTTTTAGGTGCTCTGAGTCCTGAGCAGTAACTGCCCTTCACTTACATTGGCACTTCTGCCTTTCCTTAATGAGTGCTCTCACGGAAGCCTCTGGAGGTGGGGAGTCAAGTCTGTGAAGAAGAAAATGTTGAAGCCTTTTCATGAGCACCTTCACTTCCCATGGGAATGGCAGCTGGGATCATACTTTGTTTTCTCTTTGGGTGTCTTGTGCTTTGTAACATCCTCATCCCACACCTGCCCTTGCTGTGAAGCTGTGTCTGGCTCTGCTTTATCCTGAATCATCTTCACTACTCCACTGTTTCTCATGCCAGATGCTTGGGAGACTGTGAGGAAACTCATCCTGGGACCTGATGATGCACTGATGCTTCAGACCTGATTCATGCGCTGGCCCGGTTATGCCTTGTGCTGTGCAGCTGAGGGAGTTTGCACATTTCCAGAGAGCTAATGTAATGACAGATTTTAATGCTAGATGTACAGAATTACATCTCCTTGGCAGTGTCTTTGAGCTTTTCCCGCCTGCTGACGTGTTGAAGGCGAGCTGGGTATTGCTGTGTGTGCATGGCAGGGGCAGGGGCTGATGTCCTGTTCTCTCTCTGGGCAGACCACTGACGACGCCGATGACACCGTTGGGCACAAAAGTTTCATTTCGGCCACAGTGCAGACGGGGTTTTGCGACTGGAGTGCCAAGTACTTTGCTCAGCCGGTCATGAAGGTAACGCTTTGTTTCCTCTGTGCATACACTGGGGGTCACAGCACTGCAGCTCCTCAGAAGTGCTGCTGTCCTGAGCGAGGGCTAGGGCTTTCCCTAAGTCTTTTTCCCTTCCTTTTCCTTCAGTCTGGGGAGGGAAATGAATGGACTCGGGTGCATCATGCTGCTCTGGGGAGCTGCATGACTGCCGTGCTTGTGAAGTGAGAGGGAAGAGGTCACCAGGGGTTAGCAGCAGATGGGGCAAGGTGTATTTCCAGGGAGAGAGCTCAGAACAAAGCCCTGAACCCCATGGGGGACGTTCCAGAAAGAGCGTAGCAGTGAGAGGGGGTTTTGTAGTTGACCCAGATCCACCGGTTTTGCACGGTTGCAGGTTGCATGGCAGAGTTGTTTCGTTTGAAATGTGCTTGTCTACGTAGTGAAAATTGTATTAGAGTAACAATGCATAGATTCTTTATATAGATAAATGGAGTGAGGAAGGTTCTTTATTCCAGAAAGGGCTGGGGGGGGAGAGCTGCTGGTTCCTGTCTGACATCCTGGCTGAAGGCCCCATAATTCCAGTGGCTCAGGGCATACCCTGTGCCTGAAGCCAGCCTTGGCTCTGTGCTCTCATGTGTGACTTCAGAGCCCTGCTCTGCTTATGGGCACCTTGTGTAAGACATCTTCAACTTAAAAAGGAGAAAGAGGGAATGATGGGGCATCCACAGGAGTGCCTGTGGGGAGATTTGGAAGCATCATTGTTGGGTTTTGAAGTTAAACATTAAAGTGCTACTATGGCGAAGAATGAGGGTGGGAATGACAGATCCTCAGTGAGCTGTTCTGGTAACTAACTTGGCTTTCTCTGAAGTGGGAGGTACACCAAAGCCTTGTTCTAGAAGAAAACCAGCCCAGAGCTCTTGAGAGATGGGCAGAGATCATCAGGGACTGGAAGGTGAAACTCTTGAATTCCCAGAATCTTTTAGCCAAAGATCAGGTTTCAGTTTTAAGTATGAAATCAAAACAAGCAGTAAATCTTCCCTTATTACACGCAGGCAGGGTAAGGCAAGGCTCCAGCTACCCTGGGAGTCAAGCAGCACAAACTGTAACACAACTTTCAGCTTAATTTCTTGGAGGTATTGCAATTTCTGTGAATAATAATAATGCACAGCTGGTATTAATGCCATTACCTGAGCAACTCCACAGCAGATGTTTGCATCCAAGCACTGATACCTAAATCTTACTAATGAAGAAATAGTACATTTATGTGCTGCCTCATCCCAGAATTGCCACTGCGCCATCCATCACCACTCCTCCACTCTTCAGGCATGTGGGATCGTTTGGGGGGTAATTGCCCCTAAGAACATCAGAAAAGCAGTTACATGGCAGCGGGTTCTGAGCAGCTTTGATTTCTTTAGAGAATCACCAGGAGGAAAGCTGAGATGGTGAAGAGGTTGCCTGGCACTTCCTGAGCTGCACGGGGCATCAGTTCCCTTCTGATACCATTATAAGAAGAGTTCACCAGGACATATGCCTGGCCTGTGGGGCTTGGTGCTGGGTCAGGCTTCCAGCCAAGGCTTCTCTCATCAAGATGGGTTTTGGTGTCTTGATTCAAGTCCAGCAGAGTACAGGAGGAGGAGGATGGTGTTCTGTCTCTTAGTTCTTATTAAAAACATTTGTTTGCTTTCTAAGGAAAGCTCTTTCCAGTGAAGAGGGGTGTTTTATTAAGGGAGTAAATCATGGTAGACAGCGCTTCAGGCTCTGTTGGAGGTAGGTGGGGAGCTCCGTGTGTGGGTTTACTACTTCATGTGCAGGAAATGGAGGAAGTTACTTTAAGGACAAAATGTGGAGCATTCCTATACTAATTCACAGAAGCCAGGGAGGGGGAGTCATGGAAATCGAGGTGTCCCTGTGCCCCAGTGGGTGCCAGGGTGTTCAGTGTCCCGCTGTGAGAGTTAAGGTACTGCAGAGTATCCTGCGTGTGCATCCCACACGTGCAGGGACTCTCTCTTCAGCATTTGCTAGCATAGCAGGAGTAGCAGTAGCCTGTATGACAGTGATGGTTCCATTAATACTTTCCCAAGTGTTGCATTTGGAAATGCTCACTGGCTGGGGTTGAGGTTTCAGAGCACGGACTGTCCTCAACAGCAATGATTTAGGTGAGGTTTGAGCAAAATGAAATCCATATTTCCTAGTAAGACAGGGAAGAGAATTGATTTCCCTATTACTTCTGTAAAGCAGCTCTGAGAGGCTAAGTGGAGAAAACGTGTGTGTTATCCTGTCCTAACAGGGGATTATATGTAACGTCCTCACTGGAGTGGGTGAGTGTGCAAGGGGCAGGAAGAAGTCCCTCTGTGAGGGACTTTGATTGCTGCTTGTGTAACGGGGCAGGAACATGGGGCTTGGCTGGGTTTCTGCAGAGTGCTCCTTTCCTAGAATCCCTGTTCCTGCAGCAGCAAGGAACAAACAGCCCTTGGCTGGTGGCTGCTGTCATTTGGGAACTTCAGCCCAGGAAACAGGCAAGGAGTAAAGTCTACCACGTCCTGATGGCAAAAGATTACACTGATGTTTAATTTCAGCGCTTCATTTGGAGATGCTGCCTACCATCATAAACAGGGAAAGACAAGACAACTATCCCTGTAATGAATAAACATAAAATGACTGTGAGTGCATCTTAGTCATATTTAATTTATTAATTTAGTTTTGCTTCATAGACCTTGCTCTGAGAATGCTTTCACTGGAAAGAGTGAGGGATTAATTTCCAGTGTAAATCACTGGCTCGGATTCAAGCCATCTACCAAATTGGATTTATTTATTATCTAATCAAATAAACAGCGAAGGGAAACGCTGCATTGTGAATGCTCAGTGTGCAGGAAGAGCAGATACCTACCCCAGCCCTGCTCCCTGCAGTCTGTCCTCTTCCTGAAAGCTCCTGTGGCAAAGGCTGCTCTGCTCACCACAGGCGGTCCTGGCTGGAGAGGCACAGGAAAGCCTTGTTGCCAGCTGTCAGGAAGCCCTGAGCCGAGGAGAGCGGGAGCCAGCATCTCTTATTGCCAGGACTGGCAGAACATGCAGGCAGGAGCTGGTGAGGATCCTGGAAGGTGAGAATTACATAAGAAACCCTTCCTGATAAACCCTGCCTTAACTCCAGCGCTGTGTCTTGGCCAGTGTTCAAAGCCCTGGGAGAGAACTGAGCCTTAGGCAATTGCTGCAGTAACCTCAACCAGGGAAGAGCTGATGTACCACTGGAGCCATTCACTGAGTTCCCTGCCCTGCTTTAAACACTGACCTCCACAGCAAGGGGGAGAGACAAAGTGTTAAAGAAAAGCTTCACTGGCTTTCAGATGACACTGCTTGGGGGGAGGTTTCAGTATCAGGACTGGTTTCTGTCCGAGTGGAGGCTCGGACACGTTGGGAATTGGTGGCATGTCAGGATCCTCATCATGTTGCACTGTTTGCTACTCCCCATCTCCCTTACCAGGGGCTGGCTGGGAGGGAGACAAAGACATGAATGATGAACCCAAAGAGTTCTTTTGAATAAGAATTTGTGGTTTTCCAGCCAGCAGCAGCCAGGCAGGAGGTCACAGCTCCCTGCTGCACACATCCCAACATACTCCTGTGCTTGTTTGTTACCAGAAGCTCCTTCACAACATGTTCTGGGGGGTTCATCATTTCATAGATCATTGCTCCCTCCTGACAAGTTCTCCCACACAGCTCTGTCCCACAGGCAGATGGACATGGAGGAAGGGGCTGCATTTTGCTTCATGCTCTTTCTTCTCACTGCAGTGAGGCTCTAAGGCCAGTCAGGCCTTGTCTGTTGAGCACAGGTACACTAATTGCCTGTGTCACACTTAACTGAACTTGTGTGGAGCATCTCTGCCAGGGTGCGGTTACTTGCAACACTTTTTAGGGGTCTGCTGAGTCCAACAGAGTTTATTCCATTAAGGGTATTGTATGTTCACTCTCTGATAACACTTTAGAAGGACCCACAGGGATTTTTCTGTGTTATTCCTGGTGGTTTTCTTCTCTCAAAGCTCTGTGACCCTCTGCAGTATCACTGAACCGTGCCAGGTTTCTTCCTATGCAGGCTCAGGCCCTCTTACTTTCCCCTTTGAACCTGTCTGTTCACCACGTTCCAGCCAGCATCAATCAGCTTGAGGGTAACACGAGGACTGGTGAGACCCAGGGTCTGTATCCAAAGTGGAGGCGCCAGGAATAAGTGTCTCCTGCTCAGCGAGTGTATTTTGGGTGTGTTCAGCTGTGATCCCAGCTGGGCCTGCAGGAAGCTATTGGACACACACGGATCCTGGAGGAAGCATCTTTGCAGGAACCTCCCTTACGAATTGCAAGGTGATGACATCCCCCGTCTGCAGAGCCTTTGGCACACAGAATGTGCTTAGTTGAGTCAACTGTACCAAAGCCAAGACTTAAACATATGCCCTTAGTGTTCTCCTGCTGCAAGGGTATGAATTGCATGTCAGATGCTGCATGGGTGTAACCGCATCCCAGCACAGTGATCCTCGGGGTGAGCATCTTTAACTCCCCTTTGCTCACATCTTTGGAGGGAGAAGAGGAAGGCAAAGATGGCAAACAGGCAACTGTGGAAGCAGAGGCCATATGTGGGTTGCAGGTGCTGCAGGAAGATGCCTGGGCACAAAAAGTGGAACTGGCCAGGTAAAGACATCATCTGTGCTGCTCTGCGGAAGAAAGGACTTCTGCTGTCTCCCTCCTGCCAGAGCATTTCATCCTGCAGTCACTTGGTGTCTGAGGCTGTCTTGCCACATGTGGTCTGCTGATGCTACAGCCTCTGGGGACTGTACCCTGGGAGATCTCGTTAGAGGAGGAATCTTTATTACTGATACCAGATGATGAAAACAACTGCCTGCTCAGCCTCCTTGGAAGAGTTCTTTTCCTTCAGACCTGAAGAGCCCAGAAACTCCTTTAATCTGCTGCTCTTTATCTGCTGGAATAAGGAGCACTTTGCTCAACTGCAGAACTGCGAATTTCTTAGCCCTAAACTGTGAAAGCCCCTGGTGCCTGCAGCAGAATTTACTGTTCTGCTCCTTCCCGTCTCCTCCCCTGGCTTTTTAGGTCTGTCTTTAATTTATTCCCAGAGAAGGGGGATTTTCATTAAGGTGTAGGTGTAACCTCTCCGCTCTCACATCTCCTTTGATGTATTTTATCTTTGCTTTGTTTATTGCTTTACATTATCAGTCATTTGTCATTGCCTCTAATAGATGTTGTAGTCCAGACAAAATGAAATAGTGCTGGTTTGGTTCGAGGTGGTTGTGCTAGGAGGGAAGGGGGAGGGTGGGTTTCTTCTTTTGAATGTCTTTTAAAGAAGCAGAAACCCATCTCAGTAGTAGCTGTTTTCCAAAGTGCGGTGCATTTTGAGGACAGTGTGATAGTGACAGACGGTTTAAGGCTGTATTCAGGGGAAAAAAAAGTGTGTGTTTGTGAGGAATGGGGAATGACTTTGTCTTCTGTGTCTCCCTTCGTCAAGAGTTTCTCCTTTTGGAACAGCCATCATCATCAGAAGCTAGACAGAGTCCCGTAGCTCAGCCCCATAACTGATCCAGAGATGCTTCCTGTGTGTTACAACCACGGGTGGTTTGAATGTGCTTGGTTCTTCAGAAACCCTGTGTCATTCACTTTGGAGAAGTGCCTACGACTTAAAGACAAAATATAGGACAGCAAAAGGAAATGAGAAGAGATTACAGATGGTGGGGAAGATTTAGATCAGGAAGATGCTCAAGTATTTAATAACATAAGGTCTCGTGAGCTCCTCTGTTTACCGCCTGAGGCTTGGAGCCTTAAGTATTTATGGCTTAGTCTGACATGCACGTGTAGGAGTGTGTGTTACGAAGGCAGTTCGTGGAGTTTTGATGGTTACTGTTGTTTTGTGTTGTGAATATGCTGCTAACACTGAAAGATCCCAGAGGAGCATGACTTGGAGAGCCAGATCCGCAAGGAGCGAGAGTGGCGGTTCCTGCGCAATGCCCGGGTCAGGAAGCAAGCCCAGAAGATCATCCAGAAGGGTGAGTGACTTCTGCTTGCCCACACTGCCAGCAGCTTGCTTGAGCTCTGAGCACTGCGCTTAGGCAGGACACTGACCTGTAAGCCCCCAGTTAATAGTGACTCTCAAGAGGAAGAAGTGCCTGTTCTCCCTCCCATGTGCAGGCGAGGTGATGCTGTGCAGTGTTTTGCTGATAGTCACCTGTCCGTTCTCAGCTCCAGATGAGGGGAGGGACCATTTCGACTGTCAAATTACTGCCGTCCCCTTTGAAAACTTAACCACGGTGTTAGAAATCAGCACAGTGGCCACAAGCAGAGCACTCAGCCAGAACACAGCACCAGGCTGGCCACCATGCCAAGTCCAGAGGAGCCTAAGAGCAGCGACTGCTTTAGAGGAGGGAAAGCAGCCATGAAGCAGCATTCCCCACTTCCAGGAATTGACAGAGCATCCGATCTGCAGTGCAGGCACTGGCTCCCGGCTGAGGGCAGCAGCTGAGCTCTTCAGCCACATACCCGGGTACAGCCGGCTCCTCCGCAAGAGCCAGAGCGCTTGGCGTGGAATCAGTAATTCGGAGGCCCTTAGCAGATGCTATTGATTTACCATTTGGGCTCTTCCTCCCTGCCCTGTGATGTTCACATGGGTACCATAGGTTGTGTTTTTAAAGGGATAGAAGGCAGAATGCTGTAGGATAAAAAGGAAGGGACCTCTTCCACTGGAGCAGCTTGCTCCAAGCCCCTGTGTCCAACCTGCCCTTGAGCACTGCCAGGGATGGGGCAGCCACAGCTTCTCTGGGCACCCTGTGCCAGCGCCTCAGCACCCTCACAGGGAAGAGCTTCTGCCTAAGAGCTCAGCTCAGTCTCCCCTCTGCAGGTTAAAGCCACCTCAGTGATGTCTTTCTCACTCCTCTCTCTGCTAAACTCTGTAAATGATTGCTTACTCCTTATACCCCCTTATATTTTTTAATCCCCTTATGCATGGTTTATGTGCACTGCTGACACATTTCCCTCTAACGGCCTCAGGTTTGGGTTTCATTAGTGTGTACTCTCCAGAAAGCTGCTCTATTTATGACTCCCCACACCGCTGTGAGGCAGCGCTTGTGCTGGGACTCTTTCAGCACAGGGATTTATTCAGATAGAGTGGATCCCAATGACGTTTTCCAGGAATTTGCATGCTTAAATTATTCCTGCCCCTGTGCCTGGAACAGCGGAGCTGGGGAGCAGCATTGGTGGGAGCTCTTCTGACATGCTCCCAGCAGCATTCCCAAGGGAGTGTGGAGGCTGCTCCTCTCCTGGGATGCTCACAGGCACACATGGAGTTGGACATGACCATTTGCTGAATGAAGAACTGCCCAAGGCTCAGCCCCCTGCCTGCACCTCCTCATGTGGAGGGTCACTGGGCTCAAGTCAGGGCAATGGGAAGCTTAATGTTGTGAAACTGCAGAATATCATGAACCAGAGTAATAGAGAAATGGAAGTGGGGCCCAGGAGGCGGCCTGGGAGAGCTTCCTGAATACAAAGAAGGGATTCTTTGTGCTTACCTGAAGAAGTTAAATCTTTTTTCTAGACGCTGTTCACGTTTGGTTGCTTGACCTGAGCGACCAGAGTGCAGCAGCCATTAAAACAAAGAGAAAACATGAAACATTAAAAAGAACTAAAATAGAGTTCCCAGCTCTTAATGAAAATTAGATCAGATGGGTGCATTCTGAAACGAGCTAGGACTGAGTAAATGTCTCCTGGGCGTACGGGTTTGTGTGATGAATTCACTCTGTGACAGAAAACTGCAGCATCGGGGGTACCAACACTGGCTGTGAAGAGCAGAGTGTTCTGAAGAAGAGAAGGGAAAGGTCTTTAACCACCCTCTGAATGTCTCCATGGAAAATGTATTTTTCATTGGCAAATTAAGCTAGAATAGTTTAAAACCACTGGAATGGAAGATGGACTGAATAATCCACAACAAGATGGAACGCTTCAGCATTGGGAAAAACGGGTTTGGGGTTTTATTTCTCTTGCAAAAATAACATTGTTTTTTCTGTCAACACAACCTGGTGTCTCCCTGGGCTCGGCTGCACTTGCTTGTTCCCTGCAGCTCCCAAAGCACAGCACCCCCTGATTCGTCACCAGTTTTCACTTTGTACCTTAAGACGTGAGGCAATCGGTGCGGAGGAATCAGGGCCGTCAGTAGCTGGGATCTGAGCAGCTTCTGGAGGGAGGGGAGTGTTGGGAGTCTGTTGTTGGGAACTGGGGGAGAGGGGTGAGATGTGGCGCTGGGAAGCTCGTCCCTGGGGTGGGATGCTCCCGGGCACTGAGCCGTGGCCGCCTCCTGTCCCCCCGCAGGTATTTCCCGGCTGGATGATCAGATCTTCCTCAACAGGAACCCGGGCGTCCCCTCTGTGGTGAAGTTCCACCCGTTCACACCCTGCATCGCCGTAGCTGACAAGGACAGCATCTGGTTAGTGATTCTGTGGGTCTCCAAAGCACCGGCAGCGTGTGTGGAGGGTTCAGAGCAGCACATATGGAGTGTGGGGTGGCATTGCCATGTGTGTTCCTTTTCTTCCCCCTGCTCCATCTTGTGGCCGTCCTTCATAGAATCCCAGCCCAATTTGGGTTGGAAGGGACCTTAAATCTCACCCAGTTCCAACCCCCTGCCACGTGCAGGGACACCTTCCACTGGAGCAGCTTGCTCCAAGCCCCTGTGTCCAACCTGGCCTTGAGCTCTGCCAGGGATGGGGCAGCCACAGCTTCTCTGGGCACCCTGTGCCAGCGCCTCAGCACCCTCACAGGGAAGAGCTTCTTCCCTTTAGCTAATCTAAATCAGGGCAGAGTCCTCCTGGAGCTCAGTGCCAGAGCTGTAAGGTCACAGCGAGCCCCTTTCTGCAGGGGGTGCTGGCTGAGAGTGAATCCTGACAGATTTATAGTGGTTTTTTACACCTGAGCTTTTATCCCGTTTCCTTCTCAGAAGCTGCACATCCATTATTAATAAAATGCTGCTGAACACCAAAGGAGAAAAACAAATGGAACTGGGATCAGATGTACATAATTTTTAGCTTTGCTGCAGTGAGTGGATCTCTTTACAGCTCACACAGAGAACCAGGAACTGACTCGGTGTTTTTTCCTCCCACAGTTTTTGGGATTGGGAGAAAGGGGAAAAGCTGGACTATTTCCACAACGGGAACCCCCGGTACACCAGGATCACAGCAATGGAGTACCTGAATGGACAGGACTGCTCCTTGCTGCTGACTGCCACAGGTAGAGAGCACATTTTCCCACATAGGAGGGCATGACTGGGGGCGGCCTTTATGGAGTTCAAGTGCGTGTGAGCTGCTCTGGACTTCTGCTCTCCCCTCTATGAACTGACCCTTCCCTCCCTTGCAGCTTGCCTGCCTGAGGAGCATTTCCAGGGTCACACCTGAGAGTTGTTTCTGCCTTACTCTACACACTGAATTTCTCCCATAGTCCTCAGTGTCTCTCTAGTCCGTATATCTCATCTAGGGGAAACAGTTCTCCAGAATGCCCTATTGCGTCATGTAAGGTAGCATGAAGGGCTTTTTCCCATTCATTGCTCTGTGAAGCTGTGAGTAAGATCTGCTTCTCTCCCAAGGAACCATTCTAAAGCCATCAGTTTAAGTGTTTTCAATAGCTCTTCAAACTCCGTGCTGAAATGCACAGGTTGGGTGTAATTAAGAGAGGTGAAAGAGGAGCTGAGAGGGCTTTTCGGACGTTTTCCTTTCAAGTGATTGATTCCTTGCACAAAAGTTTCACAGATGGGGAACAAATTGAAAAAATACAGGATGTTCTTGAAAGATCTGCTGCTGATGGGCTGGGCTTTGATTCAGCTCCTTCTGCGGGGTTGTGTTTTGTATTTAGCAGGGTACTTTTGTGGCTCTCTGCACCAATAGCAAGGAGGACAGAGACAAATCCTAGAGAAAATGAATAGCTCAAAGAAACGGAGCGACATCTAATGTCAGATGTTATTTGAGAGAAGGAGAAAAGCTCTTCTAGAACAGTTCCCGGTAGAACAATGCTTTAGGTTTCATGGATGTAAGATGAGAGAGGAAAAACAACTCTAGTAAAAAGGATTAAGTTCAAGTGGCACTCAGTTTTGGACGTTGTATGGCTACAGTGCTTCTCCCTTTGTCATGCACAAGCAATGATGAGAGGTCCATCAGCAGTGACGCTGCATTGTGTTCTCTTTCCACCCAAGATGATGGTGCCATCAGAGTGTGGAAGAACTTTGCAGACCTGGAAAAGAACCCGGAGATGGTAACAGCCTGGCAAGGGCTGTCGGACATGCTGCCAACCACACGAGGTGCGTCCCCAGCAGCTTCTGTTGGGGTGGGGGATAAAAATCATTTGCGATGCTGGGTTTTCTCTGGGGGTGCGGAGAGCAAAACGGGTTTCTCACCTTCAGCCATCAGTAGCATCCTTGTTCAACAGTCTCTGCCTTCTGGAATGGCCTTCTCCCAGCTCTTGGGGAGGAATTGTTTTTCCATTTCTCACTGGAAAATAAAACCAACAAAACGGCAAGCCCAACACGGCGACTTCACACGCACTGAAGAGCAACCAGAGCAGCCTTTTGCTGGGGAGCAGAAGGGTACAAAGTCCTTGTCCTGTACAGGCTTCACAGCAGCTGGTTTGCTCAAGCATTCCGCTTAGCTATGATCCTAAGGAGAGAGCTGTAGAACAATGGTGGGCTGAGCACTGCCCTGCTCTTCTGGCCGTGGCAGGACATTATTCCCCTTCGGGTGGGACAGTAGCTCACGTGTTGCCTCTTTCCTTCTGACGGGCTGCTCGGCCTCTGCACAGCTTTGCATGTTGCACCTGGGACCTCCTTGAGCCTGAGCTCGAATTTTGGCACTTTCTCTTCACTGTGTACTGTTTGTGGGTCAAGGGGTGGCGAGAGACAGTTCTAAATGTGACACGTGCAGGACAGCACAGTTCGACCCTGAGCGTTAGAAAGGTTGGATAGAAGAAGATGTAAAAAGAACACTGGCATTGAGCTGTACACAGGGAGAAGCCACAACACTGGTTTGAGTAACCCTGAAGTCTCTATTAGGACATTAAAGGAAGTGGATGTTTTGTCCTGAGACCTGGTAATGTACTAAGGCTCTAACAGTGATTCTCTGTCACTTGGATGTTTCTAATCAAGGCTGCATGTGCAGTGGTTCAGTCTCATTGTGGGATTGGTGCAGGAATTGCTCAGCGAGGCTCCCTGGCTTGTGCAAAGCAGAAGGTCAGATGAGATGACCATCATAATTCATCCTGACCTTAAAATCTGACAGTTCTCATTTCTGAGCTGCTGTGGTTCATCACAGGAGCCTGACACAGCTCTTTTAGCTATTCATTGGATTTTACTAGGGCTACCTTGTTGTGCTCCTCTGTTATGTTTCCCTTAATGGTGTCGCAGGGAAGAGGAACTGGATTTGGGGTTGTGGTGAGCTCTGTGCCTCACTGCAGTATGTGCACAGAACTGATGACAAGCTGCTAGGAGTTTGTAGCCCGCTGTGAAAATTGCCATGATACGGCACACGAAACCTCTCTTGGAGGTGTCAGTAAAAGCAGAAGGAAACCAGTGGTAATGCCCTGAATGGTGAAGGGCCTGGATCTCCTCAGATGGAGAGGGAGGTGATCATCTCAAGTTGCCCTTTGTAGTGTCGATGGGTTGGTTTACGTTTCTTTCTTGTCAACACCAGCTTTCCCAAAGGATGTTTATTAGTGTTCACTATCCCTGGATTCAGGATCTTCCTTCCCTGGTTCTCTAACAACCAAACAGCTGGAGTTCCCCCAGGCTGCCCTGGTCACCAGCTCTGTGCTGCAGCATCAGTCAGGTTTGGCGAGGATGCTGACAGCTGGAGGCTGAGCTCCTTAGGGCTAATCCCATTTTTCCTGCTTACTTCCCAAGGCACAGCATCTGCAGATTGTGCCTTCCTCCAGGCCTTTAATACCACAGAAAGGATTGTTAGCATCGACATGTGACGTGACAGAATAGGGTAAGGGCTGAGGCAAGAGCTGATGCAGCAGTAAGAGTTGAATGGTTATGCTTGCCAGAACAGGAGTTCTGAAACTTTTGAGTCTGTTCTCTTTAAGATTGTTTTATTTTCCCTTTTCTTTCCCTTATGGCCTTAAGAAGTCTGGGTCCTGCTTTCTTTGCCTTTCACCTTCTGAGCAATACAAGTAGATTCAGAAGAAAAGAAGGACATACTTCTTTCTGGAGAGAGAATAAGTGTAGTCACTTCAAAAGAGCTATGTGGATCACGTCCCCTGGGAAATGTCACTCTCTTCAACAGTGATCTTTTGCTGACAAGACCATAGTTGTGGTCCAGATCTGGCTCATAAAACTGAAGATGCATCTTTGAAGCTGCAGAGCTCAGGAGTTTTACTGGAGTTTGTTTGCTCCTACTATTGATTTCCTTCTCTTCTCTCCCATCCTTTTTCCCTCTGCCATACTCATCTCTGAATGTGATAGTTGTCTGACAGCAACAAGAATACTGACTTCTCTAGGCAATTTTCCCACTTAGAAAAGCAGAGAGGGATAGGCAATACCTCTGTGCAACCTTTGGAAGCTTGAAAAGCCTCCCCAGGTTGTCCAAGGTCAGCAATACCTTGCTCAGGGGCTGTGTGAGAGGAGGAGCAGACCAGAGGGAGGCACAGGACTTACACTTGTACACTGTAAAGGACTAATTTGTGGTATGCAGCCTCAGGTAAGAGAAATGAGCCAACGCAGCCAAGTTAGTGTGTTAAACCTGGCCCCAGTTCATTGCACTTGAGAGCTGACTAGAGACTTGGGGTATGTAAGTATTTGAACGCTGGCAAACCTCTGTGTGGGTCCCCTCTCTTTTCTGTATGAGGTTTTCTGATTGGATCTTGTTTCAGTCTGCACTCATGATGCACCAAGAAGGTCTCCTTCAGTCAAAATCCAGGTGGTCAAAGCAGCATGGAGGCTGTAGCATAAGGCAGTGATTGGGAATCTTCAGCAGGAGAGATGGAGGGGGCTGAGAAGACGGCAGAGCTCATCCTGTTAATACCCCAGTGTTCCAAAAGACGCAGTTAAAACCAAGCGTTTTCGGACAGTGTAGGAAGAACCCAAACCTGACGTGCTCTGAAGCTGTCATTTCACAGCAGGAGACTGGGAATTCTGGCAGTTTCTATAGCAAAGGGTGTTTGAGGGCCGCAGGTTGAGAGGTGGGAGCAGGCGGAGCAGCGCAGTGACCCATCACCTGGTGGCTCATAGGACGAGTGGCCGAGCTCCTGCTTCTGCACACATCTGCCATGTTTTGTGCTGTTTCTTGTGCTAGAGGGGACCAGGACACAACTCCCCGCTCAGGATGGCTCTGTCCTTGACAGCACAAATCCTGGGGTTGGGAAGAATGCGGACCTGCAGCCAGCTGCTTCACAGCTCCCAAACGCTGTCTGCTCAGCTCTTCTCCCTGTGTTCCCTGCGGATACCTGTGTCGTTTTCCCTTCTCCAGGCCAGCAAAGAGAACCAGTACATTGCTTCTAACAGTCAAGGATTCAGCCAGGTCTCTTCCTGTGCAAGGTCTTCTAGGGTTGCCCCAAGGTGCCTGTCACTTCCCCTGTTTGCTGCCCTGCTCTATTCTCGCCCCGAGGTTTGTAGTGCCTGGAAACCAGTCTGTGCCTGAGGCTAATTCCTGTTTATGGGTTGTTTAAACAGGGCTCCAGGTAGCTGTGTGCTGCAGCAGAGGCAGAGGAGCCTTGGCTGCAGTGGGATCCCAGCCCTTCCGTATGCAGAACCCTCCTGTTCTGGGCTGGGTTGGGTTTGTACAGATGCCATGAGTGACTTGGATTCCTGTCTGTCATTTCTCGATGCTTTTTACTTCAGAGCAGGGAGCAGATCATGCAAAGGATAGGCTCCTTGTTCAAGAAGAAATGTCAGATCTGTGCTGCTGTCAGCCAGCCAGAAAACTCACTTCACACATGCCAAGTGCTGCCGTTGATGGCTTCCTAGGGAATGCTGTGACTGAACTGGTGCCTGCTCTCTGGATGGAGGCATGTGCTGCTCTTGGTGCTTCTGCTTCTCTTTTATGTTCTTTCCTTTAATTTGAGTTGGTTTTTTTCTAATCCTTTTTTGAGATTTATTTTTGCTCTGGCTGACCAACTTACCCTTAGCATCAACCCCTTAATCCCTGTCTTCTCACAGGTCTGGCCCGAAGGGTTTCAATCTATCTTGACAGAAGTAAGCAGGGAGGTGAGTGCTTTCTTTCCTGTTACCTTTGATCAGCTGGGGTGGGAAGGATCTCCTCGTCTGGCTTCGGGCTGGTTGACTGGTTGGTTGGTTGGTTGGTTGGTTGGTTGGTTGGTTGGTTGGTGTTTTTGGCATTGTTTGAATGACTGCTGGGTCCATGTGGTTCCTGGAAAGCTTTGCTTCTACCTCTCCCATTCCCTGCTTTGTGTCCATGTCTGTACCAGCTGTGAGAGATGCAGGGAGGGTGTCTGGGCTCTCTAGGTCAGTGTAGCCAAGTGTTGAGAAGAGGGCATCTTCCTGTTGTACTCTGAGCTGTCTGCAGGGAGAGGAGCTGGGGGGTTGCATGTACAAGTCTCTCTTTTCCTGGAATATTTCAAAGCATCCCTGGACCAGTCCCACTTGTGAGCCATCATTCATCTAACATGGGTTTTATGGGGCTTTATTTGTGATACATTTTCACTCTAAAGACCATGGGAAAAGAAGAAGGTGATGAAGCTTTCCCAGGAGGTTGAGAACAGTGGACTTTTGGCAAGGATGTGCCTAATATATTTTCCCAGTTCTGTTCTGTCATGTGGAAGGAAGGTAAATGAGCTCCCCAGCCAGGGCTGGGCAATGCCTATGTTGGTCCAGAGCCTGGATCCTTCCTCTGCTGCTGAGGAAACAGATGGCTCATGTGCCAGGGCAGCTCTGCTGCACATCCATGGGCGCTCATGTTGACGTAGTCATCTTGGGTTGTTCACTAATTACTGACATTTGCTGACTGATAAGAGTTGAGTGTTCAGTAATGATGAATAGGATGAAGATGCTTGGGGGGGGAGGGATATGTGGAGCTCTTTAGCATCAGGTCTTTGCTAATCTCTCTCTCGCTGTTCAGAGGCAGAGCACTGGCTTGGAAATGAACCAAGCTGGTGTGTGGCTGCTGGCTGCCTGGCTCTGCATTCCACTCAAAACCCAGTGGCAAACAGGAAGGCCAAAATTAGCAAGACTCAGCTGCAGGGAATTCCCTCTGGGCAAACTGGGCATCCCAACATGTAAGGAAATACCAGCCAGTCCTCTGCTGGATCCATACATCTGATGGCAAGCGATTGCCTGTGTCCCAGGCACACCAGTAATTGTGGATCAATACAGAGCATTCACTGGGTGTTCTCTTAGTGACAAATGCAGCAAGAGGATTCCGTTCTCCCACTGAAAGTGTCATAAAAATGGATGAGATGAGCTATTTTCTTGACAGCAAAATACATCAGCAATATTTAGATAAAATATACTAGTTTTGTCACCAAAGCACAGAAAATCTGTTCTTACTGCCTAGGCTTCCATAAGGAGATTTTACCAAAAGGACAGGGGACTCTGTTTTCACATCTCTGCATGCTGGTTTTCAGCAGGAATCCCTGGCACTGCTGTATTGCAGATCAGTGGTAAATCAGAGGCAGACCAGTGCTTTAATGGTCCAGGTCACACCAGGCCACTGAGCAAGTCAGCCTGGGAATCCCTAAGGCTGGAGTGAGCGCAGAGCAAAGCTGCAGTCGACACGTTCAGCATCGAGGAGCAGCTGAGCTCAGAGGTGTCTGGAGAAGCATTAGTGTGACCCTCTGCCAGGCTGCTTCACCTCCTGCTCCACCAGAGCTCTGCTGGGGGGGCTCAGCTCAGCCCTGCACCACCTCCCATCAGCGTGACTGGATGGGGATACAAAGGAGACTGTGAACAAGAGAATATCCATCTGCCCTCTCCCACCTCCATCCCTCACTGCCTGGTGGTGCTGATGTGTAAACAGCCACGACCTGTTACCTCCAGAAATGTGCACTGATGCCAAGCAAGAGAAAATGAGCACTTGCAGTTCCTGGCTTCCTTCAGTGCTCTCCTGGGGCCTCTGAAACAAAGGGAAAGACGTTAAATACCTGCTCTGCAGAAAAGCAGGACCTTGCCCTCAGAGGCTGTGCTCCGTGGTGAATACTGCTGACTGCTCCAGCAGTGATCCGGGGGGAGCAGTGGAATTCAGCAGCTTGCTGCAAGGGAATTTCCATGGGGAAACACATGGGGCAGCCTGCAACGGAGTAGCTTGTACCAGAGAGCAGGCAGGAGGGAGAGCAGCAGGCTGAGTGTCCCAGCATCTCCCCAGCGGTTGTATCTTGCCCTGTAGGAGTAAGGAGTTTGGGAGAAGAACGCTGATTTCTGGTCAGATTTTGTTAGGGTATGGAGCTAATTGGAGAGATTGCAGCTCCAGGGGTTTGTGTGCTTTTAACTGGATTCCCAGCACCAGAGCTGCTCCTCTCCCTGTGCATAGTCCTTGGCTGGAGGAGAGTGCTGCTTTGTGGAAGGATGTTGTAGAAATTAATGACAAGTGAGGTCACCCAACCCTCCCACGGCTTCCTGGAAATTAAAACCCTGATGTGCTCCATTGCTCAACCAGGAGGGCTCATGATTACAGAAAATCATCACTTAGAATCCAGGATGCTTTTATATTGTGTTCTGCGTCGATACTGCTGATTTCATTGAAATGCCAAGTACAGGTTGGCCGCGTTCCAGTGACGTTAAAAATAAGTGCAGACCCTGGGAATGCAGCTGCTTTCAGCACCACTGTTAGTTACCGAAATTTATACGAGGAACTGTCTCATCCAGACAAATATCTGTGCTCAGGGGGAGTCCTGAAGGAACAGACATAGAAAGTTACAGCTCTAAGAATGGCTGTTGGTTTGTGTTATAAACCCACATCATACTCGCATCACAGGGCTGGGTCACCTCTGCTCTGGAGCCAGGCTGAGAGAGCTGGGCTGGGGCAGCCTGGAGAAGAGAAGGCTCCTGAAGGGGAGAGCTTAGAGCAGCTCCAGTGCCTAAAGGGGCTGCAGGAAACCTGGAGAGGGGCTTGGGAAAAGCCCCTGTAGGGACAGGCCAAGGGGAATGGCTTGAACCTGCCCAAGGGGAGACTGAGCTGAGCTCTTAGGCAGAAGCTCTTCCCTGTGAGGGTGCTGAGGCGCTGGCACAGGGTGCCCAGAGAAGCTGTGGCTGCCCCATCCCTGGCAGTGTTCAAGGCCAGGTTGGACACAGGGGCTTGGAGCAAGCTGCTCCAGTGGAAGGGGTCCCTGCCCATGGCAGGGGTTGGAGCTGGAGAAGCTTTAAGGTCCCTTCAACCCAAAGCAGTCTGGGATTCCATGATTCATCCAGAACTGCAAGTAACTGTTAAAAGATTCCAAACTACCACCAAACCCCTCAAAAACCCAACCACCACAAACCTTTAAAAATTTCTTTTCCTCAGCTGTGGAAAATTTGTTGCTCTGTGTCGGAGAGCACAGCATTCCTGATGGGATAATTCTAACCTTAAGGACTACGCACTCAAAGAGGTGTGCTGCAGGGGTGCCTGCTCCTGCAGCTCGGGGCTTGCTGGGGGTACCAGGGTTCCACCACTGGCCTTTACCAGGAGGTTGCCCCAGGGCTGTGGCATTGCTGTTCCTGTGGGGAGAAGGGAGCTGGAAGCAGGGTGCAGGTAACGTTACCTTTTTGTCAGCATGAGGCTGGGCAGCATCTCGGATGCCAAGCACACAAGCCAAGACCCAGCAGGTGAGCTGCAGGCTCAGTGGTAACATCCTGGAGGAGGACCTCTGTTAATTAAAAAGGAAATGATAATTAGTATCTAGTCCCACATTTGCTTCTCATCTCAGAATACCGGGAATTTAACATAAAGACCTGAGCCAATACTCCATCATTTCCACTATGGAAACGTTTGTTCCTATATAGAAATAGTGCAGCTATTTATGTCTCATTTCCTACTGTGAGTGTCATCTTTGAGTGTGACATTTCCCACTCAGCGGAAGCTTTCCCTCCCTGCTGCACACTTGTGAACGACTTAAATTTATGTACAAAGGCTTTTCTTCTTCTCAGCCACGTTTGAGCTCTGGTTTAACATTCCCAGTTGCTTCCTGGGGTCTCCTTTCCCTCTTTCCTTCCCCCACTTCTTTGCCAGGGCAGCCAGGACCCACCACTGCTCCAGGCTGCAGATGGATCCCAGTGGGAAGGTGCCAGGACTTCTCAGCTGTGGCTTTATGCAGATACTCAGTTATTTCTGGTGCCTGCATTGTGGGGTGCAATGAGCATCCTGTACCCTGAGGCTGCCCAGTCCACCCACGAAGCAGAAGCACCAAAAATGCAACTTTATCTTTTCTTGAGAGAATGAGGTGGCTGACGGCAGAAAGGGAAGATCCCTTCTGAAGGGATGATCAGAACAGTGCACTTCCCTCTTGCAGAGAGCAGAGGTTCTCACTTGCATGGACTAGTGACGTTTTATACAGAAGGCAGGAGCTGTGTTGACTGCTTGGAACATCACGATCTTCACCATACACCAGCATCATCTCCCTCCTCTATTCCCACCCGTGGGCTCTCTGTCAGCTCCTGGTTCAGGGTGAATCCCTTGTCCTTTCTCTCTGGTTAGGTCATAGGAGCTCTGTGTGCTGTTTTACATAAAGCAAAACCCCTCTGGAGCTTCTTCCCTCAGTGAAACTGTGCCCAGCCTCTTCAGTGGCATTACTAAATGTCCTCAGTGCTGGAATTCCTGACACATGCACCAAGGTAAGCACCAGGAGTGCCAGTGATCGCTCCACATTCTCTGTCTCCCCCTCCACAGAGCAGACACTGGGAATCACAGCAGGTTGGGGACTTACTACTGAGCAAACTGAGGAAAAGCACTCTCTTCAAACTGGGGAATGTAACTGGAAAGTCAGGAGCTTTAAACCCGCCTAAGAGCGTGTTGCCTCCGTACCTCCGTCGGAGATGGAAATGGCGGTATCTGTCTCAGCCTGCCAGGTTTATCTTGTCACATGGACCATAAACAAGGTGACAAATCGAATGGCTTCAGTGATGTTTATCATCTAAATCACTGCCTGCTCCTTTGCCTGGGCTCTAGCAGCCCCTGAGCTGCCGGGCAAGCTGAAGTAACAATCAGTTTGACTCATGAAATAAAGGTGCAAGTGCTCAGCTTAGCTGAGAGCCCTGGATTTCTGCAGTAAGATGATGGACTGTCAATAAACGTCAGTAATCTTCTCAGGGGTGTGCAGCAAAGATCGGGAAATGGCTTGGATGTGATGCTTAGGAAGGGGAGATGGGCAAAATATTTTATCTGGATCTGTGCAAAGCAAGGTCATTTCATCACCTCTGAAGAAAACTTGATGTTCATAGGATGCCGCTGGACTCACTCGTGCCCTGTAAAGGTGTTTGGTCTGGTTAAATGTACTTATGGCTCTCTAGTGACAAAGAGCACGTAGAGGTAGGTTTAAATTTCCCGCTGGGGCTGGTTCCTAGCTCTAAATCAAGACAAATTCACATTTGTACCTTCTGAACAAGCAAGTTGTGCAGTGGAACTAGAGGAGCCCCTCCGAGGGCGGCTGCGCTGGCTCGCAGCAGGAGCCTGCAGTGCTGATGCATTGCAGAGCACTGCCTGACTCCAGGCTGCACATGGTTATGAAACACTGCCCAGCACCAGCAGCTCTGCTTGGTGTGGATGAGAGGGTGAAGTGAGGAGGAGGAGGATGCCTCTGCTGAGGGAGAGCCTTGCCTGAGGCAATGAGTGCACACAAACTGGAGTCCTTGCCGTGGTGCTCCTGGGGTTTTGTTTGTGGTTTCACTGTATGAGTGGGAGCCTCCCTGGAAAACCCGTAGGTGTGGGGTTGGTTGGACTTTGCAGCATAAAGGTGTCCCTGCCTGAGGCAAGGGGCTGGAACTACATGGTCCTTAAGGTCCCTTCAGCCCAAACCATTCCATGATTCTCTGATTTATTAACTCCTGTGGCAGTCCCCAGCAGTGTCTATGGAGGGCTGCTTTCACCTGCTGTAGGGCCCCATCTGCACCACAGCTTCTCTAAGCCCTGAGGCTGGGCGAGGGCTTGGAGATGTATTTTGGACTCAAATCCAGGACCATCTGATTTGATCCCATTTGGAGGACGTGTGCATGTGTGTGGGTGTAATTTTATATTTCCTCTAATAGTGATGGTTTCTGTACATGAGGTCCCGAGAGCTGGTGTTCTGATCAGTGCAGCCCTGCCTGTGCTGATGCAGAGAGTAACTTGCACCCTCTGCCTGTGTTTTATCTTAGGAGCAGGAATGGTGGTTGACTGGGAACAAGAAACCGGGCTCCTGATGACGTCAGGAGATGTGAGGATAATCCGGATCTGGGACACAGACCGGGAAATGAAAGTACAGGTAATACCTGCTTGTTTGTCCCATTCCCCTTTCCCCTTCCAGAGCAGGTCCCTTGTGGGGACTTACCCTTTGCACAGCCACAGGGTCTGAGAGCCATCCGTGGAGAGCTGAGAGGTCTGCTCAGAGCGTGGAAATGAAAACCCAAACGTGCTTGGTGAGCATGTGGGGTCCTTCCTGGGAGCTGCTGCTCTTACTCCACAGCAGTGTTGGAGAGGTGAGGTGGTGAAAGCCAGAGGCAGGCACCAGGATGCAGACAGGGGCCCCTGGTCGTGCGTTAGTGGAATGGCATAAAGATTCTTGAGGAAATCCAGTGGTGAGGTGGGGTGGTGGCAGTGTTTGGATGTACTGCTGCCATCTCTGCAGGCACACAGAGCCAACAGCAGAGCAACACTGCCAGCCAAAGGCCTGGTTTCAGGAATGCTGCATCCATGAGGAGAGCACTCATGTACCTGCTTAGTCCACACCTAAGTCAGGATGGAAGCAGGAGTGTTCCTGCTTGTCACATGCAGCCCATGGAATTGCTGCCAGCTTGGGCCAGTCTGACTGAGGTCAGGGTTTGCTCCGTGTTGTCTGATCCAGGTGTCAGAGCACGGAGGTGCCCATGAACCAGCACCTCCCTCAGTGTCAGCACTGGGGCACCTTGGGGTGCTCACATCTCACTGCTGCACCCAGTGAGAAAACACCTTTCAGTCATACCATGCACTGCAGCGGGGCAGAGATGCTGCAAATGGTCCTGTCAGTGCAACTCAAATGGAAGTTCCTCAGAAATCCAAGGAGAAGCAGCAGCTGGTCTGTGAGGATGGAGTCACTGTGCTGCAGAAGGAAGGAAGGCCGGGTTTCAAAGCTTCTAGAAATTAATTATCCTTGAATGAACATTAATTACAACATTTGACCCTGCAATGCAGGATAATTAAGCTTATGTTAATCCTAATTACTTTCACATATAACTTTTTCGATGCAAATTAGGGAACAGCAGAATTCAGGAGGTGAAAATCTTTTAAATTACAATGATTAATGATTGCACCGAAAGTATCTAAACCCATGTTGTTTCTTTTCTAATCACAAAGATGGGTTCTGTTGAAATTCAGGTGATTGAAACTTCCTGACTCAGTAACACTGGAAGAGTGAAACTGAGCACAAGGAGCAGAGAAGCTCTAATCCAAGCCAGTAAAGGCTCCTTCCCACTCTTTGAACTCCAGAAGCGTTCCTTGGGAAGCATGTGAGGTGTAGCTGAAGGCACAAGTGCTTCATTTTCACTTCTGCTGATTGTTCTGTCTTCAAAGGCAGGATCTGGGTTTGGGCAGTGGAGGAGCTGCTGAGAACAGCCCTGAAGGCTGGAGCCTCTCACCAGCAGCTGCATTGCTCAGCTGGGAACAGCAGCAGGGAAAGGTGAATGTGCTTGGAAGCAAAAATAGGACCAAAGTGTGAAATGAGCTAATGCAGCTCCAGCCTCTGGATTGTTACCTTGCTTCCCTGTGTTGCTTAGAATCTTGGAGTGACGGAATGATTTGGGTTGGAACAGACCTTAAGGGCAGGGACCCCTTCCACTGGAGCAGGTTGCTCCAAGCCGCATCAAACCTGGCCTTGAGCACTGCCAGGGATGGGGCATCCACAGCTTCTCTGGGCACCCTGTGTACCCAGAGTGCCCAGTGTACATCAGACTGTAGTGACTTGAAGACCCAGTCTGAGTGTGGCTTGGCTGTGCTTTCTCCTCAGGACATCCCCACTGGAGCAGACAGCTGTGTGACCAGCCTCTCGTGTGATTCTCATCGCTCACTCATCGTGGCAGGGCTGGGGGACGGCTCCATTCGCGTCTTCGACAGGAGGATGGCTCTGAGTGAATGGTAACCCCCATCCTTCCTCTCTACTCACCCCTCACCTTCTCCTTCCTCCCCTTCCCTCCTCCTTCTCCCCTTCACAATGTTTCTGTGCTTGTTCCTCAGCCGCGTCATGACCTACCGGGAGCACACAGCCTGGGTGGTGAAGGCATACCTGCAGAAACATCCTGAAGGCAACATCATGAGCGTCAGGTAACAGATTTGAATGTTTGAGCTCTTTTCTTCCTCAACACAGTTTGTTTTTCTGTTTCAATTTCACCTCTGGTACTTCACAAGCTGAGAGGATAAAGCTCTTCAGGTTGCTGTTTGCTTCAGTAATTAACTCCTGCTCCAAACGTGGTGGAGGGAAGGCAAAATGAAATGTGGAGCTTCCCTTGGAAGCCTCTCAGAGTGGTTTGAGAGTAAACAAGAAGGCGTCTGCTGAAATCACTGTCACGAGGCGTGAGGGAGGAATGGAGCGAACCAGCAAGCTGAGCTAGATATAGTATGTCTTAGGGGTGGTTGTTCTTCATTGCCAACATCTCCGTGGTGTCACTGGAGAGGGAACATGAGAGGGAAGATGGAAGGTGCATCTGTTGGACATATTACTGTGCAGGATCACCTCTCTGTCTAGCAATTTTCTACATGAAAATTCATTTCTCCTGCCTGCTAAATACTGTGGAACGAGCAGCATATACGTGCTTGGCCCTTCCAGAACAGCAGAATAGAAGTTACTGTCACAAAGCCAGTGTTTGCACACAGAAAGGCTCCTTCTTGATGACAAACTGAAAATAAACAGGGATTTTCTGGGATTCAGAACATTCCTGAGGCGGAGGATGGGCCAGCACACATGGATGAAGATTTTGAGCGCAGGATTATGAGATGCAGCTGCCAGTTCTGTGGAGCTCACATATGAGAGTTTTTAATCTTCCTCTCTGTAATCTCCTTCAGCAGTCCCAGGGTCAGGCCTGTATCTGTGGCCAGCCCAGTCTGGAGCTCATTTTGTCCCTCTCCTCAGTGCCCTTCTCAGCATGTGGTGCTTTGTTCTGGATTGAAGAGACATGAGAAAATGGTGTGCTTCAAAAGACAGGTCAGATCGCATCCCGGAGGAGCTGGGTTTGTTGAGCAAGGCACCTTGCTCTCAGTTTCTCCCAGTTTACTCTCTTCTTCAGTTGGCAGCAAGATCCAAGAAAAACCACTGTTAGGATGTAGTGAGGGGCTTCTAACTTGAAGGTGTTGTGTTGCTTGTGGAGCAGTTCTCTCAGCCTCAACCTGAGCTTCCCTCAACCTCTTTCTCCAGACCAGAGGCAGGAGTTAGTAATGCGGGACTGGTGGCTCTGAGGACATTCTCCATTGCCTGGTGCTGGTTGACCATGTCATACTGGGTTCAACCACCTCAATCTATGTGTTAGTGCCACTACAGCGCTTCTCATTAACCAATAGGTCTGCTTCCCTCAGGCCAACCCTGCTGCCAGAAAATGATCTTAAACACCTTCAGAATATCCTGGTTTTGTAGCTCAGCTACTGTTGAACAGTAACAGGCAGCAAGAAGTCAACCAGGATTTGTTTTCTACATAGTCCCCTTGTCACAGAACTTCACTTCCATTTGGAAGCTCTTGCATGGTTTTCCAATGCCTTCAGATCCATTTTCAAGTCTTAATAAAGACTCCAAGCTTTAAATGAATTTACCATCTATTTGATCTCCCTCAAACAGTATTTCCATCAAGTCTTTAGAATCTAAATCAACCTCAAGTTTAATTTGTCTTGAATTTAATTATGTGGCAGCTGGAGTTGCAGCTCTTGTGATGCTGTGAGTAATTCTGTACAACAGCCTTTTGAGCAGTATTAGGTATTCCAGAGGTAAAGAAACTGGAGGCAATGTGCTTTGTAATGCTTTTGTTGTGAGCTCTGTGGGGTGATTCACAGTTGTAAGGCCATCAGTGGCTTGGGAAAAATAACCCTTTCAAAGCCATGGTGCCAGAAGCCTCACTGCTGCTGCCAGCAGAGCAAGATCCATAAGTTAGGGATTCCATATTTCCTTTCCATCAGACACTTTTCTCTTTGTCTTTCTGTGCACCCGTTGACCAGTCCCTTACAAGGAGCTCACAACAGATGCACCACATCAAAAACCTTCAGTCCTTGGTCCAGGGCTGTAGGAAAGATGCACCCTCTTCACATCAAACAAATGTGATTCTGCTGATGTATTTGAGAGATGACTTAGCAAAATGAAATCATGGGTGTTTGAAAGGTGCTTGATCTGCTAAGCACAGAATCCTGTCCCTGCTATCATTGCTTTCCCCTGGTGCTGTTATTAATAGGATTGAACTATCGCCCGAGTGTTCGGTTTGTTACATCTGGCCCACAGAGTACTTTGGACATGAGGATTTGTGCATCTGTGACCAGACATTTGGTGTAATGGATGGAACCGGCAGGTCCCATCTGGTTAGAGTTCTCTAATACAATTTCCTACCGTGAAAAGGAGAAGGAATTTGGGCCTGACGTGCAGTTTGGTGTATTGAGTATGACATACCAGTAAAGGCACTTGCACTCAGCGATGAGCTGTAAGTGATAAAAGTAATAACAGCTCACTCCTGAGGGCAGAGCTGCTTGCAAAGCATTTAATGCCTTGTGGATGGTACCAAATGTAAGTGGCATTGGTGGGAACTGAGCCGTACTGATGCAGAAGGCAAAGGCTGCATCTTCTCTATCCTCATCTTCCCAATGGAGGTGGTCAGCTCACGGACAGGCATCTCTGGGCTTTGGGGGCTGGTTGGGGCAGCCTGACACTGTGGCACTCCTGTGTTGTAGTGTGAACGGCGATGTGCGGTTCTTTGACCCCCGGATGCCAGAGTCCATGAAGGTCCTTCAGATCGTCAAAGGGCTCACAGCCCTTGACATTCACCCACAAGCCAACCTCTTTGCCTGGTAAGTTCTGCTTCCATCTCTTGCATCCCTGGGGAGGACAGTTTGTCTCCGCAGACATCGCTCATGGGGTTTGGTTGGGGTTGTTGTTTGGTTCAAAACAGTGCAGTTTCTTTCCCATGTTGGCAGCTCAAGGATTTTGTCCCTAGTGAAAGCTCTGCACTGGTGCCTTGCAGTGGTGATGCACAGTCTTACCCTCCTGTGTCACATGCGGGTAATGTTGTTACCACGTCCTGGGTGACACCGTGTTCTCTTGATTCCCTTCCAGTGGCTCCATGAACCAGTTCACTGCAATCTACAACGGAAATGGGGAGCTGATCAACAACATCAAATACTACGATGGCTTTATGGGACAGAGAGTGGGAGCCATCAGCTGCCTGGCTTTCCATCCTCACTGGGTCTGTGCGCCTCCTTCTTGGATTTGGGAATTTGCATTTCTCAGTTCATGTCAATGTTGGCAGAGGGAAGGGTGAGGAGACTCCTCCAGCACAGAGCTGCTGCCCAGCCTGGTTTCCTGAGGACGTAGCTCTTGCCACAGGAGTTCTCCAAGGGGAGTTTGCCAGGAGCTGCCTGGAGAGGTGCAGTCTCTCACTTCCAGCACTCAGAACTTGATGTGCTGATTTATTCCGTGCCTCCTTCCTCACAGACACAGGCTCAGCCACAGGTCTCTGGGGCTGCTTTGACACCACCTTACCTAAGGCTGAAGACCAGGTGCTGTGAGGTAGGGAAATGCACATCAGGGAGATGAACTGCAGAAATGAAAGGCATAAGCTCATCAGTCCAGAATGAGTGAGAGTAAAAACAAAATTCAGAATATGGCCCAACTGAGCCCTTGTTAGAGGGAAATCTGGTTGCTGCTTAATTAGAGTTACTTTAGAAGGCTGCAGCTCAGAACACAAATATTTAATGGGTAATGGGAAAGATAAAGGGCCTGGAGGGAGGAGGGAGGAGCTGGGCTGTCCTGTGATGGTTTGGTATTAGCTGGGCAGGGAGAGGGACAGTGTTTTACTGCCTGGGATCTGTTTTACATCCTGAGGACAGTAAGGGTAAAGGAAAGCTCCTCTCCTTGGCTTTGAAAGGCTGCTTTGCAAGAAGCTAAGGGGTGATTTTGCTGTCCCACAGTGTGAGGGATGGAGAAGGATGTGGGTAATCATTTGTGATGTTTTACTCTTCACATATGCACACGCAGCCCTGCCCAGCCCGGGTCTCTGTGCTGGGGTTGTGTCAGGGCTCTCAGTGCAGCGAATGCTAATTCTCAGCCTGCTCCTAACAAGCAGATTTGCAGCCATTTAGAAAAATTATGTTAGCAGTTGGCAAGTAATAGCCCCATCATTTTCCCCTCTGGCTGAAATGGGGCTATAACTCGCTGGGATGAGGTAGGTGCTGGCAGGAACGCTGGCAGGAATGCCGTCAGCGCTGCGTCCGCAGATGCACTTGAGAGCCTTTGAGCATCTGGGCGTCAGTGCTGAAATGTGAGCTGTGATGTGCCTCAGTGCTGCAGGACCCCGGGACGCTCATCCCCGTGTGCTCTTTCCACAGCCCCACCTGGCAGTCGGGAGCAATGACTACTACATCTCGGTGTACTCGGTGGAGAAGCGGATCAGATAGCGCTGGTGGCAGCGGCGCTGGAGCGAGTCCCAGCGGGCAGGGCCGTGGCTCAGCATCATGTACATAGTGAAATTATCGACTTGAATGTTTCGTGTTGGCTGCTGCTGCAACCCGTAACTTGAACGTTTCCTGACTCAGCTACTGATGATTTTGACAAGGGGAAGAGAGACAATCTCCTTTTTTTTTGTTGCATTTTTTGTTTGTTTTCCAGCTATATCCTCAAAGCTACAGAAAAGGAATGTTTTATTTTTGTTTCCAGTGGTTGGCTTCTCTGTTAGAAACACGGCTCCTGAGCTTGGATGAGGCAATACCCTTGAAAAGGGCTTTCTGCTTTAGTCTTCGTTTCTTTGTTTTGCTGGGGCGTAGGTTGCTCTAAGGACTGGAGTCAAGACTCACCTACAGCTCTGTGCATTCAACCAGATCATGGGACCCCTCCAGCTGCTGACTGCCCTCTGCCAAACAGGAATTCCTTGGACAGTGCAATGAGGCCTGAGCTGTCTGTCTGCAGAGCAGCGCACATGCTCCTGCACTGAGCGTCAGCGAGGGAGGTGGGAAAGTGTCTCCTCTGCATGGGCCTCGTCCGCTCTGCAGCGTCCTCTCCAGTGGAAGCAAAGACAGAAAGAGCCTTGGTGGCAAGAGGAGGCAGAGAACCTGAGAAAAGGGCTTGAGGAGATGACAGAAGCAGGGCCGGACGCCAGCACGCTGTAATCATGCACATACAGGAGGAAGAGGGAAGAAAGAGACTGAGCATCTCTAACATCCCAACACACGTAGAGCAAGTCACTCTTTAAGCACTCTCCACCAGGTCACACAGTGGTGGGGGCTCTGGGGTATCTTGGTCACTGTTGCTTCCATGGTCACTGTCCTCTGCCCGTGATGAACTCCACAAACACGTTGATGCCTGGGAGCTCTGCCCAGCAGTGAGGGAGCCCCAGGGCTTCCATTCATTCTGATGGGCTGATACCCAGCAAGGTGATGCTCAGGAGGATTTGCACACTCACTGCTGTGGGTACGCAGCTGCACACACCGTGTGAAGGTGCCTGTGGCCTCTGTGTCCCAGCAGAACTGAGCACATAACCACAGGTGATGTGAGCACAAGAGAATCACTAACGGGGGAAGACTGCAGGTCACCCTGCTTTGAGCAGAGCAGCTTTGTCCGAGCTCCCCAGCGGAGAGCCTGCGCCACCTCCCACACCTTCCGTGTCTAATAGTGAATGTTTCTGTCCCTTGAAATCCAAGGTGGGTCTGGGGAAGGGGTGGGCAAAGCCAAAGGCCAGGTTCTCCCAGGTGCTGCTGAGGTGCGATTCAGCTGGCCAAGAACAGAACTTGCGTGGTGCAGAGCTCACCATGGTGACAAAGGTTGACCTGCGGAGTGCAGGCATTCCCAGTTTCCCTTCCAGCTGGTCTGCAGGCTCCCAGCAGCCTCTGCCAGCGATGAGGCTGCCAGAGACGTTCTCTCCCTGTGCACTGGAGGCTTCACCTCTGCCATGGTGCCTGCACAGCGTGCCTGGCTCTGGTGAGGGTCCCTGAGCCACAGCAGAGGAGCCGATGCTGAAGGCTGGGTGCTGTTGTCCTAAGCACTGTCACTGTCCCCCCTGGAGAAAGGAAACCAGGGGCCCCTTCACAGGATGATGAATCAAAGGCTTTAAACATAAGCAAAACTACCTAAAAGTCCACTTCTAAGTTACCAAAAGTGAATTATGGTCTAACAGAGCTGTGTCCCTTCCCAACCCGCTCCCGTGCTGCTCCGATCTCTGTCCCAGCATCTCCTCCACCCTGCCCATGCCGGGGGCTGATGAGCGCAGAGCCGGGGCATGGGATCTGCACGTAACCCATTAACATGCACAGCTTAGAACCCCATAGGTTTTTAACTTATATCAGTGTCTTCTGAAGGGAACAGGAACTCCCTGGCAGCAGGCGAAGGTGGAAGCTGGAGCTCCCAAGAGGAGCTGAGGCCAGGAGGGGGGGGTTGAACTGCCTGGGCCTGTTGAGCTTTCATCTGAGCGTGTGCGTGTTGCGGGCTGTTCTGGCACAGGTCTGCCGCAGAGGTGTCAATCATGAAGTTTAACCAAGGATCCACAGAGCATCCTACCTAAAAAGTTCACTTATCTCTATTTATTTTACAAAAATAAAATAATAATGAAAAATATATAAAGAACCCCACACGATTGTAATGTGAGAGTAAAACAATTACCAACAAATAAATGGTTAATAAAAAATAAATGCAGAAACACTTCCCGGTCTGAGGGTCGTTTCCTGGGGCGGGGAGGGGGGGGAGATGTGGCCTCAGATTTTAGGTGATGGGCTCTGTGTTTCTGGGTTGTTTCCCTGCAGCCAAGGGGCTGGTTGTAGGGGGGAGGTCCTGGGCACACTTGGGGGGACGGTGGCTTGAGCTCTGGAACATGATGGGAAGGGGAGGGGGAATTGTGCTGGACTTGGGAGCAGTTTGGCTGCTTCTGCCCCGTCACATTTCCTGCGGCAGCCGCGGCCCCTGTATCCCCATCCCCTATAGTCCCCATGCCCTGTGCCCCATGCCCTGTACCCCACTCCCTACGGCCTCTGCCCCCCTTTCCTCCCCGTACCCCGGCTCTCCTGCCCGTTCCCGTGGCCCCCCCCAGTGGCTCCTGCGCGTCCCTGCGCCTCGCTCTCGTTCGCCTTCGCGTTCTGCCGGGCCGGGCCCTGCGCGGCCGCCGTTGCGGGGCGCGGCAGGAGCGGGGCCGGGGCGGGGCGCGGAGCGGCGGCGGCGGCGCGGCCATGGGGAACCTCTTCGGGCGGAAGCGGCGGAGCCGCGTCACGGAGCAGGACAAGGCGGTGCTGGTGAGCGCGGCGGGGGCGCGGGCCCGGCCCAGGCTCCGGTTCCGGCTCCGGCAGCAGAGCAGCGGTTCCCGGCCAGGCCTGCCCCGAGCGGTGCCGGCCCCGGGCGCTCCCAGCCGGCGGCGGGCGGGTCCCCGCGGGCGAAGGGACGGGGTTCGGGGCGGGGGGGGGCCGAGGCCGCGGTCGCGGCGCGCTGAGGGCGGCCCCGAGGACACGGCGGAGGCTGCCGGGCCTGTGTGAGCGGGGCGGGAGCTGTGAGGGCCCGGCTTGTGAGCGGGGCCGCCCGTCCGGGCCTGTCTCCTGCAGCAACTGAAGCAGCAGCGGGACAAGCTGAAGCAGTACCAGAAGCGGATAAACGTGAACCTGGAGCGGGAGCGAGCGCTGGCCCGGCAGCTGCTGAAGGACGGCAAGAAAGAGTGAGCGCAGGGTTCACACCCCCCGGTGGGAGCGGGTAACGGGAGCGGCGCTGGTCGGGGTTGGCCTTGCGAAGGGACGTTTAAAGCTTGTGCTTCAGGCGAGCGAGCCAGCCCGTCCACACCGGCGGTAACCCGGTGTTAACCCGTTCCACACGGCGTTAACCGCGTTGCTGCCACAGCCATGAGCATCATGAGTGCTTTGTGCAAGGGGTCGTTTCCCATTACCCCAGCGCGTACGCTTGCAATTCCAGTCACCAGACTGGTGAATTGACGGTGAATTTGCTCATTCTGACTCTTCCAGGAGCAGTTTGGAGCTGTTGTTTAACTGGGTTCAGCCTCTTCGGGATAAAGCACTTAACACAGGCGGTTTGGACGGGTTGTTTTAGGCTGCTTGGCTTTCATCGGTGCCTTTTCCTCCTGTTTCCCCCAGGAAAGCCATGCTCTTGCTGAAGAAGAAGCGGTACCAAGAGCAGCTTCTAGATAGAACAGAAAACCAAATCAGCAACTTGGAGCGGATGGTGAGTGAGGACCCAGGGCTGGGAGCCTCTGTCCTGGGGTGGGTGTTCCTTCTGCATCCATGGGATCACTGTTTGACTGTCAGGCCCTGTTGGAGCTCTGGTCCTCTGTCCAAAGGGCAGATAGCCCTGAAGGTCCCTGGAATCATAGGTGTGCAGTGACTCTTGGCCAAAGCACGGAGCAGGGAGCGTGCTTTGCCTCTCTGGGGCAGGGCATGTGTGAAGCGCATGGTTGGTGGATTACTAAAGCTTTACTCAGGGTGTGGGGAGCGGCTGCAGAAACTTCCCTCAGTGCCAGGGCTGCAGAAAGGGGGGTGCTTGCTCGGGGTGGCTGTGCAAGCTGAGGCCTCAGCTTAGGCTCTCAGCTGGAAATGAGGCACAGGTGCTGGGTGTGCTCTTGCAGCTGCCTCTGCTGAGGCTTTGTGTGAGTGCTCCCCACTGCTGACAGGGAAAGGGCTCTTCACTGCTTTCTCCTTGCAGCTTCTCTGGGTTCCTGGGCCAGCAATGGGAACACGGCAGCCCCTGGCATTTCCTCTTCTCCTTTCTGTTTCAGGTCCAGGATATTGAATTCACCCAGATCGAAATGAAGGTCATCGAGGGCCTGAAGATAGGCAACGAATGTCTGCACAAGATGCACCAGGTTGGTCTGAGCAGGCTTCGGACTTGGCAGAGTCCTGCCTGTTTGCAGCCGTTACCCTGCAGACCTCACTCACGTCTGGATTTTGGTTCTTTTCTTCAGGTTATGTCAATAGAAGAAGTAGAAAGAATAATAGGTGAAACCCAGGATGCTGTGGAGTACCAGAGGGTACGTGCTGTGTGCGTGAGTAGCTGTGAGCAGGCTCCCTGGCACACAGAGCCTCTCTGAGGAGCAAGGTGTTCCCAGCCTAATCTGGCAGGCAGGCAGACCAGGCATAAAACCCCAGTTGCCTGCAGGCGATGCAGCTGTTAGTTTTCCTGGGTACCCCTTCACCCTGGTTCTGTGCTGCAAGCCAGAGAGCTGCTTCTGCTGCGCTGTTGTTCACTGGAGTCTTTCTCATCCTCTCTTTCACAGCAAATAGATGAGCTACTGGCTGGCAGCCTGACAGAGGAGGATGAAGATGCCATTCTAGAAGAACTAAATGCTATTACTCAGGTAGGACTGATGCAACCACATTTTCAGGAAGCTTATTGTAATAGGGGAGAAAGGATCTTTTCCCATTCTCAATGGTTTATCTTATTCCCCCAGACACCTCAGTCATTCCTATTTATGCCCAATTACTGTGTCAATAATTCAGGCTAGTCACTGCAGGGGTCAGTGCCACCACCAGATACGTGTCATGTGTTGTCTTCTGTGTTCCTGCAGGAGCAGATGGAGCTTCCAGAAGTTCCTTCTGAGCCACTTCCAGAGAAGATCCCAGGTATGCTTTATGTGCTCTGCAGCTTTGGCTTCTCTTACTTCTCAGTTCTGTGCTATAGCCTGAGACCCTCTCCCGCTGTTAAGTATTGTCTCAGCGACTGAAGGAGCATAAACCCTCTGGTTGAAGCCCTGTTCATCTGGGCTGTTCCCCCACATGGCTCTGACAAAGCCAGCCGACCCTTTACATTAAGAGCACCCAAGGCTCTGGTCTCTGCTCACTTGCCATCGGGTCATTCCTCTTCAGCAGTTCCTTTTTGTTACATCTCCTGTTCCCAAGTCCTGGTTCCTCCCCAGGAGATGCCTGGAGATCCTTTGCATTCCCTCTTTCTGTCACAAAGTTCTTTCTCTTCCACAGAAGCATCGCCCATCAAGAACAGGCCAAAGCCAGAGCTGGTGGCAGCATCCTAACTCCCGCTGCTGGGGCTTCCCCCACATACCTTTCACTCGGGACAGTTTGCCATCCCAGCGTGGGCTGGGCACAAGCAATGCCTTGGCAGCACCCAGCTGTGCTGGGCAGATGTGGAGCAGGATTCCCCATGCAGGGAGGGAACCCCAGCTCATCATTGCTCTTGTATCAAGATTATTTTCTAGCGCTTTCTGTTTTGTAACTCAAACCCCGAAGTCACTCAGCTGCACCACCACGGGATGGAACAGCAGCTCCTCAGCTTGGGAAGCCAACTGCTTCTCTAGGTGTGATCTCAGTGAAGAACCTGCCTGTGCTCTGCCTGAATCCCCAGGAGATGCCACCCTTGGAGCGATGGAGTGTTTGAAATGGCTGGGCACCAACAAACGGCTGCCGTCGGGGCCCTCCAGACCACGCTGGTGTCTTCTCTGCCCTCACTCCTTCGCTTTCCTGCTTCTGACTCCGTTTGTGGAAGAGCTGCCGGTGTCCCCTGTGCTCGTGCAGATCCCACTGGAGGGGGTGTATGAGGCTCTGGAGGGGCACGGGCAGCCTGGAAGGAGGCAGCGAGCCTGAGCTCCCGCAGGCAGTGATGCTTCATGCCTCGGGTTGGAACCGGTTCTGTGTAAAACCAGCTCCTGAGTGAGGTGTTTTCACTTGAGCAAAGGTCAGAGGATGGCTCAGCAGTGATGCTAACAGAGGAGAAGCCGGATCTTGGTGCAGGTGATGAGCTGCCTGTGCTGGGCATGGAACAGGGGTGCTTGGTAACCATTCCCACTGGGATCCTGCTCCATCTGCCTGCACTCGTCGTGCTGAGTGACACCTTGGGGTGACAGGAACCTGATGAGCCTCTTCAAACCCCAGCAAGGAGTCTTGTGCCTGCGTTGGGAGCCAGGAGCCAGCCCCGGCTGGCTCTGCACCAGTGCCAGAGTTCACCTTTGCAGCGTTCTGCTGGGCTGGGATCGATTCCATCTCCAGCTCATGTCTGATATTTCCTTGCAGGGTCGGAGACAGGAAAGGTCAGGCTGGGAGAACCGTGAGGCTCGTTCTGTAGCAGACATGAAGGCTCTTAGATCAGCCCTCCAAGGACTGCTCAGTGAGCAGGGGCAGAGCAGTTCCATCCATGCTGTGGATGGGCCGGTGCTCCCCGCGGTGCAGTGGGCACGGGGTCGGCATGGATGAGGGGCTTGGAACGCTGCGTGGCCAGGCCGGTGGTGGGCGGATGTGGCTGTTCTTGGACACAAGCTGTACTTGCCAGCCTGCAGCTGCTCTTCAGGACACTGCACATCTTTATTTATTATGTTCTCAAAGCCACAGCCCTTAGTCCCTGTTTCCGTGACAGCAGAAGAAGGACCAGTGGGTCCTTGGGGACTTCTTGTGGCTGCTTTTGGGGTTATGTGATCTGGTGCTAGACAATAATAAGTATTCCCAGAGGCTGTGCTGCTCTCTGTGGTGATGGGCCAGCAGCAGCTCTGTTCTTGAGTCGTCCTTTCTGTGTCATCTCTGTTATGTTCCAAAGAGCAGCCGGGGCATCCTCCTCCTCCTCCTCCCACGTGCATGTGGCTTCGGGGCGGTTTGCACCTTGGAGCTGCAGCGCTTTCAGTGCTCAGTGTGTCACAGCAGAGCCTTGGCCCGTGTTTACTGACCAGGACAGCTTTAGCCAGCACCTTCCTGTGGGTTTAAACTGAGCCTTGGGCCGGCGCTGAGTGCTCTGGGCACCCTCCAGGGCTGGGCTGGGCTCTCGCCCTCCAGGCAAGGCTCTGCTCTGGCTCTGCTCGGAGCTGCGCCCCGGCTCTCCTGCAATGCGCGCTTTACCCACCAGAGGGAGCCGTGTCCCCACAGCGCCCTGGGGCTGGGCCGCCCTTGTGCAACGATTCCCTTCGCGGCTCCTTCGGTCGCTGCTGGCCTGGTGGGGACGCGTTTACCGGTGCCCTGTTCCGTTTGTAACCAGCGGAGGGAACGCTGGCCTCAGCCCTGAGCTCCTGAAGGGGCCTTTCCCGTGGCACAGCTCTTGCTGCTCCCCCTGTGTAACCCTCGTACACAGGGCTGGCACATCACCGCCACTGTGCAGGAGGAGGGAGCACACGCACCCTGTGCGCTCCAGTTTGCATCCTCAGGAGCATCCTGGCACAGGCAGGAGCCGGGGTTCCTGAGGAAGCTGGTCCAGAGGCAGTGGGGTTGGTGCTGACGGGGTTAAAGCAGCTCCTGGGGTTTGTTAATGCAGCAGCTACGCAGCAGTTACAGAGCTAACAGGGAAGTTGGGAGCAGATCGCCAGCGGCTTCCTCCTCCGGTCCCTGCAGCAGCCACAGCCTGTGCTCTCCTGGGGAGGAAGAGCCAGGAGGGGTGGGTGACCTCTGCCTCTGCTCCAACAATAAACGGTTTCTGGTGGCTGCACCGATTCCTCTTCCAGGCTCCTGTTTTCAGTGTCGGGTTTGGGGGCGCTGCCTCCTCCTCCCCATTCCCACCCCTGCTCCTGGGGGAGATGGGGCAGGAAATTTCGGGACAGGCTCCGTGTGTGATAGAGGAACAGCCCCATTTACCCAGGGGGGCTCCCGTGAAACCCCAGCCACGTGCGGGTGGGCTGGGCTCAGTCTGTTACACCCCAGAATCCCAGGCTGGGAAAGGGCCCTTAAAGCTCACCCAGTTCCAGCTTCCTGCAGGTCGGGACCATTCAAAACCCACACAGGTCTGCAGGGTGCCACAGCTCAGCACCACCTCCATGCTTGCTCCACTATGGGCAAAGGACAAGGGCCCCTCACCCAGGATGTGCTGAGCCACCCACTGGGGTTTGCCCCCCGCTACTTCCTCGTTGGTTTGGGTTTCCATCTCCTATTGATGGAGGCAGGGGAGGCCTCCGGGTCTCTCCCACCCGGACCCTTGGTGGCAGCTCAGCCCCTGCCAGGGCTGGGGTTCCTGTGCCCTGGGAGCGCAGGTGCCTGCGTTGAGCAGTGCTGGTGACCGCTGCCTTGTACCCGCTCAGCTGGGGCAGCGGGAGCTGAGCCTGGAGCCCTTCCAGCTGTTGTGCTTGGCCAGATGTTGGGTTAAACAGGAATGTGCTGGAGGCACTGCGAGGTTTGTGCCATGGGGGGGACACCGCGTTAATCCTGCCCCTCACAGGCACGGCTCGGGGCAGGTGATGATGGGTTCCAGTCCCTGGGCATTTACAGGAGCTGGTGATGGCTCCCGAGGCCTCTGTGGTGGCTCCAACCGGACCCAGCCACCGTGGCCCTTAAGGTGATTTGTGTGGCAGCGGCTGGGGAAGGGACCCTGCTCCCTGCTGCCCTGCAGAGACGGTCCCTGTGCCGGGGGGAGCAGGGCTGGCCCTGCCCATGGGCTCTGCCTGCACAGACCCTCCTGCTGCCAGCGGGCGGACACACGAGGCTGTGGGGGAGAGGGAATCAGTGCCGGTGTTATGCAAGCGCCGCTGCCTTTAATAGGCTCCTGTTCACCGGTGTCCAGGAGGCAGCGGAGCCGTGGCTCATTCCCTCGCTGGGGCTCTGCTCTCTTGCCCTGCAGCCCACCCCGGCGCTGCTCTGGCCGTTGTCTAGGAGCTGGTTTGGGGGCAAGGCCTCCCTCTCCCCCCCGGCAGCCTGGGGGCCTCTCCCCCCTCGCCGTTAAGTGGCAGCAGCCCTTTCACTGGTGTGTAATTGGGTTGTGTAACGTGGGAGGCGGTGGCAGAGCCCTGCCAGTTTCTATGCCAACACAGCTGGATGGCGGCGCTGCCTGGGGAGACGGGGGCTGCCTGTGCCCCCCGACACGGCCCCCAAGGTCTGCAGTGCTGAGGAGCATCACTGGGCAGAGCTGCCCCCGCATCCCTGCTCCGTGCCCCCCAGCAGCAACCCTCAGTTCTACCCTGCTGGGAACAACCTGGACGTGTCCTTTGTCCTCCACCCTCCCCATCAAACACCAAGTCAGGGCCAGGCACTCCTTTAAAGAGCTTTGCAGGGGGTTCTTCCATCTCCCTCCTCCTCATCATCACCCCGCACCCCAGGCTCACCCTGCCCTGCACCCAAGGGCCGTGGTGCTGTGGATGCTGCCCACCCTTGGGGCTCACACTGCTGAGGGTGACTTCTTGTGCACTCAAAGCCTTGGCAATGCCACCCCCCCTGCCCCGCCTGCACGCTCGGAACCAGCCACCGGCTCCTTCCTTTCCCCCTTGTCACGGTTTAAACGGGCCGATGGAAGAGGCTCCGGCAGAGGCGAGCCCCGGTTCTGGCAGCTCAGCTGCGGGGGGGAAGAGAAGGGAAGAGAACTCGGCGCAGTTTCCTGACTGGAGCAGTGCTGGGAACAAAGCAGGTTTGTGAGAGCCGAGCTCAGGCCGGGAATGTGACCGTGACCTTTGCTGGCGCTGCGCTGGGTGTGGGACGGGAGCTCCGGTGCGTGCTGGTGCTTGGTGGTGGCTGAAGCGCTGCAGCAGCGCCTGCCCCGACCGAGGGGAGCCGGAACCCAGCTCCCGGGGGCTGGAAGGAGCCTGGGAAGGGGGGATCGCTGCTGCCCCCCCCCCCCCCGTTCCGCTGCTCTCTCCCAGGGCGCTCCGGTTTCCCTGGCACGCGTTGAGCATCCCCGCAGGGCTGCGGTGGGAGCCGTGGGACCCGGCCCTTGGGTGGCACCCGGGTGCAGGCAGCGTGGGGGAGCTGGTGCCGGGCTGGAGGGAGCCGGAGGCCAACGGTGCGTGGTCAATGAGCCCCGGGAGGGAGTGAGTGGAGACCAGAGCAGGGCCCTGCCTCTGCCCTCGGGGGGATGCCCCTGCGTGAGCCCATCCCTGCGGGAAGGCCGGAGGTGCCCCCGTGGGAGCTGGGGAGCCAAGGACTGGATGAGGAATTCAGCATCGTGTGATGCTCCCCCTGAGCCCCGGGGTTTCTGCAGCACGATGGGAGCTGGATGGGGCCGTGAGAGCCTGGCTGGGCCCACCCGATGTGGCCGTGGAACCAGCGAACGTGACCAAGGGTGGTGTGGGGCTGGGGACTAGGGTGGCTCTGAAAGGAAGAGGCACCTGACCCTGTCCCCTCTGCCTCCTCTCTGTGAACCAGCCCTCTGTAGGGGAAGGCAGCGCCTAAAGGTCCTCCAGCGCCCATTGCCCCTGTGCAGTGCATCAGCCGGTGGCACTGCCCCATGTGCTTCCCCGAGTTCAGCAACGTGATGCAGATCCCATCACGCCAATTATGCGGCTCACATAAACCATTCCTGTTACTCAGAAGGATCCCCGGAGAGCTCCTGAGCGAGCTGTGGTTCAGCATTACTCACTCCTGCAAGCAGGGGCTGGGGCAATGAGGAGGCAGAGGGGCTCTGGGCTGCATGGAGGAACCACCGAGCCCAGTGTGTTTTGGGGCTCCTCCACGTCCTCTCCCACCCCCGTGTGGCTGAGCAGGGCTTGGGGTTCGCTGTTTGCTTTGAAGCCCGGATTCCCCCCTTCCTTTCTCCCTGCTCCCTAAGGAAAGCAGCAGAGCCGGGACTCTCCTGCACCCAGCTCCAGCCTCGCATCCCCGCCTGCAGCATCCCCCCTGCACTCGGTGCCTCCGCTCCCTCCATCTTCCCCGTCCCCAGCGCAGCTCCCGGCATCCGCAGCTCTTTGTTCTCCCACCCACTCCCGTTTCCGCCCTCACTCCGGCTCCTCCCTGCGCTCGTTCTCCCCG